AAGCTGCTTAATGCGATCGCTCTCGTTGCGCTCGTTAATAATTGCGACCCGACGCGCCTAATTAGCCTATGCCCTTGCTAACCGCCACACGCCGACCGACCGATCATTACCGTTGTCATTACTTTCTCGCAGCGGCCTGCGCAAAAACCCATCCTTGAATATTCATCGGGACTCGCGCCTTTATATTGGCGCTTTCATCTACAAGTCAATACGTGTAGTCAAACAAACGCGCTCGTCCAATATTGACACCCACGCATACATAATTCCAACAAAATAACAGAGTCGCAGTCGCAGCGGGGCCACTGAAATAAACTGAAAATAAAAGCCCAACTTTTGCGAAGCGGCGTGCCACAAAATACGCAGCGCCATCGAACACCGAGAAACATTGTTTTGCGTGCGTTTGCAGAGCGGCGACAGCCACGCGCGTTCTCAACTGCGCGGCTGTTATCGTCCCTTTTTCGGCTGCAGCGCAGCAGTGATGCGCGCCACCGAGCTGCCTTCGGAGTTCCAAAGACCGTCAGCCGAGGCATTCTGCCGCGAGCACCGCAAGACCGATAGGTGCCCTGCTCCGATTACAGCGAGTGCCCCGCCGGCCGACGTTCGAGCGAGCGGAGACCAATCGAGGAGGAGCGCGCGACGGCACCGCAGCTCGGGCCGCGCGCGATCGCAGGAGCATGAAAATCCGGGCGCAGTTGCAGTGCTCGTAGTAGTCTGTCGCGCCGCGACACAATGTCGGCGGCGGTGAGCAGCAGCCGCTGGAAGCGCGCGCGCGCCAATTTGGAGTTGATATTGATCGCCTGCGCCGCGCACCGCCGCGGCTGCCGTATAACGAGCGGAGATAGCTGCTGCTGCCGCGCGTCGTTATCGCCGGCCGACTTGCGCGCGACCAGCCCACCAACTGCACCGATCTCTGCGCTTTTTCGCTTCTTCCCAACGTATCGCGACGCACTTCACCGGCGGCAGCCTTTTGCCGATCGCGAAGCGCGCAACGCGCAACCAAGTCGCGTCATTTCACAACCGCATCGCGCTTTGCTCTCTCTCTCTCTCTCTCTCTCTCTCTCTCTCTCTCTCTCTCTCTCTCTCTCTCTCTCTCTCTCTCTCTCTCTCTCTCTCTCTCGCTTGACTTTTCGTTATTCCAGGTCCTTCATCATTGCATTAGGCCGGAAAGCTGACCGATCGCGATTTTTAATTCAATACGCACGAGACTGCCGTTCCAAGGTTGGACACGGCCTTTCACTTCCCTTTCGTCGACTGCATCAAATAATTGCCGGCCAAATATCATCATTTCTTTATGAATGAATTGAATTTGCCTTTGACTCGATGGAGTATTCGAAACTGGGAAAAGAGCTGTAGACGTTCATTGTCGCGCGCGCGCTACTTTTTCGCTCGACGACGAGCAAAAAAAGGCGTGACGCAGAGCAGCAGCGCCCATTGAAGCCTCCTGAAAATTATCGACATGTCCTCGGAAAAAAAGCCTCTCGAAACAACCAGTAGGCTGGCGAGCGCGAAAATAAAAAACAAGCGGCCGGCCTCGTAAAACGTGAAATTGTGTTTTATTGACTTTCGAAGCGATGGCAGGGACGGGGGCGGGGCGGGGGCGGGGGCGGGGGCGAGGGCATCGCATAAAAACTCTGCGAAAAGAGGATCATCGCGTCATAATAAAGGCGCCGCATCGATTGGATGACGCATCTATTCTCTCTGGCTTGATTAATAATTGCAGCTTTTTCGAGAGCTTTTCAAATGGCGTTTCTTTTGGTGGCTCGCCCCAGCCAATTGGCGGCTTTAAAAGCTCCGCGGCGAACCCGAGACTCGGCCTGATTGTTACGCGTCACGGATTATCCATTTTTAATTAAAACAAGGCGTATTACAAGCACTCGTGTACTCCTGCGTGTGATGCCCGACAAAAGTAATTATGAAAATGAACGGATGCGCGCTGGATTGGCCGAGATATTGATATTTGATCTTGGCCTGGCACTCGATGGTCCGACAAATGCATCGTTTGCTTCCACTCACTGTTCACGCGAGTCATTGATAATTGATCATTCGACGACGCGGTGGGAACACGGAGGCGCTCGAGAGAAAGCAGGCACGAGGCTGCAGAGCAATCAGAAATAAAAATCAGCCTGCTATATCGATTCGACGCGGAAGGCGGAAGGCGGAAGGCGGAAGGCAGAAGGCGGAAGGCGGAAGGCGGAAGGCGGAAGGCGGAAGGCGAAAGGCGGAAGGCGGAAGGAGAGAGCAGCTTGATCAAGCAGACTTTCCGGGATTTCTTAAAAGCCCCCGAGTGGTCGGCGCGCGCCCTTGTCGGAAGTCCACCGAGTCTGACCGAGAAATCAACTTGGCACTGACTTTCGTGAAAGCTTATTTGTCCTCCGGCTGTCTCTTCTGCCTCCAGGCCGACCAAAGTTTTAGCACGCTACTTATGCATTATGCATGATGCACGCGCTTATTTATTCAGCGCGCCCGATTGTCGCAACGATGAATATTTGAGAACGCAGTCGATGAGCAAAGCAAACATGCGCATCCTCCGTTTGCCACCTGCTATAGCGGAATCCGGAAAAGCCAAGTGCCAGGCAGCGCAGTACCTTACAAAAATGCACGTTGGCCAGCCTCCATTTCATCGTAGAAAAGGCTCTGCCGCGTGTTCGTAAGCAGCTTCGAGATCGATGATCGATAGTCAGCCAAGTCGACTCTACGACCATGTGCATCGTTGTTGCAATGACGATCGTGCTTCGTAAGACTAATCATTGCGCGAGCGAGTCCAGGCACAAAGCAAAGAACGCAGAAAGAAGGCAGAAAGAAGGCAGAAAGAAGGCAGAAAGAAGGCAGAAAGAAGGCAGAAAGAACGCAGAAAGAACGCACGAGCTCCTGTTTTTCGAGACTATAGCGCATCAATCCCAACACCCGGGGCTAATGCTACCCAATAATTCAAACAACTCCATCGGTCGTTCGCCCCACTCGCTCGCCAGAGTTATGCGGGGCGCGCACATTTTTCTCGGCCCTCGTAGCTATAAAAAAAAGAGGCTTTTATGAGCAGCACGGCGACTTCACTCAAGGACGAATCGCGCTCCTCGAGAGTAAACCAGATGTGGCCGGAAGGAAAAGGCCTCCCTCCGAAAAACACGAGCCGGCCAGGAGCGCCGATTGGTTCGATAACCGAGAGTGAAAGTTTGTCGGTGTGATGTAGTGAGAAAGTCCGAGAGAGAGAAAGCATCGTCGCGCAATTAGCGCGCCTTTGTTGCGCGAATGGACGATTGATTGGCTACGTTTCTCCAATTGCCCGGAGCCCCCGCGTCATTTCACGATAGACCTCCTCTCCCTTTTTTGCAACTGATCAGAGGACATTGAGACGGATAATGAGATTTGTGCGACACGCGACGCTTCAAGCTTTGTTTGCCGCCATTTTTAAGTAAACTTTTTTTTCAAACTTGATCCAAAGCTGTTCAAAGCTACTTTTCAATATCTCGCCACCACAGCTTGTGTCATTCTAGTGCAAGTATTTGCACGTATGCCTATCGTATATCATTTGCCACTCTACGATTCACAAGCAAGGCACAATTTTTACAAATTTCATCAATAACATTCTCTTTCGTTCTCATTTGACACGAGAAAAATAATACGGAATCTAAAAACCACCGCCACGAGATCAAATATTATCCATTTTGACGGTTCATACAATAAAGTAAAGAGGAAGAGAGAGAGAGAGAGAGAGAGAGAGAGAGAGAGAGAGAGAGAGAGAGAGAGAGAGAGAGAGAGAGAGAGAGAGAGTTGTAATTAACGCGATTAATTAAACAAAAACGAGGATTAGCAGTAGTGTAGGTATCCGCCAGTGCAATGCCAGATTGATACAGCGGAGAGAGAGACCACCTTACAATCGAATCAAATCGCAATCAGCGCTCTCTTGCGTCAAACACGCGGTAATTCCCTACTTAACGCTCTCGAACGCACACAGACACAGGCCAATTGTTTAATCTCCCAAGCAAATGTCATTATACACACACTGACGCGTTGAAACACAATGGGCATTCCGACAGAGGAGAGAGAAAGAGAGAGAGAGAAACAGACAGAGAGAGACAGAAACAGAAGGCCTTGAGTAAACGAAAAACCACGAAATTGCCGAAATGAACGATCGCGATAATTAATTATCGAACCGAGTGCTGTTCAATTGCGTAATTGGAAAATCTCGCATGCAGAAACATTTCTCCGAATAGACTGCTACGTCTTGCAAAACACACACGCACACACACGCACACACACACACACACACACACACGCACACACACGCACACACACGCACACACACACACACACACACACACAGACAGTTAAACTAATTGATTACGCAATATCAGCCTTCGCTCTTCTCTTTATCTCGCGCTCGTTCTTCGTTTTTTTCCTCGCGGCACACATAACGCAATATCTTGCGATATATTTCAAGCTCTCTTCTCGAGAAATTCGAATTGAAGAGAAGGAGGAGAGGGAGTCTGCAGTACGCGTACCATGTACTGATTCATGAGGCCTTTCGCATTGTTTGAGGTGAATTCGCGCGCTACGCAAACCATGTATGCATTTCGAGAAGGCCGGGAGCTTGTTGTAGCAGCAGAGGCTTGAAAAATAAAACTCGCCGCCGCGAGGTTTATGCTTCGATTAAGAGCGCGAGGCTTTGGTAAATATAGGCGCACGAGCGACCGCGCGCCTTTCAACAAATAAACGTTGTTTTATATACATTTTCTTTCTCACTGTTATGTATAATATTTTCCTTTTTGCTCGTGCGAGTGCCATAACACACGCACGCAAGTTGCTAATAATTTATCATCTCTGCAAGCGCGAGGTGAGAGATTACGTTACGTATTTGTATAACGATATGTCGCTTGATAACGAGTGTACATTGTTCATTGGAATAATCGAAATCTCACACCATGTGTCCAATGTCTACAATGGGAATAGACCAATGAACCTTGACCTCGAGCGACATTGGAAAAAAGTAGCAGAAATCTCACCTGATGTAAACGATGATACCGTTGGTGAAAATCCTCTTCCAGCCCTGCGGCACCGAGATACTCTGCAGCTCCTTTTGCTGTTGTATCTGCGTCTGTTGCACGACCACACCACCGGCACACGCGGCATTACTAGCGTTCATAGCGTCATCGAGCACCTGATTGACCTGCTGCACTTGTTGTGCACTCAAAATTTGCTGCTGCTGTTGTTGTTGCTGTTGTTGTTGCTGCTGTTGCTGCTGCTGTTGCTCGTGCGCAGCCTGCTGCGCCACGAAATTCGCAGCCTGTTGAAGTGCCACCTCTTGACTCTCGTGGCTGCTCAGGCTGCTGCAGCTGGATTCGGCGGTGTCCGACCTGATCGAGTCGCAGCTGCTAAAAGCTACCGCTGTCGGCACGGCATTGATATTTTGAATCTGCTGCTGCTGCTGCTGCTGCTGCGTTTGCTGCTGCGTTTGCTGCTGCTCGATCGGCGCCTGGTACAGAGTCAAGCTGCCATCAGCAGTGGAGGCCGAGCCATTCTGTTGACGAACGAACACCTGTGGCTGTTGCTCGTCACAGGCAGCCTCGACGAACGCACCGAGACTCTTCTCGTCGAAGCTGTAGATACCATTGACATTGACTCCGTTGACCGCGCAACCGGCCTCCAGCATAATGTCCTTCGACAACTTAAGCAACTTGAGGTGCACCGCTTCCTCGTCGTCCACGTCGTCCTCGTCCTCCTTCTCAGTGATACGTTCTTGATAAATGATGTCAGCCGCTGCCGCTTCCAACTGCATGAAGCCACCCTCCAGGTCGCCATCGTCGACGAAACTTCTGCCGGAATCATCCTCGGCATCTGTGCGCGGTTGCTGCTGCTGCACTGCGGAGTCTATCTCGGCGGCGAGCTCTTTGGCAAGTACCTTGTCACCGAATAACGTCGGCAACTGCAGGAAGTTGTCCTGAGTCGCGACAGCATTTTGGTTCTGGAAGAGAAGGTGGTTCTGATCGTAGGGCTGCAGCGTGTTGTCGTTGGCCACGTAGACTAGTAAACTGCCTGCACCGGTGCGGTTGACGGTTGTCGCCGCCGTAACGGTCGTCGTCTGCTGCTGCTGTTGCTGCTGCTGTTGTTGTTGTTGTTGTTGTTGTTGTTGTTGTTGTTGTTGTTGCTGTTGCTGTTGCTGCTGCTGCTGCTGCTGCTGCTGCTGCTGCTGCTGCTGTTGCTGCTGGCCTCCTGTATGAGAGACCGGCTGCTCAGGCTTGCCGGCCATTTCTGTCCAGCTTCAGCAGGACTGCTGCAGGCTTGGACTGCTGCTGCTGCTGCTGCTGCTGCTTCCGCTGGCTCCAATGCAACGACATCACTGGCTGCACGCACTGCCGCCTTCGATAGGCTAACAGCACCTGCGGCATCCTCTGCTGCAATCGAGACAAAGTCCAGCTTTCACTTGTGCTTCTCGTCTTTTTACCAGAATGACTATCCAGTTCAGAGTAGGCATTAACGTGTCAATGGTGCACGCGAAGTTCAGCGAGCTTATGAAAATATTTTTGGTTGTTTCACCAACCGATAAAAATTACCGATAAAGTAATGGGATTTCTACGAATCAATGCGTAAAATATTGCTACGCGCGCATGAATCGATTTTCAATTTGCTAAAATTACATTAAAATCAGTCATAAACAGGCATTGTTAATCAAATCTGATATCGAGGTAGAATAATGGGATTACAAAACTAACATAGACAGCTTCATTATCGGTGAAAGCAAAGAAGATTAAAAATAACGATCCGCGCGCCGCCAGCCAGGCAGCATAGTGCGCTCTACTCTATTATTAAAATTAATTGATAACCCAGAGAGAATCTAGAACATAACGGCCCTGAGAAAACATGCAAATATTAAAGACACACCGGCACTTTGGAATAATGGTCGCGACAAATAAAATGTAAGTAGTGACAATGAGAAAAAAAGTCAACGATTATACGACATTCAACCGGCGAGCGACAACAATGACGGAATACCACGATGGTTCTCGTACCTTTACGCAATACCGTTATCCTAGAGTTTAATCAGCCGCCCGATTGTCCTCCAATCAGCGTGGAATTATTGTCGTTATTAACGCGCAATAACATCCGTTCGTTAGTTCACCGTCCACTCTTTTTTTTATATCAACGCGACCTCCAAGCACACGGAATACAGCAAAAAATAATAAATTCGCACACGAGGCCAAATAGAATCAGGCAGAAGCGAACGCGACAATATAGTTTTTAACGACGTTCGTTTGGAAAATTAAACTCGATTGTTTGCTACTGCACAATGTGCGGCTTATACATTCGACAGAATCTTTTTATTCGTTAACGAAACAATGTACGATTCATTCTTTATATGTATTCGTATACCTGGAATTGGAAGAGATCAAACAAAGAATGGGAAAACAAAGTTTCGTTTCTTCATTCCGAGCCGCTACATAAAAAACAAGACTTCGTGTCTATATCCGATTGCGAAATGACTTTTTCGAGTAAAAATAGAACAGTTTGATTATTCACGAAAAAACTAAGCCCGCGCAACGATGAGAGAATTAGTCACTTTGAAAGCAGCGCACAAAAAAGAAAAAAGGCAGATAGAACTCCGAAAAGAAAAAACGAAAAGTCGCAACGTCAATTCTCGCAAGAGTGTCAAGATCTCTGCCGACAAAGACGCCGAACACTATTCACTATACAGTAGTAGTGAAACCTAACCTATACGCGGATCCAATTGCATAGTTGTTATTGTTTACGCCACCTATTTTCTTTCTTCGTACATTTCCTATCTTATTTGTAAACAAATCATCCACACGGACGAAACTGATGAAAAAATTTTCGAGCAATATGATTCACGGGGAAAAAGCAAAGCAACAGGGTTTTCCTGGAAGCCTCGATCGTTCTCTTACATCTCGTATATTAATAGAAAGCGGCAAAAAGAGATTACCTGATAGGTAGCAGCCTGGATCTGTGCTTGGATGCATAAGTGCAGGATCTAGCGCGATTCGCGAATCCCATTGACGCACGATGTGAGAGCGCGCACCGCACTTTTATCAAACGATGACTCAAATAATGAACGAAACTGCTCTTCCAAAGGACACCAGTGAAAAAACGCAAAGAACTAACAAAATAATACGATAAACCAACTAATCGACCGCGCACGTATGAATAATATATAGCACACCAAAGAGACACACTTTGCAACAACTCTTCCGTCTCTTTTCCTCGGCTCTCCTTTATGAATTCGTTACACTGAAAACTCACTCGCGGTTTCTCGGTTGCTCCTCTCTCCTCGGGTTTATTTATAGGTTATACAAGCGACGAAGCGACAAGGCAAGAAAGAAAAAAGGGGCGCCGCGCCGCGCGCACATCTCGCTCGCTCGCGCGCGCTCTCTCTCTCTCTCTCTCTCACACACACACACTCTCTCTCTCTCTCTCTCTCTCTTCGTCGTCGTTGTCGGCACACCTGGCGTTACACTGCTATACGTATGCACGAAGTCTGCTCCACTGCTGTCGTCGTCGCCCCGCTTGTTTTTTGCACACGCAGGAGAGAGAGAGCCGAAAATATACAAAAGCCCGCGCGCGAGAGCACGTACACTCCCTATGTTGTTAGCTGAAGCGGCGCTGCTCGCTCGACTGCTGCTGCCGGCTCCTCTCGCCGCACACCTCCGTTCTCGTTCGCACTGAGGAACTTTGCCCCCACTCTCTTACGCCACACTCCTCTAAACGTACTCGCGCGTACGTATGTGTGCCCGTGTGTTCATTGGGAGGGAACGCGCGCTCCCTCGCTCCCTCCTCGTTTTCTTCAAAACTGCGCGACGCACACACGCGCACGTTCCACTCGCGCTCTCTCGTTCTCGTATCGAGTATCGTATACACACACGAGGATAGCTAGCAGAGGAGAAGTATGGCTCCCTCTGTGCATTCCCCACGAGCAAAGCAATGCTTGTGCTCCGGATTTCACCTTTATTCTGACGTGTCTCGCGACCTGTCAAAGAACCCTTGACAAATTAGCCCGTCTGTGCACCGACTATGCCAAGATTGTCAGTCGTTTTTACAATGTCGTCCGTCTGAAGCCAGCGTCGTCTTACCGGGGCAGACACTTGATCGATTTTCAAGTTTATTAGCAGCACGTTACGTCGGCGCTTTTTCGACAGTCGAGGAATTTGCATATTAATTAGGGGAAAGTGACACCTCATTAAATGACTTCCTTGTTTCACGCTCACAATTAATGAACTTTCATGCGAGGATCCTTCATTAAAATCATGTCAACACTGACATAAATATCTTTCGTTTATGCCGGTGCTTTGATGTTTTATCATCTCCGTTATTGTTTGCAAATTATTTTGTTATTGTCGATAAACATGTCGTCGACTAAATTTTCTAACGATAGGAAGATAGGATAGTATATCGATCGCGTTGTGCAACCGCCACCTTAAAGGCGCAGATGATTTTCAAATTGTTTTTTTGTTGCGTAATTGACGGTCAATTTACGATATCAATACTTTGTTTGTATTTGTATGCTCTCTCTCTCTCTCTCTCTCTCTCTCTCTCTCTCTCTCTCTCTTTGTCGCTCTCTGAAGAGCGTGATAGGATAGGCTAAAGCCGTGAATGGAGGGGGAAGGGTCACACTGTCCTTGTTGCACTTGTTGCATCTGCGCGCGCACGCAAAATTGTTGCAATTCGGAAATGGCGGGAATGTCTGCTGAACATTCGTCCTGAATATTTGACACGCTCCACTTCTTCACTTTTTGCGCGAGATTGTAGTTTATTATTATATTCGTTTGTTCTGATTGCAGACTTATTCACGAATTCACACATTCTTTATATCCATATCGTGGTCATTTTATATTTGTGCTTTCGCGATCAAGTTCAAGTGAGTTATTCAAAAATTAATTAGGAATATAGAACACTTTTGATGATTTTCATATTTTTCAATTAAAAATAATATTGTAGAATATTTGTTTGGTTTACGAGAGATCCCGGGTTCATATCCCGGACGAGCCCCCAAAATGTGGCAACCATTCGAACAATAAATAATAATAAAGATACAATTGTTAAAAAGGCGTTAGTTTATTCAACCAGGTTAATACGCTAGCGTCAACAAAACGACTAACTAGCTAGAAGAAAAGAACAACAGAAATATAAACAACAGTGAAGTTGGTAATAAATCAAACCAAACAAATATTTATTTCGCTGTTATAAAAAAAATGTGTAGTAAGATTTATTAGTTCACCGTATATCAAATTACTGTATTTGTAGGTCACGTAGAACGCTAAATTACCGACTGGAAAAATTTGAAATCGGATCCTGTCTCAAATGAAGCGTGTGTTTGAGTACGTTGAGCAACGAATATAGACGCTTAGCCGTTAAGCGTCTGGCAACAGCATTGCTAGAGATGCCGAGCATTAACAGTCATTGAACAATGAAATAAAAAGTAAATACAACTGCAGCCGGCAAAAAATGGCGGGATGGGATAGTGATTTCAATACCGTCGACAATTTATTAAATCCAAACTTGTTTGCCCGCAAGTCTTTTGGATTCCAAGGTATTCTCAAGGAAAAGGAAGATATCCTCAAGAAAATTGTTACGGTATCTATCATTTAAGAAATATATATTTCATTTGCTACACATTCAAAAACCGATTGCAATACTCACATTTTGTAATTTACACGTAGAGCAAATATTCTTGCATGTTTTTATCAAATTTATTCTTTAAATAGCCAAACCATCATAGCAACAGTCAATTTTATTTCTTTGAGGTTATAACAACAAACTTTAAAGACAAGAAACTCAACACATGTAGTGTTATTTATTTGTTAGATTCAATCAGTTTATATTCTTTATTGTTACAGCACATCGGAGCTTCATGTGATGGCTATCCAAAGTATATCTTTACAAACATAGACTATTACAATTCATTAACTGATGTTAACAATGTCTTGTATAACGTGACTTATATACGTGATTGTATTGATGCAAACAGATGCCTAACTATAGAACATTATAAGTTAGTATTCATTGTTCAATGTCACTATTTAATTGTTTTTTAATTAACACTCATGAGTGATATAATTTTAGATTTGGACCAAAGTACAGTGAAAAAAAAGAATACAGAGAATTTGAGCCATGCTGTGCAAAGTAACAATTAATTAACTTTTTTATAGAATATATTTTACAAATATTAATATTAACCAAATGAGTTTATAAATATTTAACTATAGTTTTCACAGTGGCAATGAAGCGTGCCTTCTTTGTGATCCAACATGCAAAATAGAACAACCTAAACTTAAAGTAACAAAAAGAAGGACCAAAAATAAATCTATTCCGTAAGTCATCTATCAATATCAATATTATATATTAAGTAAACTTAATATTATTTTTTAGAATCTTGGAAGAAGTAACTACAACAAAATTAAAAAAGGAAAATAAAGTACAAAATTCATTTGAAGCAAATCAGAGGTAAGTAAAAAACAAAGATATTGTTTGCTAAATTTAATAATTAATTTGTACATCTATCCTAGTGTTGATTCAGATGTTGAACATTTAAGAAAATTGTGAGTGGAATATTTATTCAAACATTCCATTAAATTTTTTATTATTGTGATAACAAATATTTGGTTTTGCAGATATTGGGAGCCATGGGAAAACAGAATGTTACTAGACTATCTAATATGCAACAAACTTATCTTATTTGCAAAAGGTCCTAATGTATATAGAAAAATGATTGCAGATGGTGTAAGTTACTTGTGCTGTAATATTCAAAGAATAAATAAGAAACAAAATAATTAAGTTTTATTATATTGCTGTTTTTTCAGTATATGAAGCATAGATCAGTAGAGTCTATGAGGATTCATTTTCGTACAAAAATCTTGAGAAATATAGAAACGTTTGACTTACCTCCAGCAGTCATAAAAGAATTCAGAAAATTAAAAGTAGGATTCTTTTTTTTTTCTAAAACTTTATGTTATAAAATATTAATGAATCTTAATCTAATTTCTCTTCTCAGAAACTACAATATCCTGGTCGTCTAGCTCTTGTTTCTACTAAACAAAACCGTCATGTAAGAAAGATAAGGGAAATTAAAAAAAAGATAAGATCAAGTGCCAAAGAATCTTAAATATAATAAGAAAAATTAAACTTCCATTTACATCTATCAATGTCTTCTGAGTATTGAGTATTATTTCACTTGTGATGAACAGGCATAAGTTGTGTGCTATATTAGTGAAATTTGATATAAAAAGTATGTATTAAGTATAGTCATTATGACAGCGGTTCCATGAAGACTTTGACTTGTGACTTATATTGCATTTATCTTGCTTTTACAAATAGAGTGTTTATATATTTTTTTAGATAATAAATAATCTAACAAAGTGAGCATTACATATTATTTCCTCAATGTCCAAATCTTAATTCATCATTATTATCTAACTAAATTACCATGCACAAACTATAAGTCTGAAAATGCAATGCGCAACAATGCCAAATTACGCCTTTGAAAATTAAAAATTAAAAAAAAGGCAAGTCCTAAAGTGGACAATGAAAGCCGAACTGGGGAGTAACAAAGCCATCCCATTGGTTCGTTAGTAACCAATGAGAATCCGTCGTTTTCCTACAAACCTATCTAACCAAAAAAATCTCGCTCCAACAGTCAACTCGTCATTTGATTGGTCCACACTAACTCTAGATTCGTCCCGTATGAGTGAGCGGACGGAAGTTTCTCGAAGAAAATCGAACTGTAATACCACACGAGCAATCTTGGCCAAGTAGTAGTCGAGCATGCGAAGTGTGAACAGTGCAGGTGACTTTTCTCTCTTCTCTGAAGCATCGAAAACGACGAGAATTCATTCCTTTTTGGTCTTTGAGTGTCCCGTAACGGCACTACGACCATTGGATTTATGTAAAGTACGCAATTAACGACAAAGCACCTGATCTAGGCATCGTACAAAAGTATAACACAGGTAACTATCAAAGTATTACTTGGTCATCATCGTCGATTTGTTTAATCGCCACTTGGCGTTAAGGGAAGAACTCGCTGATGAAGCACAAAAGAGACAGTGAGGGAATATGGAGTCAGGGCCACGTATTGCCAAGCGGGTAAATTCATGTTTTCGAGAACGCTCGAGAACGCACTCGGGCACGCATATATATACATATATGTGTGTATATATGATCGCGTAACGCACGGGAACACATCTTCCACCTTTTAATTGGCCTCAAACATATAGCCACGCGGGTATGGGTGCCTCCATTATATTTTGCGTATTGGTTTAGATTTTATGCATTTTTATTTATTGAACCGTAATGGCGTAGTCTCAGCTTTGCCATTGTCTATTCGTTACTCGGCGCTTTCGTCGCTTTTAATTGTAGTCAGATTCTGATGTAATTCCATGCTCCATTGGACAAATTATTTATTTTGATTTTTCGTATTAGGCAATTGTCTTCCGGATTTCATCGCGGTATACATCGTCAGTCTTGTGCATGTATCGTACAATGTGAGATTATAGTTATTCAAAGTGACCTATTGTAAATAACTTCTACATTATGAGGAACCATCGCCGTTTGGCATCGAATTCATCTTTAATAACCGCGATAATTTCTAATAAAACTAATATACAGGGAATACAATTTTCTCATGGATAATTTTCACCATATCGCGCGTGTGTGTGTGCGCACGCGCGCGTGTTTAGTGAATACAATATTGAAGAAAATGTGTTCTATTAATGTTTTAATTTGTTTCAGATCAACCTTCTTAACTGTACTTGCTTTTGGTTTGGCTTAACGTATTTTGTTGTATTACAAGACATAAAGTAGATAATTCGAGAACCATGGTTAAAGAGACAACTTATTACGACATCCTTGGTGTCAAACCTGGATGCTCTAATGATGACCTTAAGAAAGCATATAGGAAACTTGCTTTAAAATACCACCCTGACAAAAATCCTGATGAGGGTGAAAAGGTTAGTACACTGAAACATCTCTAGAACCCTATTGAAACTTTCTAGAATACTCAATATTGTCACTGATATTGCATAATTTACATTTAAATTTGTATATCAAAGCAATACTCTTTATTCTGACTTTACTTTTCTGTGTATCAATTGAAAAAACAAACAATATATTTTTATATCAACACTATCCAAATAATACTTTATCACTGCCAAGTGACTTCCCACATTACACAGAAACATTTTCAGCTTTATTAATTCCTTTTGTTAGTTACATTTTCAAAGATAACTGAATTGATATTATCTCAAATTTGGTTAAACTTTGAAAATGGAAATTGTGTCAACTATTTGTTAAAATTTTTTAATTTTTTTTCAATTCTAATAACTGTTGAAAAACAATCAACAACAATGGGCATTTGCAGTTCAAACAAATCTCACAAGCATACGAGGTGCTGTCAAACCCAGACAAGAAGAGAATTTATGACCAAGGTGGTGAGCAAGCCTTGAAGGAAGGAGGTATGGGTGGTGCTGGTTTTTCCTCGCCAATGGACATCTTTGAAATGTTCTTTGGTGGTGGCGGTATGCATGGAGGAGATGGCAGACGTAAACGTAAAGGTCAGGATGTAATTCATCAACTGTCGGTTTCGCTGGAGGAGTTGTACAAGGGCACTGTGCGGAAATTGGCCCTGCAAAAGAATGTGATCTGCGACAAGTGTGATGGAATCGGTGGCAAGAAAGAAGCAGTCGAAAAGTGCCCTGTGTGCAATGGTAGTGGTGTTCAGGTGCAGATCCAACAGTTAGCTCCGGGAATGCTGCAACAATTGCGCTCCACGTGTAATGAATGTCGAGGACAAGGTGAACGCATCAAAGCTAAGGATCGTTGCAAACAGTGCAATGGCCGAAAGACTTGTAGGGATAGGAAGATTTTAGAAGTTCATGTGGACAAGGGAATGCAGGATGGGCAAAAGATCGTGTTCGGAAATGAGGGTGACCAGGAACCTGACAGAGATCCTGGTGACATTATTATTTTGTTGGACGAGAAGGACCATGAAGTCTTCAAGTGAGTTCTCATTTGCTTAAACTAACACTTGTTGCCAATGTAATGCTTGGCCTTGAGCCAACAATTAACTCATTCATGAACGCGACAAAAGCCTAAACGGAGCGATTTCAACTGATTTTTGAACTATTCTTTTTTCCCCACAGACGATCGGGCAATGACCTGGTTATGCGAATGAGCCTGGAACTCGTGGAGGCGCTTTGTGGATTCCAGAAGGTTATTCAAACCCTCGACCAACGAGATTTGGTAGTGACATCTCTGCCAGGTCAAGTTGTGAAACATGGTGATGTCAAGTGTATCCCAGGCGAGGGTATGCCTGTATGGAAAGATCCATTCACCAAGGGACGTCTGGTGATCCAGTTTGTGATCAAATTTCCGGATAAGATTGACCCGGAGTTTATACCTAATCTTGAGGCGTGCCTGCCACCAAGGGAAGAAGTTATCGTGCCTGATGGCGCTGAGGAGGTCAACCTTGTTGATCTCGATCCGGAACAGGAGGGTCGGCGAAGAGATACACGCCAAGCTTACGATGAAGACGAGGGTGGTCCTTCTCGCGTACAGTGCACTACGCATTAACGATCTTTCTATTGGAACATAAACACTCGCTCTCGTTGATGATGATGTAATGATACCCGGTCATCTGAGTTTCTTTTCTCCTTGGTTGCGAGTAGAAATTTCATTGCGAGTTCATTAAAAGATTTTTCAAGGATCAATGATCAATTACGTTTTTACATAACGAACGCTCTTAAAACTTATTCAAGCATTTTAATATTTCATTGTGCCCTTATAGGTTATAACTTCTCCATTTCGTGACACTTAATCTTGCATATCTGCTCAAGTATTCGTACTGTACTTACATATGTAAAAGATCCATATCAGGGAAGGTAACGCGAGACAGAGGACTTTAACAAATTTTATTTCTAATTATTTTAATCCTTCGTTCTACTTTGTCTTTGCATAGCTCTGATGGAAATTCAAATTAAAGCAATATTGCATAACTTAGTTAAATAAATTTAAACAATCATTTTTGCCTTATATGAGTACTTATGATGTAGTTAAAGAGCTGATAATTTGAAAAACATACTGAATTTAGTAAGTTACTATATTTCTGTGAGTATATCACGTATTGTATACTTTTCCTGGAGCTTGGTAAAGAAATATTATGTAAATCACATGTTACGATATACCTTGAAGAATCTTCTAGTCACAATGAAATTTCAACCCACAGGAGAATGAAAATAATGGCCTTTTTTCATCCTTAATAAGTGCAAAACATAATTCATCTTTTTTTTTTTTTTTGTTTGTTTTTTTTTTTTTTTTTTTTTTTTTTTTTTTCATTGTTTTCATTTCTAAAATTTACATTTTTTTCATTGATCAATAAATTTTATAAATTAATTACTTGAAATTCACGTTCAACATTCTTCAAACTGCAAAAGGAGTGTATTTTTTAAATAAATTTTAAAAATAAAAATGTACCACTTGTAAGAAAGTCTTCTCATGTTCAATTTTCACCAACATGAAAGTAAATTTGTCCCTTGTTGATGGATTTTCTTTTTATAACAAAGATCAACCCCCCCCCCCCCTTATCTGAAGAATGATGAAGAGTTTATCTTAATAACACATTTCTGTAAGTTAATACTAGTTAGGAATAAAAAAAGGGGACGTGGGACTGTATCTGCAAGATTTTTAGCTGTAATTCTTTATGAATCTGCAATTGTATCTTGCGAGACACTTCTCTACAAAATAACCAGATTAAAGTTGAAAAATTATATTTCTAGATGAATGACTGGTAGTAAAAAACATTCTCAACATTCTCATCAGTAACAAATCGAGCTATTTTTTTGCTGAAAGTAGCACTTTAGTTAATTTTAATATTAATTTTCAATAACATCTTTTTTTCGTCTTAATTGACATTCAAGCATACCTTTGACAGTGTAAGTTCTTCGTATGCATCTAGTGAAAATTTAGATAAATCAGCATATATATTACTAAGCTCGCTATATTTACGCTAGATAAATGGTCGAAGAAAAATCAGATGTTCTGCTGTAACAATATTGTGTTGTAAGACTATACATGTCTAATTTTAGGTAGATTTGATTACGTGCAAAATACAACTTGAAAAAATATCTCATTTTCTAAATTCAACTCATGAACAACTTTTCTTTTATACGAAGTATCGATTTTATATGTATAACATCATTTCAGTTATTCAATTTAATTTACATACTGAATAAGTCGCTTTGTAAGCGCTTGTCTATATTGTTCCAAATTAGAAATTTAAAATTAATTTTATGGAACTTTTAGTCATACTTAAAAAATAAAATGGAAATCATACAAAGTTAAATTGGTTTTGTCTATTACCTTTATCCTTTCTGTTATCTAAAAAATTAATTTAATACGCGCTTGATACGAATAAAACAAAAAATATAGTAATAATTTATGTTTTATAATAATTTTCACATCACTAATTTCAAACATTGTATATTAGTTGAATCTCCATTGTACCTGTTCAATTGTCTAAGCAACTGAAGTTTAGATTGTATACTGTGAGTAGTATGAAGTTCATATAAAGTGGACATATTCAATAGAACAACCTCTTGTAAACTCTTGACTGGGTTCTTTACAGTGACCATATTTTCCAGCAACTCGACAGCAGCTTTTAGTTTTCCAGTATACAGTAAACATACAGCAATGTTATTTAGTAACATTATATTGGAAGGATCTAATTCTGATGCAGACTTGAAAAAGTCTAAGGCTTCCTGAAAAGAATTTTGTGCCACTGCTATGAAAGCTTTGTCCACAAATTCTTTTATACTCGCAGATTTTGAGTTTTCTGGATGAACAACTGTGAATTTCTTTTCAGCAGCAGAAACATCTCCCAGTAATAAGTATATTCGACCAATCGCAGAATTTAAAATGTCAGCTTGCTTTTTTTTCCATTCATTACAATTAAAAAGTTGCTCTAATACTTCAGCTGCAAGAATGTAATTTTTTGAGCATAAAGCACAATTTACTATAGACACTAAAGTTCTTGATTTTCTTGCCTTCCATAGTTGCATTGCATCATGTTTCTCATCTTTGTTAAATTTTACTGCTCCACCATCTTCAGATAAATCATTTTCTAAATTACGTAAAATTTGTTTTATGATAGCTAACATAGCATACAAATTATCTAATGCTCTTTTTCCTTTACCACAATACATTGGTATTTCAGCTATTAACAATCTAAATGCAAAAGAAGCCATCGAACCACGCCTTGTGCCATAGAGTTCTGGATAAAAAGTAAAATACATGTCTGGCTTATCAAGATTACCAAAAGGAGCAGATTCAGTTTCTAACATTTCTATTTGCTTCAATTTCGTTAGTAAAGACAACCTGGTAAACCAAAGTTGTATAGAATGAGGAGTATGTTTGCTTGGATGATTTATTTTTCCATAGCCTTGGCCATAAATTGCAAGAAGTCTCCCAGTTAGATTGACAGCTGCTCTATAATATCCATCCTTTATTAAACTCCTCAATCCCCTTTCATCCTGCAAATATACTCAAATTAACATTGTCCTGTTCAAATTGACAACACTATTTTAAATATTTTACCTGTGTCACATTAGACAAATAAGAAACATTTCTATTTATATTTTCTTCTTCTCCTAAGAAATATGTAACAGCCTCTTTTATGGGATCAGACATTTCATCAGCCAAAGCAAGACCCAACATCGTTAAATTTTCTTTATCTATTTGATTTCCTCCATGAGGAGATGTGGCAATTGATCTTAATATCTTATGAGTACTTTCTGAAGGAATCCATGCATCTCTGTGAATATCATTCATAGGTGATTCATTGATTTGGTCGTCAAAAGAAAAATCCTGATCAAAAATATTAGGTGAAGGTGATATAGGTGGTACACTTAACATAGAAATGTTGCTAGTCAAAAATATATCTGGTTTATCAGAAACTATTTCATCAAAAATAGTTGGCACACTATCAAAATAACTGCCTAAGTTGACCAATGCAGATACATTATCTGTTTCTTCTGATTCTGATTGTTTTTGACTCATTTTTGCCTATAAAATAATTAGAAATAAATCATAAAGTGTCACCGTTATTTTTTTTTATTTAGATCTAGTTTTGTATAACACTCATAATGTTATTAAAACTTACACACTACTCTGATTACTTAATTATTTATTCATAAATAACATTACAATTGTCAATTGTTATCAATACATTTTGACGTACAAATAACGTTGATAAACGTTATTGATAACATTGGCAAAACTACAGCGAATAGAATAGAGATATTACTTTTGACACAGAAGCTGTTCAGGGTCTGTCTCCATAGGGCCTGCCTGAGTCCGTCCGAGCCGGCCGAGATTTTTTATGGACACGCCATCTCTATAATTTCGTATCCAATGGCGAGTTTCATAGTGAATGGCTGCGTTTACATAAACGAGCCCGATCGGACGCAGCCAATACGAGAAACGCATGAACACGAAATTATAGAGATGGCGTGCCCATAAAAAATCTCGGCCGGCTCGGACGGACTCAGGCAGGCCCTATGGAGACAGACCCTCAAGGCCACCGAATGAATGTATTTAGTTTAGTTTAGTTTACTAGATGGCGGTGGGTCTCTCAAATCAATGGAATTTCATAGAACATCTTTTCAATCCATTATTTTAATTAACTGAACCCCTTCAGTTGTCCTAAAAAAAATTAAAAACTATGATAATTTTTTCGTTTTTTGCAACTGCGATATCTTTAGTAATACTTAATATATTTGCAAAGAAACAAGGCAAAAAAATTGAACCCTTACTCGTTTTAATTGCACCCCCTTTACTTTTTCAAAATTATTAATATATATGTCAAAAACAACAATCTAATTTTATTGTATGTTTTTTCCAAATAGATTATTGGGTTATTGGGTTATTTGGAAAGAACATACAATAAAATTAGATTGTGTTGTAAAACCAAGAAGTTCTGAGTGCTGCCAACTTTGAAATTCAAAATGAAATGAAAAGATAATTTCTATTGTACACCCAACGTGGATTGAATCGCGACCCCCCCAGTTAGGTTGGTATGAGAATTCCGTCGTTGCATCGGAACGAAGAAACCGCGGGAAAATTCTATTGTAGATAGTAAATAAATAAATAAATAATAATTTATCTAAATGCCAGCATAACGATAAATCCTTGCTGAAGCAAAAGCAGGTAAAAGCATAAGAAACTCGGAAGAAACATTTAAAATAGACATATACACGTGTAAACAGGCTTTTTCAGGTCTGCTATTCGAGCTTTGATTTTGACTGCTACTTTCAGTCGGTAACGGTGGTTTTCAGATCGGCCATAGTATAACGCTCGTTCTTAAATTATATAATTAAAACCTAAAATCAAATAATCATGCATCTAAATTCATTGTTCGGCAAACAATTAATTTTAAACCTAAAAACAAATTAGTAACGTTTTAGCTTTTTATCGTATCTTAAAACGAATTTTCATTTTTGAATTTTCCCGCGGTTTCTTCGTTCCGATGCAACGACGGAATTCTCATACCAACCTAACTGGGGGGGTCGCGATTCAATCCACGTTGGGTGTACGTAGCCTCAAAAAATTGTAAATGTAAACGTGAAGCCGATTAACGAATTGTTATAACAAAATGGTTATATGAGATTATAGGGGATGTCTCTTACGTTATAACAATTCGTCGATCCCACATTTATATAACATATTTCATATCCATACAACAATTCGTCAATCGGCTTCATGTTTACATTTACAATTGTTTGAGGTTACGTACAATAGGAATTGTCTTTTCAAATCATTTTGAATTTCGAAGTTGGCAGCACTCAGAATTCCTTGGTTTTTGTTTTACGCTTGCTGCGTGCGATTTCTGTATTGGAGAATAGAAGCTAAGCACCCTATCTAGCTTGTTGGATGTTTGCTCTTTTCCTTTTCTTGGGTTTGGTGAGCCTGGCTGGCACTATGAGATAGCCAAAAACGTGAAACATTTGTTTTATAATGATGGAGATTCCTTTCATGATCGTATAAATTTATGATTTAAAAATGCCTGCTCAAGTTAAAAATAATATTTTACTTTTTGAAGGCTGTAATTATTTTAGTCATAGATTAATATTGTCTACCTTGTCGGGAAAACCTATTAAAATATCAAATATAAGATCCACAAGCGACGACCCGGGACTCAGAGGTTAGATTATTACTTAAAACCATTTTAAATTGAGTGTTTATCTACATTTATAATTATATTAAGCAAAACAAACAATAATAATTAATCTTATCTTACAGAATTTGAAATTAGTTTTGTAAGGTTGCTAGATAAAATTACAAATGGTTCAAGAATCGAGATCAATGAAACAGGCACAAGTTTATATTACAGTCCTGGATTATTAGTTGGAGGAGAAGTAGATCATGATTGCAATGTACAAAGAGGTATTGGCTTTTATCTTGAACCTATCATGATGCTGGCACCTTTTTGTAAAAATCCTCTCTCTTTAATTTTAAAAGGAGTCACCAATAACACTTTAGGTAGTCAATTGTGCTCAGTTGTATTTTTTTGTATTTAAAACTATATAATATGATGATTAATAATCAATTATTTTTGAAATTTTAGATCCAAGTGTTGACCGAATTAAAACATCTGGTGTACCAATATTAAGGAAATTTTTGATTGGCGATTCTGAGATTACATTCAATATTAACAAAAGAGGAGTGAAACCTTTAGGGGGTGGAGAAATTTATTTCAAATGTCCTGCCAGTAAATTTCTTAAATCTATTCAAGTACAAATATTATTTATTTGTTATATTCTTGACAAAAATATAGCTTTTATTAACTTAAGTTCTGCTTTATTTATAGTGTCATGACAGTGGTAAGGTAAAGAGGATAAGAGGAACTGCATGCAGTTTGCGTGTTTCTCCAGCTATTTCGAATCGCCTTGTAGAATCAGCTAAAGGAGTGCTATTAAATTTTATACCTGACATTTATATTCACACTGATGCTAGAAAAGGAGTTTCTACCGGCAAATCTCCTGGTAAGTGGACAGTTGATGAGGTAGCATTAAAAAATTAAAGAAAACATTTTTTGTAAATGTTGACTGTCTTTTCAGGATTTGGTATTAGTCTTACTGCAGAAACTACTACTGGAGTATTTTTCACTGGAGAAGCCTATAATCCTACAATGACAACTGGATCTTTGCCTTGTGTTCCAGAAGATTTAGGTAAGGCTGCTGCTATGAAACTCTTAGATGAAATCCACAGGTAATTTCAATGTCTTAATGACTTATACAAAACAAATATAATTTACATTTTAATATTTTATAATAATTAATTGCTATTTTAGAAATGGGTGTGTGGACTCCCCGTTTCAAAGTTTAACTGCATTGTTTATGGCTCTTGGTAAAAGAGATATATCAAAAATGGTTGTAGGACCTCTTACTCCAGCGATGTAAGTAATGCATATGAAATTGTCAAAGTAAATATAAATAAGTATACATTTAAATGGCTTTTACTTTTATAGGATACAATTTTTGAGAGATTTAAAAGACTTTTTTGGAATTACATTCAAATTAAAAACTGTCAAAGATACACATGACAGTAAGGGTTACATGAACAAGGTATCAATAACATGCCTAGGCACTGGTTATTCCAATTTGAGCAAACGAGTGTTATAGATTTTTATTGTGAAAATTAAAATTTGTACAAATGTCCATATTTTTTATGAACTATATAAAACTAAGAATTAAGGTTGGTTAATAAAATCAACACAAAATCAATATATAAATCGTTACAATTTACTTTTTAAAATAAAGCATTAATTCTTCATTTGTTAAATACTGATATGAAAAGTGATAAATTACTATTTGTTTTTATTAAATTTTCTCATCATTAGTATATAGAAAATGGAAAATTTAGAAGAGATAATTATTGATCTATATTCACCTCAGTCATGAAAAAAATTAAAAAGTGGCAATCTTTCATCAAAGTAGTAAAATTTACCTACCACATGTATAACATATTAACGTTATTTTCTACCATCATATAACATAGTTACAATTATATATAAAAATTGCATATTAAAAATTCAAACATTCTAGTAAATAAATTGATTTTACTGGCCACATAGGAATAAACTTTAGTGTATCGTTCCACAATTGTTGATATGTCACAGAATAACATTTAAAAATATAGTAAGTCAATTTTTTGGGATGTCGCGTTGATTCTTTGTTTCTCTGAAAAATATCATAAACTTTTATAAATGTTTTGAACAGTTCTTTTCGACTTATGAGAAGCCTACACAATTTTTTTCTTTTTTTCGTTGCACCTTGTTTTAGGCCTTCCACAGCAATCTCGATTGATCTGGAAATTTTATTGACTAATCATGATGTTTTCACCCATTTAAATAAGAAAATGCCTAATTGCACATACTTTTCAGGCGTTGCACACCATACAATACTAGATGGACAGGGTCGAATTCTAGATCCTCCTTTTCTCTGTTCAAAAGACAACTTCGACTGTATAATATTAGGCACTATACCATCGACACCGAATCGTTTGAAAATTCCACGTTGCATAGATTCCAAGCTATATGGGCATTGACCACCAATAACTATTGTTTTTAAATGTATAACTGGAATCATTAACGATAAAAGTGCGCCTTGTACTCCCATGATATTCCACTTTGCTATTTTATCAGAGCATGAAAGACTGAGAGTTCGGTCACCTCGTCCAGGTTTTGTTCTCAAAGGGCCAACAGTATGATAATTCACCCCATTTCCATGCAAATCTTGTTTTGTATCAGTTTCAATACATTTGGCCCCAGTTCTATAAATATCTGTTATTTGAAAGCCAAATATAGGTTTGAAATCATTTTGCTCGTGTTTTTTCATTTTTTTTGGAAGAATTGAAAAATCAACCGGATTTTCTTGAAACTTTGGAATTATGGAACAATCGCCGCACGGCGTTTGACTTGAAAAAAAATGGAAAGATACTTCCTTCAGCTTAATTTGCTCTTTCTCAAAATAAAAAACATCACTGGAGTTGCTTCTTAACAATAATTCGATTTGATAGTACAGATAACGAAGTAATGCTCGCCTTGCGAGTATTTCTGCATGAGAATCACTTAATCTAGAACCCCTATCCTCATATTTAGTGCTTCTTAACTCCACACTACCAAGGCACTTTGTACCGGTACATAAACTTATAATAAATAATTCATTCAAATGATTTTCTAAAACTATACCAGATAAAACAGTCCATTCTTTTTCATTAGGCTTTCCAGTATTTTTGATAGATGCATACTTATCAAGACACAATTTTGCAATTCTATCTGCCAAATCCATGGTGATTGTATAATTATATATCTAATGACCATTAACAAATACTTGTATAGTGCATTCTTAATTAACGTTATTTGGATTCCAAGAGTACTTTACATGAGGTAAACTTGATAATCATTCCATTTAATTTACATTGATTTTAAAATCTAGCTTAATATTTTCTTTGATATGATTAGAATTCACTACTTTTGGTATAATTCCTGAAATAAGGGAAGGTAAAGGTAAGTTGGATTTTTGTGCAAAAAGAGCTGATCAATATCCAAAAGTAATTATAATTTATTTAGGCAACATAATGCCCACTTAAGCAAAACTCGTGCTGCTGAATCGAAGAATAAACTAAGATTGTTATTGGTTTCTAAAGAATGAGGTTGAATATCAATACCTTGCTTTGCACAGTATTCTATAAGATCCTCTTATTCGCAATGAAGATGACACTGAACCTACCAAACAGTATAAAGAATATAATGCATATTTAAAAATACAATAACACGAGGTTTCAAAATCAACCTGGTTAACATTTAGTTTTACACCATTGCCATTTGTAATCAAATATTTTAAATGATTAACTGTATAATTAGAAACACCAATTGATCCCAAGAAGCATTCTTTTTTCAGCTCAATCAAAGTATACCAAATAGTTATTCTCAATGTAGGATCATCAGTCAAACATTTCAAAAGTTTACCTGTTTTAGGTCACTGAATAAGATATAAATTCAAGTAAGTAATATTGAGACCTTCCAAAGAATTTTGTATAGTTTGGCGAACCCTTTGTGAATCTCCATTGTCCGATTGAGTTAAAGAAAATGTAAAAATGTAGTGAACTATAATAAAATATGTATTGACGTAAAAAACAAAAATGGCTTACCAAGTTTGCTAGTTAAGAATATATCTTCTCTCTTTGAATTATATTTGGGTAGCAAATCATTCAGTGCTGAATCAATATCTTCTTCATTTCTGTATACAGTAGCAGTATCTGTAAAGCAAAGTAGCTTTATAGTCTCATATTAATGCAAATACAGTAGGTGAATGTTTATTAACCAATAGATCTGTATCCAACCTCCAAACATTCATCAATAATTTTGTAAATCTTTACTTTTTATTTGGTATGTTCCAACTGCAGGAATAAATGTTTTGAAGGAATTTTGATAAAAAATAACAATTATTGCTATTTGAACTTACTTCAATCTAACAAGTGACATATTATATTCACTGAGCAGATATGAAAGACTTTAATTATTTCAATTACTTGTCCAGAATTCTTACAAAATCCCTTTATTGTCAATAAAATCAGCATTAATAATGCAAGTCGAAGAGAACCCTCGTCGATGTTAAATTTCGTATTTTTGTACCTAGCTGGAATTCGATGCCACACCAATTTTTTTAAAGGATTTCATGACAGCCAACCCACGCCGAGCGTACAAATTTTGTAATTTATACATAGTCTTGTACGATTTTCTTATGAGTAGCGTACAAATTTTGTATGTTTACTTATAGTGAGGGAATCAAGTTATTGGGATCGGAAAAGTAGGTTAGGTGGTAGCGCTGTTCAAGAGAAAGAGAGAGTTGAGTCTTGGACTTTGGTACACTTGAGTGAGAAGGTCGTAAGTCGACGAAAGCGTTTTTGTTTTAAGGTAGTGTGCTGCGATATTTAAATATGTGTGGCGGTCTCGTGGTTCACTGTCTCGCGCCAGATGGTGCCGACCACTCATGAGCGGCAGGAAATACGCTCACTGCATTTATAAGCCCGTATAGCGGCCCGACCACCCCGAGCGTATGAGGCAGGTGTTATCGGCCGTCGAGCCTCACTGACGAGTCCCGCCGATAACACCGGGATGAAACGCTTTCTGCCTTACCAACCGCACTCTTCTTCCTACCTCACGAGTTACGAGCCTGGCTAGCTCGTTCTCGTCCAACCTTTTCCGATCGACATCGACACAGTCACGATCCTCTCCATATTCCGATAGCCAAATATGTATATGTAGTTCAGTTGAACACCTTACTTATTATTATTTCAAATATATTATAATTTTATATAATTTTGTATGTAATGTTTTTTTTTACTTTAATTTATAACACCTCTGTGAAAACACACATGAATATTCTTGAAATTTAATGGGATTAATATTCTGACAATTACTTTCTGCTGCTCGTATACTTCTTAATTTATAATGTACACAAAATAAAAATGTTTTTTCCCCCATTTCATTCTATTCACTTTCTCTTTTTCAATCAAATTTTAAGACGATATTAATTTGAGTATCACAGATATTATAAAATTAACGATTTGCAATGATAATTTAACATAACATAACGTCTTATGTTCTGAAAACGCTTATTATTAACGACATATTTTCATTCTTGCAAATTATTAGCCATGTTAATTTTTCATAAATTGAACACTCTTTTTTAGCATCAACAACCAATCTCAATGCTAGATGATTAGGCTACACGTTATTTTTTTTAAAGTAGATTAACTATTTTATTCATGATTTAAGTGTTGTACGCTTCTGTCGAAAGTTCAAGCCTAATCGCTATACACGTATAGTGTAACGTATTTATAAAAATTATCCGTTAATCTAGAAATTATAAGACTGTGAATTTTAACCATTTGACTTATTTCTCTTATATGTTGCAATGCTTACCAGTGGCAATTTTGCTTGCGAGTTACAAGAGCTATAGTTTCTAGGACTGGTTCTGCTGGTTCATAAATACATATAGACAAATGGCCTCTCCCAAATCAACCCCGGAAAATAGTCAAAATAAAAAAAAAACATTTCCAATAGAGTCGAATTTGCTCAGTTCACCTATGTTGGCCAAATAATTTGCTCGCATTACATTTTCCAAAAAAAATGTGCACCGTTATAAAATATTTCGTTGGCTGCGACTGCTGATTAATGTATGGATATTACTTAAGTTTCTTTATAAAAAACAATACACTTTTGAAATATATTATAACGAGGACAATTTCTTATAACAGTAAGCATATTTTTAAGATGTTAGGATTGAACAAATATTGATGTATCAATAGTACATTGATTTTCTATAGCTGTTTCTAACATTCCTAGTTCTATAATTTCTGGGCTGTCTATAGCGTTTAGGCTTGATCATCGGCACTAGCATAAAATACTTAAATTATAAATAAAACAGCCAATTATCGTAAAATAATAATCAAAATGATTTTTTTTCGAAAAAGATTATTAATTTGTACAATATTTGTAGAAATTTTGTACAAGTCTTGGAAATATCTTGTATAAATCTCATATTTTTGTACAATTTTTATAGAAGTTATGTACAAGTATTGTATGTATATTTTTAGAAGGGGTGGGAATCCTCTATCACCCCGTCATCGCTAGGCATCTCATTATAACAATTGCACCAAAGACTTAGCTGATATACATACGCTCGAGGTAGCAACTAGCAGAGCCTATAAATTTGCGCTTGAAAGCTTTTACCATCTTGCTCCCAATTGACTTCCATCCTAATCCATCATAGATAGAAATGCATGGTTGCTACGTTTCTTGCCTATAATAATACTACGCGTCGTATTGGTGTTGGCATTTAATTTCTTTTCAACGCGAAAATATTCATTATTTGGTGGTGAGCTACCTTTTGCTGTAGTTGGTAGGTAGGTTACTGGTACGTGACTTTGGCCATACGCCTGTATGTCTTTTGGGGATGTGTTACCAAAGTCGTAGCCAACGGCGACTAGGCTGTTCATGTCGATCTGCGAAACCGCCAGTGGGCTGTTAGCCGACGCCTGCCAAACGGAGTGGACAAGTTGATCATCGGCCAAAAGCCGCAATGATCGTCGGTACTGCTGCAGATCCGGTGCACGATACACTTGCACGTGTCATCGTCTGCTAATTAGATTGGCAGATCGCAGAAAAATTGTTCTGTGAGAGCCTGAACTTGAATTGAATTTGTCGGAGCAGCAGCTCCTCGCAAATCGTAACCGACCAAAAGTACGTTTCGGAGGATGGTGAAACTGCTATTAATAATAAGCGGCGAGTCCATGGGGCTTAAGGCTTATTTGAAACTGAAAATGGAAATGATTGCAAGGATTCGTCCAGCCGAACACCTCGTACTTGGTTGATGGTGCCTCAGAAATTGCCTGGCCTCGTGCACAAGAAAACAATCAAGCGCGTTTAACTAAGATAGCCTTCAAGGTAGAAAAAAGAACCAAGATTTAAGCTTATGGATATTGTATTATCAAGAGAGTACTTTGTTCAACAATCAAAAGTACTATTTATGGGTTCATTTGGAATACAGGACTATAATGCAACCAGCCAGAACAAGTTTGTAAAAAGTCGTGAAGCAAGTTAAAAGGATAATGAAGTTATGGTGAATCTCGACTTTTCAGAAAATTACGTGACTAAACTCCAAAACCCAATCCAGGCAATTTATTATTCCAACGATCAGATAACTGTTCATCCGTGTTTATTTTACAAAAAAATATATGACGGAATTAGTTACAGGATAGTTTAATAATTATTTCGAAACGTTTAAAACATGATAAAAATGCCCTTTCTTACTTTAAATAGCCACTGCAGCGATTATGGAATAAAAGTTGAGTCCTATTTTTTTGCGAGCTATCATAACAAAAGTCCTTGCGATAACATCGGAGGGGGAGTGAAAAGGCTTGCTCGAAATAGTAGCTTGAACGGTAAGACTATAAGTAATGTGTTGGTTATATAAATGGGCACTGCAAGCAATGCCTAAAACTAGTTTTATATGCTGTAGTAATAAAGACCATGAGACATATAAAATAGGATCAAAATATAGATTCGGAAAAGCTGAAACAGTATCAAATACACAATCATTTCACGCCTTCATTCCCATAGGGGATGAAGATATAAGCAAAAGCACAATTTGTATTGAATATAAATAACTTTCAAATACTCCGATTAAAAGATGCGTCGTGCAGTACGAGCCTAGCGCTCGGGCAGAACTCCTTTTTTCAATCGGTGCCACGTGTTCCTTTATGTCGAGTACTTGAATTTTATAACAGGTTTTTATAAAAAAAAACCCTCAGGAAGACGCAGGAGCAAGAATTTAAAAAAACTAATTTTTGTGGCATTCGAATTTGTTTATGAAAAAATTTAAAAACATTTTGTAATAAAAAAGTATCGTTTATCGATTATTTATTTATTTTTCAAGCTTTAAGCTTTATAAATTTTATCATTTTCTTTTTAAAATTAATCACGTTTGGTCTAATTAATATTTTGCTATAAAAGTTCAGGCAAATGATGACCTTTATATATGCAACAATTGTGCAAAATTCAGAACACAGTGCTCCTGAGCTGATTGAAATAGCTAAAAATTACCCACATATAGTAAATGAAAGCAAACCGACACATACAATGTTCATCCTTTGAAAAGACACCGGTCTACCGCCTATTAAACTAACATTCCGCAAAACAATCGCGTAAAATATCTAGGTAAATACTTAGACTGGAGACTCACATGGAAATAGAACAGATCCTCACAGAACGAATAAACAAACTACTGCTACATAAACATATGTACTTATAAACTAATATGGACCTATGATATTCAACTATATATCCCTTCAAACTCAAATATTGAAATTCTGGAAAAATATTCATCGAAAATTCTACGTATGTAATATCATACAGACACCATGGTTCATTCCAAACGAAATTGTTCAGTAAAAGAAGAAATTAAAAGCTTCTACGCAAAATACAACAGCAGATTATGAAACCATCGAAATAAACTAATCAGCAATCTAAGTCATCCGTTACTAACACCAGACTCGAGAAACATAAATAAGTGAATGCACGAATAAATATCAATCTATTTGCTACGCAAACTAAAATCAAGGCAGAAAGCTCACTATGGAGTATTCTACTGCGTCACGTGTAAATATATCCTTATAGCAATCAAATTTGCATATTGTCTGATTGTGTTAGACAGATAGTAAATAAACTTGGCGTAATAATAGTAATTAACGATACAAGGGCGATAAGTGACACTTAATGGCCCGGCGAGTTTGGGCCCAAGCGCCAGCGAGGGCGCCAAACGCCGGGCCTTTAAATGTCACTTAGCGTCCGAGTATCGTTTACTATTTTATAGCCCCGAGGGACATAAATCCGCCATCCATGTGGGGTACAGGGGTGCGGGGGGAGGGGGGGGGGGGGGGGCGCAGCCCCCCGAGTCAAAAATAAAATTAAAAGAAAAATCATGAAATAACGTGGTTGCGGTTAGATCCATGAAAACACGCTCTCCTGGCGCCATCTGTGTTCATGTTTATATAGATACATATACATGACTTATATCTTCACTCTTCCAAGCAGTAGTTTCAAGTTCTTCGCTCTTCAATTTTTGATAATATCAAATTTTTTTCTTTTAACTTGTACTGTGTAATTCACAAATAGTAATATTTTAAAGTAGTTTTATGATTTCAATAAGATTTTTAAAAACTTGTAGATGTCTTTATGAAATAGCATATATAAAGATTTGATATATCTATATTGTTTTTAGATAAAAGTTTTATATTTTTGTATAAGTTTTGTAAGTTTTATAGTTTTATATCTTTGCATGTTAAAGGCATGTTTAATAAAAGTAAATTTTGAAAGATAAGCTTTATTTTCTAATATCACAAGATGAAAACTTTAATGCAATAGGTTTTTGAGATTGTAAATTTATTATTTCAAATTATTTCAAACTAAAAAATTTTTTTTTATTTGTTTAATAATTATAAATATTTCAATATTATTAAAAATTAGAATTATACTACACTGCTGTTATTTAAATTCAAAATTTGTTATTACCTTGAAATGAATGAATTTTGCTTGAAAAATTTTATTAGTCAATATAACATACATAAGCTGTTATAAACTAACCTAAAACTATCGATACGGTTGCGCGTTCGTGATTGAAAAAAAGACCGTCATTCCATCGGGCCGTAAGTGTAAGACCGTCAGTGTACCGGGCCCTTATGTTGTACTTATCGCCCGAAAAAGTGGGCCATAGGTGCGGATTTATGGCCCGCAGGGCTATAAAAAATAACTACATACTTGAGCTCAGACCGATGCTGCATGTCAAATTCATCTTTGATATATGTGCTATTGAATTGACCAAATTTTATTATAAATAATAAAATCGGCAATTTGCTCGTTGCATCTGTAAGTTGGACATATAATTTATGATTGTGTAGGATCCAAATAAAAGCATTAATACAGTAATATATTATTTTGTAATATTTACTTTTATTACAAAATGATCATGTTTAGGCTACAACATGTAATATAATAATTGCGTTTGGTCTAGACCTTTACCGAAACGAACAGAAAAGAAAGAGAAATGGAAAGCTGAACTGCACCACGATTTACTTTCTATTGCGTGGAATTCGTCACTTGCAATAAGATTGGAAAAAAACGAAAAACGTCAATTAAAAGCGATAGTTTAAAAGCAAACAATCATTGTGCTAAAAACTGTTTCCTCGAGCATTCGCAAAAACAACACCGCTTCAATGCATGTTATACAAATGTATGAAAAGTCGCCGTTAATTGAGCGAGCATCTTCCCGAAAAGTAATAAAGGCGAGCTTTTCATTTGTAACACCATTTTTTCAATAACGGAAAGATAAAACTCGGAATGAAGCTCGCTTGCAGAATAAAGATTTTCTCAAGGCGCCACTCTCAAGAACCCAAGAAATTGTCGATTTCGTGATGAGAGAAAAAATAAGAAATAGATTATATACATCAGAACTGACGTATACGCTCGAGAATTGCAGTGAAAATTATTAAATTAGCTCTAATAAATCATATATCTTTCTTCATTTTTCTCCCTTTGCTCACACGCAACTCTTTCTTATATATATATTTTTTAATAATCTTTTTCCTTTGTTCCTCCATCCTTTCACCACTCGAAAGAACGGGAAAATTAGATACCAAGCAGTGCTAATCCTATAATAATTGTAATATCTTTTTTATTTATCCTATATATATATATATATATATATATACACACACACACATCTCGCATGAAATAACTAAACCAGACATGATTTTTTCAATTATTTAATAATTATTATATAATCTTCTGTGGCGCAACACACATGATTTCCATTCGACAAAAAACGTTTCACAGGCAGTCGAAGATCAGGAGAGAGCCATGCACGTTTTCCTTTTTTGCATTTATTATATAACTTTTTTCTTTATTTTTATAAATGATTCTTATTAACGACTTTTTATTTATCAATCCTAATCTATTTGATTTATTGTTTTATATTTTTTCTCGTTCGCCGGAAAATTATTTAATATGAAAAATGCATATTTAATGTATTGTAATGAACAAACGCACTTATTCATCAGAATGAAGCTTAATAAAAAGAAAATTGCATTTGAATAAATTTTAAAATTGTATAAAAGTCGAATAATTTACTTTGAGTTGACATATTCGACTTTTATAGATTCAATTAAACAAAAATTCTATTAAAAACTGTTTAGCACCAACACAACTTAAATAATGTTCAATCTGATGAATAAAAAAGTAGTATATAAATACTTTACATTGAAATATTACTCTCATACCCGAATTACTAATCTTATCATATTTTGATTAGTCGTTAACAAAAAGACAATTCGATACAAGCGGCACATATTGCACATCGAGCAGCCTCGTGCTCTTCGACTCACTTTTTTTATATATAATAATCATACATAATCTGTTTTCTCTATGATCCAGTGTGCGTGTGCGTGTGCGTGTGCGCGCGCGCGCGTGTGTGTGTGTGTGTGTATGTATGGGTATGTGTACGTGCGTGTGTGTTTTATAACCTTAATATTTAATTGTATTTTTCATCCTTGTAAGTCGTTTACGTTCTTCTTCGTAGCATATTCAAGTAAAATTTGTAAAATACAATATACTATTGGCTATTATAAATTCTGAATTCTTCACGTTTTTTGTTTCGTTATAAATATTTATCATATAGTAGTAGTCTTCACACCATTTTTCCTGTTAATTCTTAACTGTTAGTTTATATTAATAATTATCATCGTCTTTATTTAACACTATTGTAGCCATGACACTCTCGCGTGATCAATCCATTTATTTTCATTCACTAAAAACCACCGTTTTTACCATTTAAATATTACATTTGTGCCCGTTGCACTATGACGCGTTGTTAATTTTGTTTGTTTCCTTAACAAATACCTTTTTTTATTCAGCTTGACTGTATGTATACAATACATATACATATTAGATTACCTAAAAGATTTACCATCGTATTTACATATATACAAGCGCTTAAGAAGAGAAAAAAGAGAAAATAAAAATCAACATCGCTTTCGCGAAGAATTTCTTCAATTTTTTCTGCTTCCTACAACGTAGCACGCGCCCGTTATGAAGCAATCATGTTGACTGGTTGAGGACATTACTAGGCAACAGCTTTGGAAGCAATTTCTTAATTCGGGCTGCTCAGTTTCTCACATTTTTACTTATTATCCTTTTTTTTGCCAATTAAAAAAATATACACTATTTCCATTTACACACGTCATCATCCGATTGTACACGAATGAAAGAAAGAAAAGCAACAAAAGTTCGGAGAACCTTCTCAGATCTGTTTGCAACTTCCTTCCATTCGTTAAAACAACAATTCATAACTTGTTCAAAGAAATTCCTCTATTCGGTTCTCGCCCTATCAATCGGCTCGCGATCTGGTAAAAAAAGAAATAGATTTCTTTGATCACGTGTTTAAGGAAAAAGCACGCACGCACACGCATCACCGAAATTTAGGACAAAACCGTAGCTGCTTAGAATTCGGGTAGGTAAGTCTCGTGAGATTGACAGATACCAGTGATTATCAGTCACGTAGATGATCAGACGAGAAAGTCATTCCGTTAAAAAAAAGAAACATTGAAAATATAGCACAATACGTGTTCGTCGTCGTTAAAAGTATATATAGGTTTATATGCGAGTGCGCGCACGTGTGCGCTCGCGCGCGTGCGTGTATGAGTGTATAACCGAAGTATTCGCATCATCGTTCGACAGTCTACCTCTAAATGTCACTCATTTATCGTCGCACCTGACCAAGGCCCGACTCATGCTACGACTCGAGATCGTCCTCACGTTGACTACTGAAGTAGGACACAAGACCACCAAATTCGCCACTTCCCTCTTCATCAGTATGTTTGTACGGGTGTCCCGGATGATGTGCAGATGGTCCGTGAGGATGAGCAACCTGCGGCGGTCCAGTTGGACCTTGTTGCTGAGGCGGTCCTTGACTTGGAGCTGATGGACCTTGCGAAGCTGCCTGTCGCGCGGGTGGTGCTTGTTGCTGTGGTGGAGCTTGTGGAGGTGGCGGTTGAGAGTCCGACTGCGGAGACGAGTAGTGTTGTTCAGCCGAGCTAGCATACGGCGAGCTTTGGTAAGCGGCAGCGTCGTCAGCCGTAGACATCGGAGGAGGTGGCGGATATGCTCCGTAATGATAGCTGGGAGGTGGCGGATGATACGGCGAGAAATTACTGCGACTTGAAGGAGGCGATGGCTGCTGCAAGGTGTGACTATTGACCGAAGTATTGGTAAACGGTGGCAGTGGATGCCTTGCGCCAGCAGCTATCTGTGTATCGGCAAATCGAGCTGGAACGCCACGAACGTACGGAGGTGGTGGTGTTGGCCCACCTTTGGCCAATGGACTGCCAGCAGAGGGTGGAATCATTTGAGGTGGCCCAGTCAGAGGCGAGCTACGGTCACCACGATTGTTTATCGAGATGGGACCGCCACCCGATGGCGACGGATCCATTGGATGATGTGGCGTGTGATACATTTGTGGCGCAGGTACTCGCAATCGCATGCCTGGTGGTGTGCCAGCCCGCATCGCTGCAAAGTGTGGTGGTAAAGCTTGCTGTCCTGGCTGGCGGTAAGGTGATGGGATTCGTCCTGGAACTGAAGAGAGTTTCATTTTTTAGTTAACTTTTTAATAACGAAGAAGTTTGTAGTATCGCAACTATCAGCAGTCAATATATTTTTATCATATGTAAATGTAACGCCTACATCTCAATGTATTTTATTTATTGAATTAAATTATTTGCTAATTTTACGACGATTATTAAAAATTGTTGAAATAAGTTGTGTGTAATTGCACCACTCTCTAAAAAAAAAGATAATTAAAAAAAATTAAAAAGTAAACGCCCCCGGGTGGGCTCGAACCACCAACCTTTCGGTTAACAGCCGAACGCGCTAACCAATTGCGCCACGGAGGCTTCGAATTACGAGACCAAAACGTCTAACACCTTTATACGCATCGTATATTATATTTCTACTTACTCAAATTCCAATTTAATGATTTGAAATTTGATTTTTTTTTTCAGAAAGTTATCTAACATTCAAAATGTATCTTGGGTTATGTGAGTTTTTATATATTTCGTCATCAAATTTATGATTATCAAAAATTGAAATTATTCTTCAATTAATGTCACATACGTAAGAGTGGAGATGCGGTATAATTTTATTACTGGAGAGTACCTTATCTACTCCATTTCTATGATGTTATCATGCGTGATTCGCGTCAATGAAGCCAGACTTCGTACAAGTCTATATTATCTTTAGGAGATTCACACTTAAATGAATCTGCCTTATTCAACTACATTAAAAATAAATAAATAAAACCAACAAACACACAATTTTTTTAAATCAAACTTGCTTATGTTTTCTAAAATTATTCTATAAGACTATTATCAACGTACCTCTACTTTGCATATCATAGCCAGGCCTAGGTCCAACCATCATTTGACCAGCAGCATTAGGTCCACCAAAGTATTTATGTCCCATAGCAGCAGCCGCAGCAGTAAATGATTGAGGACTTCCAACAGGACTTCCAACAGGCTGTGATTGCAGCATTCTTGTAATAACTGAAGATTGCGGTGGGCCCTGAGGTGGCAATGATGGATACACAGCCTGAGGATTCGATGGCTGACTTGAAGCTGGCACGTTTGCTGGTGGCGTCGACGGTGCCGAGCCGGAATTACTGCTACCTGGTGTTGGCATAACACCGGTTTGCATTTCCTCCAATTTAGCCAGCTCTGCATTTGTCTCCGTTGACAAACCAAGAATACCACCTTCAGCGGCTGCTTTTGCTGCAGCCTCGGCTGCTCGAGCAGCTTCCATCGCAAGCGTTTTTTTGCCTTTGCCACGACCGCGACGCTTAGGCTTCATGGCGCCGTCTGGATTGAACATTGACTGATTTTCCATCATCTGAAAAAAGATTTGATCGTACTATAAAGATAATATAAATAAAGTCAACATACTTGATATAAAAAAATTATAATGTAATTTACCTCTCTCATTCCTGGCATCATCGCCATCATAGGATTTTCCATCATTCTTTGATCGCACATGGGCTGATCCATTACCGAAGGTAAATGCGATGGCATTGATGGCACAACTGCCGCCGTGGCTGCGATAATGTCTGTAGGAGAAGGTACTACTGGAGGAGGCGGGCCTTGAGGGATCGCGGGCGATAAAATTTCTGGTGCCTGGCCCATTGACTCCCTGCGCATCTGTTCTGCAAGAATTTCAGCTTTGCTTCGTCGACCGCGTTTCTTTTTCTTAGGCGTTTCACCGTCTGCTCCTTCAATGTTCTCTTGACGTTCAGCAGCCAGAATTTCGAGAGCCTTTTGACGTGCTTTTTCGAGTTTCTTTGCCTCACGTTCTTCTTTTTTCTTCTTTTTCGCGATTTCAATGGCCGCGAGTTCAAGCTGACGCCTACCATACTCTTCATCTTCCATCATCATTTGATCAATTTGATCTTCATCTAAACCTTCTAACTCCGATGGTCCGAGGCTGGCTAATGAACCTAAAAAGTTTTTTTAGCTGCATTCTCTCAAAATATGTAGATAAAATTGAAGTGATTTATGCTATTAACCATCAGCACCACCAGTCATGCCTTGAGGATCATCAACCTGCATTCCAGAGAGCATGTCTGCGTCATTAATGAGACCAGGATCTATTCCAGACAAATCGTCACCGGATCTGCCTCGTTTTTTACTGCCAGGTTTTGGGCCTGGCTTTTTTCGTTGCTTAGGTGTGCCGTCATCTGATAATGATTTCCTTTTTCCACCGGGACTCTTTTTGCCTCGGCGCATTTTCGGTGATTTGTTTTTCGCTCGCAACGATTGCTGTTTTGGTGAATAAACATCTCCTAAAAAATAAAAGCAATGTCAATTCTTAATCAAACTAATTTTAAAAATCCTTAGTCTTATCATAAAATTACCAGAATCAGAATCTTTTTCATCGCCATCGTCGATACCATGATGTTCATGAACAACGAATTCGTCTTCAGTCTCTTCTGTTTTTCTTAATGCTTTCTTCAACTCCTATAATTTAAAAGAATAAAATAATTGATGATATTCTCATTGTTGTTTTCATTAAAAGTCAACGAATATCTAATGAAACTCGCCTCATCACTGTCAGATGGCATAGCATCGAGATAGCTGATTTTGCGACCACGTGTTCGCCTGCCCAAGGTCGTTTCCTCTTGAGCCATTTCGCTCTCATCTGGGATCCTGCCATAAATAACTTTCCGCCGTATCTTTTTTTGCTTGGGTTTCTCCTCCTATGGAAATGCACATGTCACATTACACTCACATTGCACTCGCACCGTTAAATAGAATTTGATCGAAATTTGTACCTTCTTTTTCTTTCTCTCATCTTCCTCGACAACAGGTGGTACGTACTCGGGAATCAACGCTGCAGCTGACAACGGCTCAACTTCCTGCAACTTAATTTCCTGTTCTATAAGTGCAGCCTCGTCTACCGACATCTCGATGTCTGGACGTTCCGAGACTTGCTCTGGAATCTCGGCGATGAGTTGTGGCACAGGTTCAGGCTGTTGTGCTGGCGGTACCGGTATTGTTAATGGTCCTTCAACTGGGGCTGGCAACTCTACATGAGTAGTCATCTCGGATGAAGCGACTTCGTCAAACTGCATCTCTTGTTCGTCTTCCTCTTCACTATCGGCAGTAATTATACGTTTTCTCTTCTTCTTCTTTTTGCTGCTCGACTTGACTTTCGTCGTTGTTTTACGCGAAGAAGATGTTCTCCGTCTACACAAGATAAATAATGTTTAGCACGCGGTACTCTCGCTGACGATAAATTTGTTGCATTTCTGATGGTTTCAAACCTTTTCTTTTTGTCTCTCCACGAGTTGTCGCTTTCCTCGCTCTCCTCTTCGCTTTCGTCGTCGCGCCAACTTTGTCGCGACTTCTTTCGCTTTGGTCGATCGCTGTCGTCACTATCATCGTCGACTAAAAGACATTTTTACAAGATCGTTATTAACTGAACCCTCTTTTTTGCAAAAGAAAAAAAAACATCAAAAAAACTTGAAGGACTCGAAAAGAAAGGCGTTACTCGTTTTCCCGCGCAATGAAACTATCTCTTTATTTTACGTTATTGTGTCGCAAGTGGCCAAGAGAGCCCTCTAAGCCGCTTACTCACTCACTATTGTCACTCACTACTCTCTCTCTCTCTCTCTCTCTCTCTCTCTCTCTCTCTCTCTCTCTCTCTCTCTCTCTCTCTCTCTCTCTCTCTCTCTCTCTCTCTCTCTCTCTCTCTCTCTCTCTCTTCTCTCTCTTTCTCTCTCTCTTTCTCTCCATTCTTTTCATTCGTTCTATCTCTTTCCTTTTACTCTCTTTACTTTCTATCGCTATCCTACCACGTGTTGCGCGACACCAACTCGATTTTACTTGTTTACGTATTACGTACGGAGCGTTCGATTCGATCAATTCACGCGTGCACAATTTCCAAAATTGATGCTTACATCAAACGCCAGTTTTCTTCCTTGTAAAGTTCGAATGTATAATAGTTGTTCATTTTATTAACAATTTGCATGTAAATGGCGCTGTAAAATTATCTGCATTTCGTGATCGCAATAATATTCCTTAAAAGCCGTCGTATTACTATCTTTTACTTTAAAACCGTTATTTTAAAAGTGAAAAAAGCGAGTGTACTCACTAAATTCCTCGTCGTAGCGTGTCATTCTAGTTCTCGTAGACCTCCTTATCGGTCTGAAACTACGTCTTCCACGCCTTCTGCTGCTTGAGTCATCGCTGTCGTATTCGGAGCTAATAGGCTCGTCGAGGTCTTCCTCGTCTTCCTCTGATGTTGATCCTTTAAAGTCTTCATCGCTATATGGATCGTCTTCTTCGCTACTGACGTCGAGACTATTTAGTTTACGATGCTTCTTGCGAGCTGCCAATTTTTGTCTTTGTGCATTTTTAGCGGCGCGACCTTCATCTTCTTCTTCCTCAGCCTCGTTTTCTTCTTCTTTTTCCACTTTGTACTCTTCGTCGCTTTCTTTCTCTGATTTTGGTTCTTCGAGTGCATCCTCGTCTTCCTTCAACTGTTTCATAGCTTCTAGAGCTTTTTCTTCCTTCTCAGCGTTAACGATTGTAGAGATGTCTTTACCTCGACCTTGATTACCAGCACCCTAAAAATATTCATTCAACAAATGATTTTCAAATAGACTACATATGAATTTTTATGCTATTTAATAAATAAGATTTGCTTGGAAAGTAATACTATTTTTTAATATTGTTGATTGTTAATTTCAGATAAAAATTTTAAATTGATAAGACAAGACATGCTCAAATAAAACTTCCTCGTTATACATTATAAACTCTCTCACCTTAACAGCCTCGACTTCATCTCCAATAGCAGCGTTGATCATTTCGTCAAACTCATTGAATTTATATGATGTAGTTGCACACCTTCTTTCCCTCAACTGATACACAGGTTCGCTCTCGTCTGTACTAGTTTCGCCAGAACTAGACTCACTACTGGAACCTTCCTCGCTCGATTCATCATCATCTTCATCATCATCATCATCGTCATCGTCGTCGTCTTCGTCGTCGTCATCACCGCTGGATACTTTTGATTCCCTCAGTTTTCTGTTACCATCGCCTTTTTGCAGTACATTGTCTAAGCTGATATCAACGTACGCTAACCTCTTCTTCCTTAGTATTTCATTCTCGTGCTTTTTCGTCAAGACGTCGAAGTTCTTTAAGCTCTCTTGAAGTTTAACAACGAGACTCTGATGCTGACAAGGCGGGCAGAACCAATCGCCTTCGGGAATGAGCATCAAGGCCGGTCGTAAACAAGAGCAATGCCAACCTTTATCACAACTGTCGCAAAGAAGTATCCACTCGGGATGATCAGCTTTGTTACATTTCTGACAGGCATATTCATCAGCATCTGCATCCTCTTCATCGCTTTTTGGTTTTTGAGCTGTTCTAGCACGACGTAGTGGCTCAGATTCTTGATCATCTTTCTCAAGGTCACTCTCGGGAGAAAATTCGTGATCACTCTTGAACACGAGCTCATCGTTTTCGCTCTCAATTTCAATTTCGTCTTCATGATCTTCTTCGTCACTTGTTGAAGAACCTGATGAACTCTTCCATGGATTAGATTCGTTAAACTTTGCCGCGAGCTTCTTCTTCTTGCGTCGGTGCTTTTTCTTAGCTTTTCCTTCGAGTTCCTGAAAATCACGATATTTTATTATAATAAAATATCGTGATCGTGTCTTTAACTTTTAATTCTTAAAAGATTGAGTCGATGAAATAAAAATTAATTAAGAAAGTATTTTATGAATATTAAGCACTAAACAATGAGAAGGACTAATATCTCTATGTACTTGGATTAGACAATTTTTAAATGTAACTCACTTTCATCATTGCAGCATCTTCCTCACTTTCTTGTTGTTGCTTCTTTCTTTTCTTTTTCTCACCATCATGCTTATGATGCTTATCTCTTTTATGCTTTTTATCATCAGCCTGTGCTTCATCCTCCCTGCTTTTATCAGCTTCCTTCTTGATCCTCAACTGAGCTAACCTTCGCGAAGCTCTGACTGGAGGTTCACCGTTATCAGTTGTTTCCACGGCATCAGCAGGAATTTCAAGACCCAGCAACATGTTACGCTTTTTGCGCTGCTTTTTTTCCTTGCGCTCGGCATCGTCTTTCTTTTCAGTTGTGGATTCTTCTGAGAGCTTTTCTGTTTTAGACGCAGGTTCATCATTGTCGGCTTTTTTTGTAGTAGCTCTTTTAGCGAAAGCACCCTTGCGTTTACGACCTTTCGGACGGCCTTTCGTTTTTTTCGTCGATGAGGATTTCTTCTTTTCTCTGTCTTGACCTTCTTCACCTTCCTTACTTTTTTGAGCTTCCTCGTCAACCGTGACTATAGCTTCCTTTTTACTGTCGTCTTCGGAGCTAACACTGATTTGTCTGCTTTTCTCTACGCTTTTTCGCAGCTCGATATCCGGTGATCGTTTTGCTCGAAGTTTCATTCTTTTACCACCTGCGACCTCGTCTTCGTCCGTTTGCATTCTCATTACACTCATGTCTTCGCAATTGGAGTCCTGTGCCGGACCACTGTTACGTCGTTTTCTTGATGTCCGAACCTCTCGTTCAACAGGTGTCTCCGTTGCATCGTTGTTTTTGCCAGCTAGTTCGGTAACGCTTTTTACATGGACGAAAGCCGCTGGAGCATCATCGGATTCTGAATCAGCTAGTGGATCATGATCGTCCGTAGGCGGAGCGTCGAACATGCTTTCATCATTGTCTATGCCCATTGAGACATCGGATTCTTCAGCATCAGCTTTTTGTTCGAAAATACTTTCTTGCTTGTGTTCGGTTTGTATTTTCTCTTGAGCTTCCGAAGGCTCATCCGGAAATTGTGGTTGCTCTTCATGTGATTCAGGCTCCATTAATTCAGTTACTGGAGGCTTTTTTGCTTCCTCAATTTTTATTGCAGACTCCTCAACTAATAACTTAGCCGGTGGCAGAAGTTCTTGGAGCAATGTTTCGGACTCCTTTACTTCAAACAACCCTGGCTTTGGAAGTTTTTCGACCACTGGTTCTACACCTTCTTGAATAAGATGTGGCTCTGGAATCTCTCTTTCAATTATCTGCGGCTCAGAAATTTTCTCTTCAAAGAACTGAAATTTTGAAAACTTTCCTACAATTGTTTGTGGTTCAGAAATTTTTTCATCAATAGATTGTGCTTCTGAAACTTGTTCTTCTATAGACTGTGGGCCTGGGACCCTTTCTTCAATTACCATTGGTTCAAGAATTTTTTCTTCAACAGACTGAGGTTTACGAATCTTTTCTTCAATAAGCTGTGGCTGCGGTTCTGGAACTTTTTCAATAGTCTGCGGCTCAAGATTCTTTTCTTCGAATGGCTGTGATCCTGACATTTTTTCTACAATTGTCTTCGGCTCAGAAATTTTTACTTTCACAGGCTGTGATTCTGGACTCTGTCCTTCGATTACCTGCAGTTCCAAAATTGGCTCTTTATTAGACTCAGACTTCAGAGATATTTCTTTTATCGACCCCGATTCAGGAAATATTTCTTTTACAGGTTCTGTCTCGAGAACATTATCAGTAGAAACTTCCGACGATACGTTTTCGACAAGTGTATCTTCAAAAATCTTCTCTTGAATAACACTTAACTCTTTCATTTTTGCAGTTTTATCACCTTCTATAATTGGTTTTTGCTCTTCCATTTTTTCAATAAATACAGACTCTATTTTTTCTTTAATTTCTTTGCTAGCCACCTTTTCCAGAATATCCTCAGTTTCCATTGGTAACTCTTCCGAGATTTTACTTGATGCTTTCGACGGGATTACACTGCTTTCACATGGATTCACTTTCACAGGAGAACAATCGTCTAATTCAGCAGCAGATAATATCCTTTTGACATCTTTTTTTAATTCAATTTCAATATTCGAGTTTTCATTCCTGCAATTTTCATCAATTTCTGTGGAAAATTTTTCTTGTTTAGAAAATATTGCCTCGTTTTTTAATTCGTTTGTGTCCACATATTTCTCATACTTATAACTGTCAAACTTATTCTCGAGTATCATAGAATTATTAGGCATCTCCATTTGATACGAAGGTATCACTTTATTCTTGGGCGAAATTTCATTGATTTGATGCTTATTATCATATAATGTGTTAAGATCATTTATTTCTTCTTTACGTTTTTTAGCTACTTGGAGTATTGAACTTTCTTTATCGTATTTGATGTTGTATTCGGTAGTATTGAATTTTTCTTCATAAAATAATTTTTCTTTTTGCTCATTCAGCCTTTCATTTTGTAAACAAGATTTCTCCTGGACGTCGTCCTTAACTAATTTATTTATATCTAACTTTTCATCTAGAATTTCCAAGCTACTACTTTGGTGATTGAGAAAATGAATGTCGTTCTTTAGTTTTTCTTTCATTTCGAATTTCAAGGTATTTACAGGTTCAATTTTTTCATGCGCATCATTAACTTTACATTCTGTCTCACTATTCTTTACTATGCTTTCGTCTTTGATGGGGAATAATTCCACTTTCGACTCTTCAACTGCTTCAATTGCTGGTTTACAAACTTTTTCGGGTACATCTCTTTTTAAAATTTGATTGTCTTCTACGTTTGGTGTATCGATTGCTTCTGCAAAACTTTCAATTTTGTGCTCTGTAAGACCTGTTTCTGGGGTTTCTATTTTTTCGGTCTGTGCAGTAATAAGGTTTACTTTCTCTTCCTTAATAATATTTTTGTTTTCCGTTTTTTCACTACTGTCGAAAGCTTTGTGAGTGTCGAGATCATTTGAATCACTGTCATAATTAGCTACTAGCGATTTATATTCTGATGCAACAGCGTCATTTTTACTGTCTGACATTTTTACTTCTTCTAATACCCTTGACTTTACAGTATGATCTTTCGGAATGTCCTCGTCAATACTACTATACGTTTCTTTTTTGATTTTATCAATAGCACTAGACGTTTCCTCATTAATTTCATCTTTTATACTAGTATCAGGATCAACTGTTTCAATAAGATCTTTAATTCCATCTTTAATATCATTAATTTTACATTTTTCAATCGAATTTTCATACACTGGAAGATTTACATCATCAACCCCTAAATCATTTTCTTTTGGCTCATTCTCAACAAGATCATCAACTGTATTGTCATCACCAGATAGTTTTTCAATCATTGATGTATCCGCAGGTGAATCTGGTTCCGTCACTATATCAGCGACCGAACTATCATCATCATCTGGTACACTAGAGCACTCAACGATTAAACTTGATACTTCTGACTTGTCATCGTCGGCTTTCTTGCTGTTAATATTTTCGGCTCTTAGCTTTACAGCTAAATTTTCTTCCGTTAGTAAGGATGGTTGTGGTAAATCTGAACTTACTTCATCTTTCACAGCTGCTGGTGCAATAAAATTATCAGCATCTACAGATTTTTCTTCCAGAATACTTGTGGGTTCTTGAAATTCCGAAGTGCTTTGATTTAAAAAACTTCTGTCCATTTTAGAAACTGATGCAAAGTGTCTTGGTGTTTTTGGAGTAAAAAAATCAGAATCCCTGGAAACTAATCTAGAGGTATTTTCTAGAGAAAAAGTTTCATCCATTTTCACAGTATCATCCAAGGCTAAATCAGAGTCTCTTGCCACAGTACTTGATGGACTGAGTGTAGAAGTTTCCATAATTGGAAGAATGTCATCCAAATTCAGTTTAGGAATATTGGATTCACTTGGTTTCAGTTGTTCATCGCTGGTAGAACTATCTTCCATTTTCTGTTCTTGTATTTGTTCAATCTCATCTTGTAAACTAGATACCAAACTTGTGTCTGGTTCAGATCCCTTTCCTTCTGTAGGTTCATCATCCTTTTCCAATGTCGACAACAAACTAGTTGTAGAGTCTGCTGGCTCTTTACTTTGGAAGACTTCATTTAACAATTCATTATCATCATTAGCAACTTCAGGTTCACTGCTTGTAGAACTTTCTACGTTGGGAGCATCTTCAGTAAGAACGGTACTCAAACTATTAGAAGGTTTATCAGTACCCTCACCCATACTCGACAACGTCGCTTCTAGATCTGGTGAGTCATTCTTTCTCCCTTCATCCAACTTTGAAAGTTCAAGTTCCAAGTAGTCTTTATCATACTTTTCAGACAACTCTATCTTTTTCAACTCTTTAACAGACTTCTCATCATCATCCATAGCAGCTAATTCATTTTCAATATCATTAGGCTCTTCGACTTTCTCCGTACTAGACTTGGATTCCTCCGTCATCGATTCATCACCAGATTTAGCAATGCCATCGTCGGGCATAAGTGACTCAATCACAACCTCATCAATCACACTTCGTGAGTGATCGGCAACGTCGTCCGTTTTTTGATCAGTCGATCCGGTGACTGCGTTATCGCTCTGATCCGCTACCGAGATATCTTTCGATTCCTCAACTTCACCCGTTTCACTATAAAACTTCGATGTCGATTCTGGCATCTCAGAAGACTCGCTAGGCTTCTCTTCAGTGCTAGACGTAACGTCACCTTCTAATTCTTCAAAAAGCTTACTTGTAAACTTGTTGACGGCGTTTAATGAAGCTTCATCGCAACTCTGTACGTCTAATAAGGCTTTTTTTTTGACATCGTTACTCGTTTCCGCTTCGACCATCTGCTCAACGCTTGTGTCGCATTCCATTTTCTCATCGTTATCGTTGACACGCGTAGGAACAATTTTTTCAACAATGCTACCGCTACTGCTGCTTTCTTGCTTATCTTCCTTGGGCCGTGATGAAGCACTGTACGACACACAGTTTGGCCCAAAGAAAAATTTAGGCGGCGATGTCGTCGTTTCCTCAGGCTTATTTGATATGTCTGACGAAGCTTTCTTGGGCCCGCCAACATCCCATCTAGAGCTTCTTTTAGGAGTTGTTGACGTTGATAAAAACACTTGTACCCCAAGCTTAAATTTAGATTTCGTTGGACTTTTCAACTCTGCACTACTGCAAGCTTCCTCGGGTGTTTCTTTGCCACTGCTGTCGGCCTCCTGTTTGTTTTCGTCAGCAGGGTTGCCAGTGTCGCACTCTTGACCCAAACCTTCGCCGTAGATATACATGATCGGCTCCTCGATAGCTTCACCGACAATAGGATTACCCGCATCACAGTCACTACCAGATCCTTGACCGTGAATCATCATAACAGGCTCTTCGATAGCTTCGCCGACTTCAGGTCGCCAATCGTGCCTCTGTTTGCTTGGATCTATGGCACTACGCATCCGTTTTAACGCGTCAACCGGCGGCAGAACTTCGGATTCCATTATTCGTTTCACCGATGTGCCTGACATTCTCAGTGTAGCTAGTTTACTTGGATCAGGAAGCATTGCGTAACTTGGTAGCCTTTGCTGTTGCTGTGTATCGCGAGTTGCCAAATGATATGGTATTCCTGCACCTGGCGGTAGATCGTACGCTGAGTATGGAAGTTGACGCTTGCTTAGGTCTGCGGCTGACACGTGATTGCGCAACATCGCTGTTCGCGCATCGAAAGCTGGATCATACGGAGGCTGCCGAAGAAAATTGTTTTATGTCATAAATTTTTATATTTCTCTTTTTTTTATGTACAAAAAAAATGTTTAATATTTCTTACTTCTGAATGTAAAATGACCAAAGAATAAAACAAGCCAATTTAAAAATAAAATTTGTAAAGAATAAACTATTATTTTAATGCAAGTATAAATTTATGTTATTCTTTGTTTGGAGATAACAGGAAATATAGATTGTCTTACAAGAGTCGAATGCATTTTGCTCGTGCTCTTCTTTGTGCTGAGATCCATTTCCCTGTGTTGTTGCTGATGATAATCGGGATACGTGTAAGACGGATGTAGTTCCGCCGGAGGCTTAGACACTTTTCGACTAGACAGATCCATACCTAAGAAATCAACCGATTTAGCAGTATTACTACTCGAGCCAGATTCCCATCCTCGAGGTGATGTTGACAAGTCGATGCCTCTGTGACTTATTTGTTGTTCTTCACCATTAGGTAGAACATTGGCGTGACTTTTAGCCAAATTTTCAGCAATTTTGTCGAGCTTGCTTGTTGGTTTCTCTAGCTTTTCCGTCTGTATACGCACAAGATTTGCCGCTAATTGATCGATGGGCTTGATTGGTAGCTTGGTATGTCCACCAATAATTGACTCATCCATCAACGTTGAATACGGCGAGTCCGTTATCACTGGTACTTTACCTAAATGAATACCTATTTCAAGCAACAAATTTTATAATAGTATATTACATACCTAGGCCGGGAAAGTATTGATAAGTCAATTGCACGTGAGAATTTACAACCTAGGTGAAGCCGAGGTTGACAAACACATGCTATAGGCTTACCAATACTTTTCCGACCTAGATACGTAATCTACAAGTTTTTAAATTTTAAGTACATACCAGGTAGTTCTGGTTTTTTGTCTGGCATTTGTTTCAAATCAGCGATGTTTACGAGTTTGAGGGGGGAAGTTGTAATAACAGGCGTTTCAATAGCCTTAGGTGGGTCTATCGTTACTCCGTTTTTTACGTTATCGATCTTTTGTTCAAATATTTCTTCTTTTTTCAGAGATCCTTCAACAACGGGAGCTGATCGTTCAAATTTCGGCGTTGTCACCTCGTTAATTACTTCCATTTTCGCTTTAACCTTGTTATCTAACTCTTCACCTGATGGTTTTGTGTCACTTTGAACTATCTTACTGTTTATTTCTTTCACAAATCCTTTTTCTTGATACTGTTCTTCCTCTTCTTCCTCCTCATCATCATCTTCACCTTCTTCATCATCATCCTCATCTTCCTCTTCATCTTCATCACCTTCCTCATTATCTTCTACTGTGTTAACTAACTGTTTTGTGGAAGCCTCTTTTACAATTTTCTCAAGCTTTTCAGATTCTGAAGCATCACCGTTCAATGCACTGGTTTCTTCTTGTCCTGTATCAATAGTTGGTTTATCTGATATTTCAAGACTGTTACTGTCTTCGCTAACTGGTATAGCACCCACTTCACCATCTGTTAGGTTGTTTATCAAAGCAACCATTTCTTCTCGATTTCTAAAATAAATTGGTTCAATTAATAACAATCCTTGCTAAATCTTTATGTTTTCATTTTATGAAATACTGATAGAATAAACTTACTTGGCAATCAATTCCCAATTTTCTTCATCCAAGTCCTCTCGATAAACTCGAATATTACACTCTTCATCTAGCTGACACCAGTAATTTAGTCCTGATTTGTCACGTCCTAAAGGTTCTAATCGCAACTCAGTGGCTGATAGCTTATTTACTTCAGTTTTAAATTTTTGATTCAAGTCAAACTGAGCCTCTAATAGAGCCTGTAAACATTCCAAAAATTATGTAACTTGGGATATTTTATTTTCTACACTGAGTACAAAAACAGCATTTTTTACCTTCAGAAGACGCAGTTTAATAGCTATGAGAGCTTTCTTATATCCTATCCGTTCAAGTTCCCAACCATCTTGATTAGAATATGTGTGGCAGAACTTGATAAGTGCTCTTTCCCATTTTTCTGGGACCACACTTTTTCTTGCTTTGCGCAGGAGTTTCACATGTAAATCTACTAATTCTTGTGAAACTGTAGAAAAAATACACTTGTTATAACTATTTCATAGATATTCCTTATATTGTAATCTACCGTTAAAACAAAGAGTTAAGAAAATGAATGAGACAAATGACAATTGGAGGGTCATTAAACAGTAGATGTTAAAAAAATATGTCACTCATCACAAAAGGTATTTAATATATCTTCATGATAATCGTAAATGTAAACAATTCATTACAGCTGACCTAATGTTTTAGACAATGAATAATATTGATACACAATCAGATAAGCATACTCTTCTCTTATTTTCACATAAACGAACACTAATTAATCAGTAAAAAAACTTTTGATATCAATTGGAGGAATAAAAAAATAAGGTATAATTAAAGGAAAAACTGCTGAAGCTTTTCCAAAGCTGTCACGTGCCATAGCAGTACCATCCCGTAATCAATAGCCAACACTGATACGTAAACAAAAAAGGGAAAGATTACATTGATAAAAGCGCCTAAACACCTGGACGTTGCAATCGGCGTCGTTGTAGAGGACATACTGGGAAAACCCGCGAACGGAGAACGTCCGAGTCGAAGAGAGGGGGAAACGAAGAGACAGACACAGCGTAAAGAAAGCAAAGCATGTAAGTTAGGACTAACCTTCCTGGCAATTCTCAAGCATCTCCTGTAGGCGTGCGATGTCCGGGTATTCGAGGCCACAGCTTTTGCCAAAGCACTCGAGAAACGAACAAATTACCGCGAAATTTGGGTCACTCACGCAGGAGGCTTCGTTATCGGACGCCATTTTTACTTGATGATGCCGCCGCCGCCGCCGCCGCCGCCGCCGCCGCCACCGCCGCCGCCACACACACACACGCGCGCGCGCGCGCGAGACTAAGCGAACGCACGGCTACTACGCTGTACTACGCTAGGCGACCTGACGACTTCGAAACACCGATCTGGATAACTATTTTTTTGTTTCTGTCAACAGAAAGAACCATATAAATTCTTTTTTCCTATCCTTTTTTATTTCTATTGCTTTTTTGATTTTTCTTTTAGCACCGACTGCCAGCGTAAGTTTTGTTTTGATCGCGACTTCAGTAGCACTGATACGGTTTTGAACTTGTGTTGGTTATATCTATTCATCATGTATCAACCATTTGTGATTGTTGGTTGCTGTTTTCGTAAAACAAGTCGTTGCAAGAAAATAAACGTATGATCGAGTGTATGAATGGTTAATGCAACTTCAACATAGATTTGATTTTACAAGTATAATATCTAAGCCGACTTAACAAAATTAGTTTCCATGAATAATCATGTACAACGTCGAAGGGTTTTTTAGTAAGAGCCGCGCACGATATCTGTTAGAAGTAGTGTGGGCATTATTCAATCGGGAAAACCTCTACGAAATCACTAAATATACTCCCCAACAATTACAACGTAAGCTAAGGTTCAATTTTGATAAATCGTATCAACAAATGCACTTGCTATTTAAACTTGGATTTAACAATCAAAATCCTTTAAAGCAGTATTGATTTTGATTTTAGAATAGGAATCTGCCACGAATATATTATAAGCGTGCATAGACGTATTTCCCATGTATACGCTTCATTCCAAAAGTTTTCTTCTCAATCTGACCACCATCGTCACTGGATCAAAACAAAACGTACACGCACACAAACAAATGAATTATGTCGTCTACACACAATAATCTTATTCGTTTCTTCTCCACGATACACTCTGTAAAACCACACCTGGGTAATTATTGTCAACAGAGAGACAGACAGTTAGAGAGCAAGAGAGTCGGTTAACTCTCTCCCTCTCTCATTAACTCGAGTAAAGACGTACGCCACCCACTTGATCGGCGTTGTTCTCTCTCGTTTCACGCGAACTGTATTATACACTGCTACAGGTAAATCGCGTTTATAAATAATAATGCTGGCAAACTACGAATATGTAAAGTCGGGCGCGGTTTTGAAGGTTAGACGCCCTCGGCGACAGCGTCGCCGCCCTCAACGCAGCAGCACAAGGACACTGAGCAGTTTGATGAGCGCGAGAGAGAGAGAGGGAAACAACGGCGCCCGCTCTTTTTTTACGCGCAGGCAACTGTATGTCTGTACCTATGTGTGGGTGAACGTTGAGAGAGCGGCCTCAAGGTTCCCTATGCGGATGAAGGAACTTAACGGGAAATCGATGAAAATCGATCCGAAAAAATTATATAAAAATGCACACGATTAGCAAAAATAGCATAATTTATTAATAACTTCACGCAATTTAGTTTTTGTTAATATTCCTGTTTTTGAAAACATTCCTAATGTTGAATACTCTTAGAATAAAAATTCAATCGGCGTAAGCATTTTAATTCGGCTTATATAGAAATGATTATGTTAAATCATACCAACAAATCAAACGCTTTTTTTTCTATTTAATAAAAATATCACTATAATCATCCGTTCAACATATAAACAATATTTCTTAGTGCAACGGTATACCTACGTACCTGAAAAATCAGTCGGTAACATAGATCTACACTTCTGTGGCATTATATTTATACTTTTGATCAATTATTCATAAGATATATTTGTACCTTCACAATATCTATGTCGACAGGAACAGGTCCAGCTTCTTCAATTTTCTAAACTAGTCAAGGTTATCTGCTATTCTTAAGTAAATATTTTAGGTAAAGAATTCTAGGATTGTTTAACATCACTGGTAATTGAATAAATGACATATTTCTATCAGCTCTTGTATGAGCATTTTTGAGAAGATGTCTATGTTACCGAAATTAACATTGGATGTTATTTGAAAAATAACCCATGCTTATAGGTATATACTGATTTTTGAAAGCGTAGTCCTTCTTAAGTCTACGTTATCTACTGATTTTTCAGGTGCATGTATCATTATAATGAAATATATTAGTTTTTCTACAATTTTTCTGAGTTAATTTTCAATGATTTTCCGCTGAATTCCTTCATTCGGTTGAGAGTCGAAAACAGAAAGCCTTACAGCAACGAGAATGAGAGATATAACACCATGGATCATATGAACGTGTGTTCTTAAATTCTGCGCGAAATATTCACGCAGTGTTTAGCCATTATTTTACTTATATTTACATATACTTTGTAAATATCTGTTTCAGATTCTTAACATACTTATAACTGCGAATCTCGGTGAATGCAAAAATACGTAAAGCCTAATAAGGAAGAGATCCCAATGTCGTTCGCTTCATATGCGAATATTCTTGATTTTATTGAGCAATGATTTAAAAGTTCCTGCATAGAAAACCACAGAGTTAGGTTGGGACCAAATCATCAATATGTTAAGCATCATTTGATTAACCAATTAATTTTTGTAAATATACATCGTGTCATGTAAACAAACGTTCTTATACCGCACAGTCAAAACTCATCGTAAATATGTAACTATTTTCTATTTTTTTAGAAAGATTAATTTTCATGCGAGTATGCTAAAAAATAAGATAATTTCCAAATCACTATTTTTTTATACGTATCCAAATGCATAGAAACTAATTTTAATTGTTACTATGAACCACCAATTTTGAACTATTTGATTCAACGTTCGACAGAATATAAGTGTTTTGTATATTAGCAATTAACATTATATTTTCTATGTACCTGATGCAGTTAAAAAAATAATAATTTTTAAACCATTTCGAAGTTTGGCAGCCTACCCGTATATTGGAGTTTTACCTTATCAAAAGTTACTCATGAAGAGAAGAAATTTCATTTCTATAGTGTAAGTTTATAAACACACACAGACACGTGCGCGCGCATGCGAGCATGCACACATATGCAAGAAAAGATAATATATTTATTCGTTTACTCGCATATCTTGTCTTATATATAAAACAAACAGTTGATTCCCACCTTTATCCTCACTTCACCTATTTGTACTACGTGCGTTCAATATATGAACACCCATCCGACTCATATACATTGAAGTAGCTTCAGTACTGTACGTGCAATATAGTGTAGTAAAGTAATCTAAATCGAGAAGATAATCTTTAAGATAAAACGTGTTACTGCCAACGTGTTATGCGTTTAGACGTATACGTTTATGTGAGAAACGAACGCACGACGAGCCCAAACGTGTAAAGTCTAAGGGACTTTCTACAAAAGGAAACATCAAACTTCGGATATTGGCCATCAAACATTTACCATGGTAAAAAAAGAAAGTCAAGTGATACATTACTGTACTAATAATTTTAATATAATAAATTTATATTTTTTATTATTGCTCGTTTTCTGCGCAATCATCGCTACATCCACATGTAAAACAAACAATTTATTTTTTAACTTGATAATCTTAGCACACATTCGATATATTCGTTGTCCGACATCCGATGACTTCTTATATAGAAAACCTCTAATGGTACAATCAAATAACTAAATAATTTACAAAATTACTTCGATTAATCTAAATTTTTTCTTGAAGAATAAATGGTAATAAAAACTTTCAATTTGATCGGTAAAAACAATATAGATTACAATTATTAAGAAAACAAATTTATAATTATTATCAGCGGCTGAAATCGCTACTTAACTGAATAGAGGAAGGGCAGCGACTTCATAAAGTGTGTCTTGAAACCCGGATGTCAGGTATTTCGCAACACGCATTTTACTTGATGTAGTAAAAAAAAGTAAATTAACCCTGGGAGTGAAAATGGTTAGCCCCTAGAAAATATTTAACCCTCTCGGCTTCGCCTTGGGTATCAATATGGACGATTTGCCAATACTTTCATTTCCTTGATTAATAATGTACTATTTGACGATTGAGCATCTATAACACCAAACGAGGTTCGGTTAAGACCTTGTTTCGGTATTTTATATCCTCGCAACTTGCCAGAAAAATGCTTGTTGGATGCGATCGATGCTCAATCGTCAAAAAAAATTCGGATTTTGAACTTCGCAGGCCGCGAATTACATCCGCCGCCAAGTTTAAAATCGAGGATCATAACCACAATAGTTAGACTTTTCTTTTAATTCTGTTAGTTGTGTGATTCTATAAGTGAAAGTTCCAATTTAACCTACATATTGTTTCGTTTCATCAATAAAAATTAATTTCGATATTGAGACGGGTACAACCGCGTAAATATTAAATACTAAAAGTAGTTATATCCTGTAATGCCACCTTATATAAAAAGATTACTAAGTTCTTATAATCTAATACAACCCTCTAAAATTAATAAAATGACTACTTACACTGAAATTGATCTTAAAATTGATTTGCAAAATAATTAGTAGTCATTTTATTAATTTTAGAGGGTCATATTAGTCGCATCTTCAATTAAAGTGATATGTTCGTTTTAATCATTCAAGTCAAAATAACATAGTAACTTTTTTATCTAAAGTGGCATTATAAGATGCAACTAAATACTTTTAGGCCCCGGTCCCATAGGTATGTATGTATGTACACCCAACGTGGATTGAATCGCGACCCCCCCAGTTAGGTTGGTATGAGAATTCCGTCGTTGCATTGAACGAAGAAACCGCGGGAAAATTCAAAAATGAAAATTCGTTTTAAGATACGATAAAAAGCTAAAACGTTACTAATTTGTTTTTAGGTTTAAAATTAATTGTTTGCCGAACAATGAATTTAGATGCATGATTATTTGATTTTAGGTTTTAATTATATAATTTAAGAACGAGCGTTATACTATGACCGATCTGAAAACCACCGTTACGGACTGAAAGTAGCACTCATAGTCTCATACCAACCTAACTGGGGGGGTCGCGATTCAATTCACGTTGGGTGTACACCCAACGTGGATTGAATCGCGACCCCCCCAGTTAGGTTGGTATAAGAATTCCGTCGTTGCATCGGAACGAAGAAACCGCGGGAAAATTCTATTGTAGATAGTAAATAAATAAATAAATAATAACTTATCTAAATGCCAGCATAACGATAAATCCTTGCTGAAGCAAAAGCAGGTAAAAGCATAAGAAACTCGGAAGAAACATTTAAAATAGACATATACACGTGTAAACAGGCTTTTTCAGGTCTGCTATTCGAGCTTTGATTTTGACTGCTACTTTCAGTCGGTAACGGTGGTTTTCAGATCGGCCATAGTATAACGCTCGTTCTTAAATTATATAATTAAAACCTAAAATCAAATAATCATGCATCTAAATTCATTGTTCGGCAAACAATTAATTTTAAACCTAAAAACAAATTAGTAACGTTTTAGCTTTTTATCGTATCTTAAAACGAATTTTCATTTTTGAATTTTCCCGCGGTTTCTTCGTTCCGATGCAACGACGGAATTCTCATACCAACCTAACTGGGGGGGGGTCGCGATTCAATCCACGTTGGGTGTACATATACGTACGGATGCGGACGGATAAGGACGCAAATCGCAACTGTAGTAACATCACTAAAAATATCTAGTTCGATTATTTAGTACCAACACTACCGGTAGTGAGCAAAAGTAACTGTTGTTTAAAACTGTAGCGCCGAACGTACCACATTTAATGTTCAAATATCAGGTCTACAATTTACTTTTCAAATTCTCATGAATATTGCTTATTGATTAGTATGCTAATGTAAAAAAAGCTTTTGGGATGATTAATACATATCATTTATATATATTTTCTTCTTCTTCTCATATATTCAAGTACTTCCATAAAATTAAGGCCTAATTCCACTAATTGTAATTGAAAGTCTATCATTTCTCTATCATTTGCCATCTTATAGACTGCAATAATGTAAAGATTAGATAAGCGTTCATTAAATGTGGTACGTTGGGCGCTACAATTTTAAACAACAGTTACTTTTGCTCACTACCGGTAGTGTTGGTACTAAATAATCGAACTAGATATTTTTAGTGATGTTACTAGAGTTGCGATTCGCGTCCGTATCTGTCCACATTCATACGTAGCTATGGGACCGGGGCCATATGCGCATACGCGCGCGTACGAGGGCGCACAATCGCGTACAAATCGCTAAAAATTTTGATAGTGCCAACAACAGAAAGTTACTATTATTCCTCGCATGCCCCAAACGAACACACTTACTCCCGAAACAAACGTACCATAACCTCCAATGACATAGCGTTATGATACGTTTGTTTCGGGAGTAAGTGTGTTCGTTTGGGGCATGCGAGGAATAATAGTAACTTTCTGTTGTTGGCACTATCAAAATTTTTAGCGATTTATACGCGTTTGTACGCCCTCGTACGCGCGCGTATGCGCATATGTGGCGAGGGCCTTAGTGATTGTCAATTGTTCAATACAGGAACAGGGAAAAGTTAAGAAGACAAGCGCGCAGATGTCGCTAGTGGCCGAGGTAGCAAAACAAGTTTCGAAAATGATGGACATTGGAGCATGGAGACGTATACACTCTCCATAGATTGGAGAGTGGAGACACGGCATTGATAGTTGATACATTGATGGCGCGTTTGCCAAACAGATGCCGCTAGCTGCTAGAACTTGGGTTGTTCTTACTGCCGTTCTCAACGGGAGAAGAAAGAGACAGAGAGATAGTCGAAATCGTCGAGCATATATTGTACCGGTGTACAGCGCACTGTAGCAACGAGGCAGCCGGCAGTCAGCAGCAGTCAGTTCTGTGAGTTTGCGTACGAGAGATCACTCGCTCGCTTGTTCTGCTTATCAAAGCTACCCTACGCTATCTTAGTCCTGTGCTCTCTAACTCGCGGATTTTGCGCGTCGCGTGTGCGTATATTCTACGATTTTGTTGTTTTTTTTATTCTATCTACAATACAGGCAAAACCCGTAGTACACGAAGAATCATTGCTCCGTATTTATCGAAGGTAATTTTTTATGAATCTCTGCGTGATACTCTCGGATATGATATTTGTTGGACTGAGAGAGAGGACAAAAAGAGAAGATAGGCGAGGTAACAATAACGGTGACGACGGCGACGAAGACGACGAAGAGCGAAGAAAAGAAGCCTTTCAGGCATAACGTATTTTTTAGCCAAAGAGAGAGACGCTGTGCGCGCGTCGCACACACACACACACACAAAGAAGGGAGAAAGAAAAGAGAGAGAGAGAGAGAGCGGCTTCGCTTCGCGCGCTCAAGCCTTGTTTATAGCTAAGCGTCGTTAGTTCGTTGCGCAGCATCCCTGCGAAAAATTCTCGTCTAGCGTCTCTTTGTTCCCCTCTCGCGTCTCTGTCGTGCGCGCAACCGTCGCGTAGCGCTCGTCTTTTCTGAAAATTCTCGAACTACCTGTCGAAACAACCGTGTGCACTTTTCAAAGGAGAGGATCAGCAAGTTTCCCTCTTGCGCGCGCAGCCAACGGTATTCGAGCTCGTTCTCCCTCACATGGACGCTAATTAAGTTGGGAGACGATCGATTTTGTTCGCGCCCAGCGCGTGGCGATTGATCCCGCTAAGAACAAGAACAGAGTGAATTATAAAAAGCCAAAGATAACAAGGTGATTACTCCGGAAACATATTGTTGCCCTTCTGTGCTTTCCTCTATCTCTCCCCCCCCCCCCCTATCTTTCTCTGTCCTTTTGTTTATTTATCGACTGATTTTTAGTTACTCTCTCGGGTGTTGATGCTGCTGCTTGGCTACAGCCTGCACACTCGCACAAATAAACAGGCTGCGCTGTATTTTTACGCTCGTGTTCGCGTATCCGCCGGTGAATAACCTTTTATTCGAGTGCAGCAGCAGCGGCGGCACGATGCTAACTTTATGATTTCCGACGGACAAAAAGAGAGAGCGCGAGGGAGAAAAGCTCGTAGTGTATCGCGTTGTTCGACAAAGGAGCAGCCGGCCAGAGCTCGAGTCGGAAAAACTCGTGTCCTACCGTGCATCTGCTTGAGATTGTCCCCGGGTTTTCACGGCCAGCTGGTCGTAGGGGCGCGCGCTGGCGTTCCATAACGGTGACTCGGGCCGCTCAGGCGTAATTAATCTCGGCGGTGCAGTGTGAATGCGGACAATTACCAATAAACGGAGCTAAGGAGAGATAGCGTACCGGCCGACGAAATATTCGGCGTGAATGGGCCGGAGCGCTGAATTGCCTCTTTCACTCTCTTTTGACGGCAGCGTGCGCAAGCCTTTGATTCCAAGCAATTGGTCGGCCGTGTAGGAGAGTCTAGAAGCTGCGGCCAAGCCGCAGGTCGACTGAATGTGCTGCGATGTTGCAGGCCCGAGGATGAGTGAAACAGAGCAGGAGAAGAAGGAGGTCGCCGAGCAGCAGCCGGCGCCGGCCGAGCAGCGGGACACGCAGGACAAGAAGGAGATCGCCGAGGAGGAGCGCGAGAAGATGCTCAACGCGGAGAACAGCAAGCACTCGGCGGCCGCGCCTCAGACGGACCTCGAGGCCGAGGAGCGCAAGCCCAAGCGCAAGATCCCCATCGGCGCCATCAAGATGCCCGGTTTCTGCCGCTCCAGGAGCAAGGAGCCCTGCAAGGTCAGTACGCTGGAAGCGAGCGCCCAGAAGTCCTGTCTTGCGACTGGGCTCTTCGCGCGCCTCGCTGGCCCAGTCGCGGCGTCCGTCCGAGCGCGGGAAGCGCCGTTAATGTCGCTCCGAGGCCGGGCGAGGGCGAGAAGAGGCAGGTAGACGCACCAGCCCGACAATCTCATTGTTGGACTAGCGCGCGACAAAGCGTGGCAGAGCTGGCGCGCCTCGCTCTAGTAATCGCGAGCGCTCGCTTTCCCTCGCGCCTGACAGCTCGGAGCGCCGCAAGGCTGTCCGCCGCGCCGCCGTTCCGCTCCCGGCGCTGTCGCCTGCCGCTGAGAGCGACAAAAGGGCCTGCTCGACAGCACTGCTGCTGCTGTTGCTCGAGTTTGCAGGGCGGGCGTGGAAGGCTCTATTGCCCGAGCTCTCCGGCCGCCTGTCCGCGCTCGACTCTGGTTGCGCAGGAGGACTTGCAACGGCTCTTTCGGAGACGCTGTTCTGCGACTCGAAGCTCTCGAGTTTTGGCGGGCCGTCGCTGGAAACAGCCCGCGTCTTGCGTAGCACCGATCTCGACCCCTCGCTGGCTGTCGGTGAAGGGCGCTGCGCGCTCACGAGCGAGGTGGTCGGGTACCCTCCGCGTGGCTTCTGGCGACCGGCCAAGTCGGGCACGCGCCGCGGACGCAGAACATCCTCGGTGCTTCGCTTCGACAGTACTGACCGCCGGTCGTTTTGCAGGAGGACGAGAGCCAGCTTGGCGAGAACGCGGACGGTGAGGCGGCCAAGGGGGGGGCCGCCGCCGCCACCGCCACCAACCTCGATTCGGCCGGCGACAAGGCCGCCAACGGCGGCACGCCAGTCAAAGAACCGCCCGGCGCCGCGGCCCGCGGCGGCCGCATCCTCGAGGCCATCCGCCTGCCGCTGGTCAACGTCGGCAGAGTATTCACCCTGAAGAGGAAGGTGAGCCGTTCGCGCGCGGAGCCGGCACCGAGCCGCGCTCGCCTTGGCCGTCACTCACTCGGGCCGATTTGCAGGAGAACGACACGGAGCTGAGCCAAGCGGGCCCCGGCGCGGCGAGTGCCGAGGCGGCGGACGACGAGAAGGCCAACACCGTCGGCGAGGACGGCATGGAGACGGTGCGCCTGGACGTGGAGACGGCCGACAGCGGCCCGCTCGCCAAGCCGCACGCGCTGGCGCTCTGCGTCGTGGCCGCCCGGCGCAACCTGCTCTACACCGGTGAGTAGCGCGCCGCTCTCGCTCAGCGCCCGTCCTCACCGAGCCCCCTGTCCTCTGCCTAGCCGGGGCTGCGGCGGTGCTGCTGCTGCTGCTGGTCATCGTATGCGTGGCCAGCCTAGGCCCGCGCCGGGTGATCGCCCAGCCAGTCAAGGACGGCAAGGTGCTCACGCAGGCCTCGTGCGGCCCGGTGCAGGGTCTGCTTGAGGAGGGCGCCTTCGTGTTCCGCGGTGTGCCCTACGCGATGCCGCCGCTGGGCGAGCGGCGCTGGGCGCCGCCGGAGCCGCTCGACAAGATTGACCGCTGCTGGAACGGCACTCTGCTGGCGCACAACAGCTCGCAGCCGTGCTGGCAGCGTCGCCGCGACGGTAGCCTCAGCGGCCATGAGGACTGCCTCTACCTCGACATCTACACGCCGCAGGTTACCTACGAGCGGCCGCTCAGCGTGGTCGTCATGATCGGTGCCGACAGTCTTAGCGGGCCCTCGCCCGGCATCATGCTGCCCTCCGGCAAGCTGGCGCGCGTCCGCGACATGGTCTTCGTGCGGCCCAACTTCAGGTGAGTGATCCTCAAGCGACCCCCGTGCGATTCCCCTGTCCTCGCATCCGACTCCAGTATCGCCTCTGCTACGCAGGCTGGACGTGTTCGGCTTCCTCGCCCTCGAACCGCTGTCGCGCACCGTGCACCCGGCCACCTCGGGTAACTACGGTCTGCACGACATCAAGAGCGTGCTCAAGTGGGTGGCGCTCAACATCCATCACTTCGGCGGCGATAAGGACAAGGTGACCGTGTGGGGCCACCGCGCCGGCGGTACCCTCGTCACCGCCCTGGTCGGCGCTCGTAGGCCCGATGAGCCGCTGTTCCAGCGCGCCTGGATTTCCAGCGGTAGCATCAGCTTCCCCACGCTTGAGCGCGTCGAGGCCGAGAAGGACAACGGCGTGTTCCTCGACATCACCAAGTACGTGCCGCTACTAACTGCAGTCTCCTGCTCCGCTCTGCTCGACCTCACTCACCGTGCTGCTGCTCATACCCGTAGGTGCAGAGACGCGGCCTGCCTCAAGAACCTTGACGCCCGGGAGCTGATGGGAATGGTGCCACCCGCCTGGTTCTTGCCCAACGACGGTCTACCCAAGATCAGCGAGCTCACCAGCAGGAAACACCACTGGCTCATTAAGGACGAAGTCGTCATTCAGCACCACATCGGTAGTATCTTTGCCCAGAACAACGGCGACAACAGACTGCCTTTGCCCAAGATCGTAATGGGCACGACTGCTCAGTCCGGACAGCTGCCTGACGACTTCAACTATAACGCTACCTACCCCAATACCACAGTCATCAGAGCCTTCCTGGACTCGCTGCTTGGCACTGCGGCCGATGCCGACAGGGCATTTGCGTAAGTACCTTGACTCAACCTCCTCTGCGATACCTGCCCGACTCACTTCACCGATCCATTTTCTGTCGCCTTACAGCCAATACAACGCCACGGTCAAGGGCTTGCATACGCTTATCTCCGACATTCGTGTAACCTGCCCTCTTATGACGCTGGCCACAGCCAGAAACGACATTCCTTTCTACATTGTGACTTTCCCGCGCGACCTTATTGCTGACGTCGACAGCGACGCAGCTGCTATTCTCGGATTCTTTCCCATGAAGACGGCCGAGCAAAAGAGACATCTAGCAGCCATACAGACGCTCTTCAGCCATTTTGTCTACCACGGAGAGGTCGAAAAGTTCGAAGCTTCCAAGAGGATTCTCATTGTTGATCAGGATGTCTTGCCAAAAGCCGGATACGACAACTGTAAGCTCTGGATCGAAAAGAGCCTCGTGCCAAATTTAGCGAGGGTAGACTAAGCGCTTTTCTTTGGACGTGCAAGAGACTGAGCGATGGCACTGTTTCGACTTCGAAGCCGCACTTCAAATATGATAATACGAGAAATGTTAACAGCAAAGACGTGTGCTGCTTCCTAATTGTATTTGCTTTCCTTTTACCACTTCTTAAGCGAAACAATTTTAAGATGTATTAACGATTCAACGGGCAGTTGCTCCTCTAGTAGCCGCCAATGTCATGATTTTGATTAAAAAAATTTTTTTTTTAAATACGTAAACAGTTCAATAACGAAAATCTTGATAATTACTAAAAACGATCTGTCGCTCATGCCATAAAACATTTTCTTGATTTTAAGAATCTCGATTTTTCAAGAACTTTTTTATTTATATAGCATCATTTAATGTTAATTACAATTTTTGTAATTTACGTTCAATATTTTATAGAACCATGTCATCTTTGTGATTGACTTTATCATGAGAGACTATATTTCGATGATTTTCTGTAAATCATCCTAAGATATATGAAAAATTGTTAAGATTTTAGAAGTATCGTTACTTCTTAACTCTGAAACATATAAACAAAAATTTATGTATACAGATTATTCTCGCATACATCGTAAAATGTATGGTTTTGAAAGGCATAATATAATATGTATGTGTATAAATGTGAATCAAATTTGTAATATATTGTGAGGAAAAAGACTAGGAAAATTTGCCAACGCGCACGTGCGTATATACATTTATATCTATATACTGTATATGTGTATCTACATGCGTACCCGCTTGTTAAGGATGTTCTCTTGAAGATTACTTTTCTTTAGATTTCCTTCAAACTTTGAAAATAACTTTCTTTTTTTTTATTATCTATACATTTGAAAGAAATCAAGATTAGGTAACAACATTCAAAGTCGAGATATTCATCTTCAAAGTTTACTCTTTTTAACAAGCGTCAAATAGGTGTGAGAATAGCTGTGAGAATTTTTGCAGTACGTTTTGGTTAATTGAAAAATCAATTTTTTCAGCGTTTTTTTCAAAAACTAATACATTATAACAGCGATTATGAGGCATCGAATGCTATAATAAAAAACATGATACCGGTACTTATTCAAAAGTTATAGTCATCGAGTATTTTCTTGTCACACTAACAGTATACCTATATAGTAGTACAGTATGTGAAAACGTTTATGACATGTTATAATTTTATTGGTTTTTTTCTCATTTACATGCAGTTTTATCATGTCCTAATAAATATGTATCATCTTAAAAAGTTTTTTATCTAAACAATGCTGTTAACCAAACATTTTTACAAAAGCGAACTTTTTAACTTCAATGAGAACGTCCTTAAAAAAAAAGAAAAAATATGGCGAAAATCCCAGAAAAAGACAAACTAGAAAACAAACCAAGCTTAGCTTAATAAAGAGCAAACGAATAATGACAATGCATGTATTATATATTCTTGTAAGATGTGAGCAGAGAAGCGCAATGACACGATTTGAAGAGTATCGTCGAACAAAGAATATCTTGATCTCTCCGTGCTCCGCTCTCAAGCTAGATTTTAAAGTTTATACAATTCGTTAGTGTTTATAAAATTATCACGCTTTAGCACGTAATTACAGAATAAATGACTCAGGTACAAGACTTTTATAACTAGAGCGAATTTTTAGTTGGATCGCCTCTGCGGAAGGAAAAAGTTCTTGCCAAAACATACCAATGAACGTGATTTGTTTATTTATTATTATGTTTTTACTAAAACAACTTTGATTCCTTCCTACTTTGAGCGTTACGTGAAATCAAGAATCGTGCCTACAATGGCAAATATTCATAGCAAATATTAATAGACTGACAATACTCTTCACCCAACCAGTATTTAACCTCGTGGCGACAAGAATTGGGATGCGATGCATTTATAAAGCCTAACCATATCCGACTCGTGCGAAAATGGCCTTTCAACTATGTAGTCTCAGCGAGAGCTGCCAAACTTTAATAGAGCGCAAACGTAGTATTTTCTAGTATCTCGTATCACTTTCAATGTTATATTTTTAACAAAGTAAAAACACGGCTAGTTCGGAAAAAATAAACTAGGAAGGAAATTTCGTAGAAAGTAAATTTTTATATTACCATAACGCCTTTGATCCGCAGCTGTGATCCGACGCGTCGACTAGTACGCGACATACAACACACGCACACACACACACACACACACAAGTTCAACGTATGTAACAGACTTATTGTCACCTACGAATTATCAATAGTTACGTTAAAACTGATATTTTGATCGATATCATTATATTATTAGAGATCGTTAGCATCATTAACCATTTTGTATCATGATCGCTTCGTATATTGCTGATTTAATTTAATTTATTTCACAACGATGTGATAAACTAGTATTTATAATGGGATAATGTCCTTTTTTATAGACTAATTGCTATATATGAATTGGAAGATAAAAGTAAAAAACGAAAAACAAATACATAACCGAAATAGAATATCTTCCGCGCAATATCTATTTAATTTTTTTTCATGCATTGCCATTCGTTCATTTTACAATTTGCGAGATTTTCCTTTCTTGTATAACTGTAAGTACTCTTTTTTTTATGCGATGACGATATAGATTACTTGTCGATGTTGTAGCACGTAATCAGCGAAAAAAATGTATTGTGCATGTGTGTTTTGTTTATTTGAAAGTTTGTAGGTGAGAGTTAAGTACTGCGGCACTGAGTAAACTCGCCGAAAATTTTATTACGATTGATCAAGCGTTTCACGTACTGAATGATTCTTCTGATATTGTTCTATCGCGACGCACCGTCAAGTGATTTATTGTATTTAAAAAACTGTCAATAAAATCATGTAGCCACATACATTGTTCCTTTCCTTTTCATCAATCATATTTCCTGAATATATAAAATTTTGAAGCGTATTTATGAAATTTAAAGCAATAAGGTGAACATTTGTAGTTTAAGTGATAGATATCCAGTGATTATCGTTTGCTATTCAAAATTTGAACCATCATTTTTTGTGTCAATATTATACTAACATCTAATATGTTTATAATACGGCCATTTTTATGCCAATTAATATTACAAAGTATTTTTAATTATTCTATGTTGTTATTTAGATACTTGCATTATCATATGTGAAAATGAGAATAAACTAACGGTTATAATGCAATTTGAAAGTAATTAACCTACTTGACTGCACGCTGATCCATATTTCAAAAAATGTGTCTATAATGATAACGTATACTAAATGGCAACCGCGAGCACTTCTGTACATAGTAGTCGGAAAAATTTGTACAGGATCAATCAAAACATATTCAGTAAATAAAACGTTAATCCATGTAAAAAAGCAACAAATACAGCTAAGCTGGCCTAAATATATTTTTCTATAAATTGTTTTGATTGCTCTCAACACTAGATCAATGAGTATATATATCTATTCACTTGTAACTAAATTACCAGCTTACGTATTGCGAGTGAACAGTGTCGGCTATTTTTCTTTGAAATCTTTTCGCTTCTTTCCTGCTACTAAGGATCATGAACGCGTGCGTGCGTGCAAATGTGAAATGATGCATTTACGTTTTTATATAAAACAATATTACGTAATTATTATTAATTGGTTAATAGAACAAGTAAAAATGACAATTTAAAACTTGCTTAAAATAAATAAATACAATTATACTTTTGTCATAAAAAGTAGTTTCATTTATCTAGTAGTTCACTGTATCTTAAAAATTACATTAAAAACTATAATATCAGAGCTGTAAAATAGTAATGAAATCTCCATAAAGGTACCTAAGCAGGCTTACAATATGGAGCATATCTCTTTTATTATTAGGAAAATGATTTAATAATTAATTTCATAATTTATTATATAAATATATTTGTGTGAATAAACGTATAGAAAATTGTTCGCAGGTGGACTCTAGAAGTATGTAAAAAAAACTGTCTTATTATCTGTGTCAAGCAAATGCGTGCTCTCTAAACTTGTGTAAGAAGAAAAACGTCAATTATTTATTGACAAATATTGAATAAATTTATTACCCTTTAGGAGCAAACATATATATCGGTTGATCTTATATCCGTGGTCGCACATTTTGACAATACAATTATTCAAACTAGAGTAACTATCATGGAGCTGATTTTTATACTTATTAGTTTTCTTGGTAAAATATTTCATATATGAAGCGATTATTCCGTAAATAGAATACATATAAGCTTTCCATTATCCAGAACAATGATACACTTATTAAAAATACTGAACAATGAACACTTATATAATTGAAATAATATGAAAAAATAAGTACAAAAGGAAAAGGCTGATGACTGCGTTTGAAAGGCTATAAGCAATTGGAAAAGAATGGCAACTTAATAAATTGTGATGAAAGAGACAATATTCAAAAATTACTTTCAAATAAGCGAGTCGAGTTCGATTATTAATATATTTTTATCTTTTTTGACCAACATCTTGTTTCTCGTTTATATATTGGTACGCTTATATACACGTATTTGAGCTTATTAATTGACAAATCAATGGATTTATTATTAAAAATTATTAATGATTATAGTTGTATATGAAAAATATCATGTCGCGTTGGAAATTAGGATGGAGATATTGGCCAGTGAATTGTTATTACTACACGTACAAGAATCGCTTTGCTTCCTTATAGAGGAAGCTTTATTTTAATGAAAAAAATGATTTCTTTAACATCATCGTAATACATCAGTTTTGAAAAATTTTTGTATGCATGTGTGTCTGTGTATGTGTGCGGAGCCATCAATAACTCATGTTCTATTTAATAGAATTTGAGGTACGAGGACTTATTCGATTTGTTGTTACTGAATGAAGGGTGCAAAATAGATTTATATGATTCTAATGAGACATTACTCCAACATTTGAAAAAATGTAATTTTTATATTTTTTCAATTATGGACTTCTTGTTATTTTTTATTTTACACATAAATTTTGAAGTATTTTATAATTACATCTCGTCGCAAATTACATTACCTTCAATTTAAAAAAAAATCACCTCTCTAAGGGCATTAAATCAATTGTTATGACGGAAACTCTTTTTTAAAAACAAAATTTAACATCTAGGAAAATTGACAGTAACATTTTTTATAAATTCAACTGTTATATATAAATATTAGCAGCTTTAAAATGAGCCTTTACATAATTAATTTGAAGCTACGCTACCTAAATTATTGAATTTTTTAATTTTATTTAGTTATTGAAAAAAATTATATTTTATATGAAATTAGGTAATTTTACTTAATTCGATAATCGAACCGATTAAGAGATTTTGTTAACGTTTTGGTATTTGATTTAAAAAATGTCACGTTTGGTTAATACTTTGCTGGTAGAAATAGAATTTCAAAGATTTAATGACTTGCTGTGTTGTATGATACTTTTCTACGTGTGCTTATATGTAACAACATTAGTTATATCACTGAGGGTCTGGGTGGTGAGAAACTGCTAATTTTAATATGTAAGCACAAAATTGTGGTCCGTTCGTCTTAATAAATTAATATTAAAACTCAACGAATAAAAAATATTTTATATTAATTTAGTTTTATACAGATTTATATCATTAGTAACATACAACACAACAAGTCAGTAAATCTTTAAAATTCTATTTCTACAAACTTTATACCAACCAAACATGAAACTTTTTAATTGTGTATTTAATTTTGAATTTGATTAATTACATTGCCGAAAAATATTTGAATTTTAGAATAAAATAAAATATAACTGAAAGAAACGTTAATTAAAATGAAGGAACACAGAGAGAAAGCTAACAGGCAATGGGTTAGCAGCGTTTATCTATATAGCTAGGACTGCTGATGGAAACGGATATGTAGTCCTTTGAACGACTCGTCGTAATTTCATACTGATAAAAGCGAGCCAATTATCGGCATAAGATTATAGTATACAATGTTTGTAGACGTACATCGGACGTCGCAGAAGGGATCGATTCACCGACATCTATAATGCACATTGGACACCTGTGTCTTACTTGCCGGATCGAAATGCTGCCGAGTGTGCCGATTATCCTCGATATCTCTTGAATCAAACATTTAGTAGTTGTTCGAGCGTTTGCAGGCTGATAAGGACAATCTCTTGCTCTATCGGCCGAATAAGCACGAGCTCTCTCGCGATTTTCCAAACTTCGTAATTCCTATCTCTTCTCAGCTGCTATTCTGCATTCTTTTAATAGAAAAATGGCTAATTAATTTCAATGCTTTAGTTTTCTCTCTCTTTCTCTTTTGAGCACAGATAGTCAGTGAGCTCTTTCACCTGTAATAAAATGCTGTTAAAGCTTCAAGTGCAAACTTGTAACAAAGGTACACTGGAAAGATGGCTATAAACTAATTGAGACCCACCTACCCTACTAATAACTAGAGAGGCTCTTTGTCACTCATCTATACCCCAGAGTTAACAACGCAGCTGTCCTGTCTGACTTTCTGCTGTGAGATTTATTGGCATGAATAATATTGTCTATTCGGCCTATTATTAATGAGTCGAATATTTCTACTGCTGCAACGAAAAGAATGCTTGCCAAGGACAACATTTTCGAAAGTCTATTCAGATTTGCTACGTTTAATGAACGTCGCCATTATGTAAATCATTGTAATTTGAATAATAGCCATTAATTGTTCAACGATTACGTACTTGGGCTATGTACAGTTTTAAATCACTTAAACTTCATCGCGCCCAATTCTTTAGCAAACATTTATTTTTGTTCAGAAAGCTGAAATCTGACTTTGAATGCAAAGCTTTGTGTTTGTCCACGAAAGGAATAGCAGATTCGCGGTACAAACTCCACGAGCATCCAAAGTGTCGTAGTATTTAAGAAAGCTTTAAATGTTGGGGGTGGCAACATCCAACTAATTAAATTATCACAAAGAAGACAGCTTCGAAATGTCGAGTCAAGTGATAAGAAGATGAAAGTTGGCGCGCTGCGCTGACCACACGGACGCACTCACACGGCTATGAGACGCCGACAGCGCCGTTAAATTCGACCAATCGGTGTCAGCGTGTCGCCTGTCCGGTGTCGTACGTGCCGCCCTCAGTCGCTCCGTTGCAGTAGTAGGCTTAAGGAGCTTTCGTGCAGTGCTGCTTGGCTGCTGCTCAGGGCTGGCTCTCTGCTCTGTGTGCGCTCGGCGAGACAGCGCCGAGGACCTCCAGTGTTCTGTGCTGTTGCAGTCTCCTCTACGTCGGCATTTATCAACACCGGTCCTACAATGTCAGGTAAATCTCATCTGCTCCTCTTTCTTACTGTGGAATCTTCCAGAATTCTACGCTCCCTAAAGGAATCATTCCCACCTGCAACGTGTTCACGCATCAGCGTGCTGGCTGGCACTTCGTGCGTGCGTTTGCACATAACCCTCAAAGCCCGCAACCGTGTATGTGTGCGACTCACTCTATCTCTCTCTTCTTCTCGCGCACTCACTTGCTTAGAGGAAAATGGAGCGACCACGAGAAACTTGCTCTTTCATGATTATTTTTACAATAAAATTCAATACGTATTGATACATAAGAAGATAATGCTTTGTTTATGCAACACAACCATTTTAAGGGCATCAAGGGCAGTTTCATTATGGCTTTGGCAATTCTTTTGCATTTTTGTTAACCATTTTGAGATTTTCTCGAAAACCTTTAAAACGGCGTTATTATATTGTTGGTTTTTTTTTCGTCAATAATTTAATCATTAGCAAGGCTTTTTGATGTATACTCGAAAGACGCTTACGTGATCTTGCGTTTAAGGATTTTTTTATCATTGAAAAAAAAAACGCATGGGCGCCATACGTTTGACATACTCTATTCAGTAACTCAATACTTATTTTTAAAATGAACTTAATAAAAGTGCAATAATATTTGTTATTATTTATTCTTGTTTAAGATGTTAATGATTGAAATAATTGCTGTGGATAAAAGATATACTTATACTGACATTCCATCAATCCATGTATTTTATTAATTACGAGGTGACGTTTCAGCCATTCTAACATAAAAATTTTCAACTCTTGCAGTCTGAACAAAGAGATAGTAACATTAGCAAACTGAAATGAATATTATTTTTGCTGTAAAATTCAGTTGTATACATTCGACTTTGTTCATATTACCACCTCTTTGCTACCTGCTCGAGATTTTCATCTCTAAACGATTGAAACATCGCAAATATATGGTTTCATGAAACATCAGTATATCTTTTATGTTATTATTGATATACAGTATGTTATGTTGTTGTACAATTGACTTTCTCACATTTTACTTGACAATCCTGTTAAATACTGCAGGTAAAAAGGGAAAAAAGACCAAAGGCAAGACAATAACCCTTCAAGTTTTCTTGGGGGATACACCACCAGCAGCTCCTGCACCAGCAAAGTCGAGCTCAAATTGGAATAGTAGTAGCAACTGGGCTGATGATGAAGAAGATGATTGTAAGCAAAAGTAACTTTATTTGGTTATTATGTTATAAGTAGTTATTAAAAATTGATTCATTCTTACAGATGGGGGATATACTTCAAGGCCAAAAGAACCCATTGTATTGCCAACAGCTCCCAGATCTGCTAGAGATGCCAGTATAAATGAAGAGAACATCCCAACACAACCACCGTTTGTAGCATATATATCTAATTTACCTTATGACATAGATGATGATGATATGTTAGATTTCTTCAAAGACATGAATGTTGCCAATATGCGTCTCCCAAAAGAAACAAATATGATGAAAGGCTTTGGCTATGTGGAATTCGAAGATAGACAGTCGTTGATCGACGCTCTATCCATGCCAGATACGGTAATTGATCATTAATATGCCCACTTGTCTGAATAATTGTATTTTCGTTTTTAATGATCTTCGTATGATTGCAGCATTTAAAGTCGCGAAGGCTAAGAATCGAAGTGTCGAGCCGCAACAACGACGAACGTCGCGGGCGAATGGGCCGAATGGGCGACGGTCACCGCGACTACAGCGAAGATCCTGAGCGCACAATGGGTGACTGGCGTAGTGCCAGAGCCGCACCGGCCGACGACGGTGGCGATGAAGACCGCGACAGAGGTTATCGTAGCCGCGGAGGATTCGAGCGAGGCGGTGGCCGAGACAACGGCTTTGAAAACATGAAACCTGGAGCGTGGCGCAGCGCTCCTCGCGAGCTACCAGACAGGGACAGCAGACCACCTCCGTCTTATAGGGACAGAGCCTCCATCGGTGACAGCGAGCGTGGGGAGCGCGACTGGAATAGGTTGGTGACTGGCGGCCTCCTTTCTCTCTGTGTCGCCGATTGACTAACCATTCACCTGTTTGTAGGTTCGCCGACCGCGGTCGAGGCATAATGGAGAGCAGAGACCGGGACGGCGATCGAACCGGAGACAGAGGTGGCTTCGGGTCCAGGCGTCACTATGACGACATCGAGAAAGAGAAGGAGCGATGGGTTAATCTCAGGAGCGCGCCGCGAGAGCCATTGCCTTTGAGGGAATCAAGGGAGCCGAGAGACTCGGACAGGGAGACCGAGTCCGCTGCCCCAGCGACCAGACCCAAGTTGGCTCTGCAACCCCGCACCAAGCCCGTGGAGCAGGCTGCTGCTAGTGCTGATGCTCCGGGCACGGAGGACGTAGTCGCCGCCGCACCCAATATTTTTGGCTCGGCCAAGCCTGTCGATACTGCTTCCAAGGAGCGCGAAATTGAGGAGCGGCTGGCTAAGAGTGCCGAGGCTCGCTCCAAGGAAGACATCGAGAAACGAAGCGCTCCACCAAAGGAAGGAGCCTGGAGCCGGCGAAACGGCGAGGGTCGCGATGAAAACCAGGAGAGGAGTAGGCCTGCCTGGAGATCGGCGGACGATCGCCAGCCCAAGTCAGGTAACGTGTCGGCTTCTGCTTAAATATGCCTACGTCGTCCTCACTTCAGATGTTTTTTCTGTTATAGATCCGCACGACAGTGGAGACTCTAGAGATCCCAGAGATCGCACAGAATCGCGGAACGACAGAAGTGGATCGAGAGGACCACCCAACAGCCGTAACGCGCGTCCTTCCTCCAGAGGGCCTCCCAAAACTGATGACGTTCGAACTCTTGAAGAAAGAGAGAGGTAAGGTCTTTTCTACTTATACTCTATTTCTTATTTCTTAATTATCTTAAATATGTTTACTATGAAGAGTTCTGTAAGTTCGGCTATAAATATTTTGTCTTTAAACTTTAATCGTTTCTGGCTTCGTTTTCAGAGATGAACTTGCAAGAATGCCCAAAGCTAAAGAGAACACATCTCCAGTAAGTTAGCAATCCATTATGAACAATTATTTAAATTGTCAACGAGGATATTTATGAGGTTTCTCGTTTTCCAGAATTTCATAGCGTCCAATAAGTACTCGATGTTACCGGACGATGTTGATCCTGATAACATTGATAATATTGAAGAATAAATTATGATTCTGGTATTTCACGGCCGAATTTGAGTAAATTGGCCGTGACTGTTGAAAACGACAGAAGAAAGCGGTAGAGAATAAGCGCATTCTACAATTAATATCAACTTTTGTAAACTTTAGCAAAGTTAATTCTTCAGAATGATTTTGTAAAATCTATGAGGATATTTCCTGGATTTCTGGAATTATTATCAAGACTTTTTACTGAACATAATTTTACTTAAAAATGGTTATGCGTCTTGTCAAATATATAAAAAAATCTTACCGAATTTAATTTTCGTATTTTGAAATGATCATCACTGCACTTTTATATACATTTGAAAAAAAACTTGGAATTGAATAATGAATACAAACAAGTCGTTTATCTCGAGAGTTACTGTTTATTATTTTATTAGTAATATTTATATTTAGAGGTTACAATCTGGGGAACTTGAGATTTCGATATACATTGTCCAATGTACAGTTACTTCAGAAATATTGTACAATATGTGACATATAATAGACATGTAAATTAATGATAACGCCATTATATAAAACAAAAAGAAAACCTTTCGAAGTTAAGAATATATACAACCTTCAATCGAACGACAGTGTTCTTTCTCATATTACGATTCTTTTCCCATTTGATTGTGAAAATATATCAAGGCACTTTACACAGATGATCAATCAGCTTTACAAAACTAATAATTAATAAATTAGTTACATCATTGCAATATTAAATATGTACAGTTTCTCATGTAATTTTTATTGCTGAGTAGTTTGTGCCAATTGCTTTAACTGTTTCAAAACTGTCTCTAATAGTTTTTTCTTGTCTCGTTCGCTTTTTTTCAGTACAGAAAAAACCGTTTTTTTATCAGACTCTCTCAATCTGCAAATAATCAATTATTAAAATATTTCACACTAATATTCAGTTAAACCTAATTAAATACATACTTTTCAAGCAAAATAATAGCCATTTGCGGTGTAACAAGATTATATTTGCTTGATTCACTTATATAATCGTGGAAATAAGTCGGCCAATCCCAGCTCATAAACAGATCAAGTAATTGGCGTAATTGAGCGAATTCTTGTAGTAACGTTCCCTCCGGAAATCCAACAACAGGTTCCGAGGCTGCAAATTCTAATAAGAAACAACTTAAAGTCAACGAACATCCAGGTAATCGTTAAAAATAAAGCTTCTTACGTTCACACTGGATGGTGTCCAAATTAATTTGTTGTAAAGCACCCATCGATATTAGTTTCAAATCTTCGCTAGTTAAAATATTCAAAATGGATTTGGCAATGTGACAGCAGGCTGATTTACATGCGACTTGCGCAACTTCCTCCTGTTGAAGAAATTAATAAATATTTCGAATATCAATAATCGAATGGCAAACTCACCGGAAGATTTGTAAAGCACGTGAAGGTGCTTTGTAAAAATGCTATCAGATCGGTAATAAAGCCAGATGCGTGGCCTTGGGGCTCAGCCAGATTCCAGTCATAGTTTTCCAGCTCTAGAAATTCATCAAGCTTTTTTTTCAATTTTTCGCATATTTGCTTTTCAGCGTCATCCCGTGCAACTCTAAACATTGCTGATTTAAAGCCGCCAGTGGTTAATTTACCTTCATGTGGAGTTCTAGAAATTTAAAAGTATTTGTGAAAAATTTCCCTACATTACTGTCAGTACTCCTCGTAAATGGCAAACGTATACCCTGTGATATTACAAACGAATTCTTCCAAATATTTTGTTGACCTTTCAAGATAACCTGTGTTTATAATAATCTGTATAACTTGCAAAAGTGCCAATGATGGTTTACGGAAAAGCGAAGACAAACATCCACTAAAGGTCCGCGTCAATAGTAAATTAGTAGATTTACAAATCATTTCGTCAATTTCCGTTTGTGTGAGATTCAAATCTTCGGAAAATTTTAAGCAAGCGTAAATAAATTCTTTGACTTGGTGGTAGACTTTTGGTACCATGGGCGAGAATGGAAATTTCTTTGGAAACTTCGCCTTCTGGAGCTCTTCATCTCGATACGGAAACGAAGCTAAAATTTTGTCGTATTCTTCTTGCGAACCCACTTGAACTGGTAAAAACTCATCTTCGTCTAAAATATCACGAAATACTTGAACCCAATGTTGCATAAGCACTTCGTTGTAATGAACCCGAATTTCTTGAAGTAAATCGAACAATTGTCCGACCGTGTACCCATAATTCTGCATTGAAAGTGAAACAAGTTGAGTAACAAAAAACAAGTGGATAAAATATAAAAAATGTTTACCCTCAATGTTGTGTTGAATAGCATTATCAAGTTTTTTATTTTCAGTATGAGTGTTGCATCTGTACAATAAGCCTAAAAAAATCAAAACGTTGGACAAGATTCTCAAATTCTTGAGTTGACATAGAACTCACAGAATGTGTTCTCAAAGCATTAACAATTCCAGATAAAGCCATTGACCACAGCTCTTCCAGATATGTACGAGTTGTAAGACCATTGCCAGTATTTAGTATATGATCCTCAACAACGAAAAATCCGAGAATCCCGTAAATATAAGACTGGTATCCAATGATACTTTCATGCTAAAATGTTTTTATGGTGGTTATAATAATGTAAAATAATGGAGTTTCTGTCATTTGAAAATTTACCATATTTATTGGAGGTTGCAAGACTAGGCGTGCCTGTTGCTGCCTTTGCTGCCTATAATATGCTTTAAAAGTTTCTCCTTCTCCAAGTACAGTATAGATATGCATGCAGCGATATACAGGACTAAAATCCATGAGATCTTGAGCACTCGGTTCTTCTTCATCTGCTAAAGGAACAGAACTTAGAGCTTTTTTCTTTTTCCTACCAATAATTTCAGCCTCGTTACTTAATTGTTCTGCTGTCTAAAAAAATCAAAATGTTAAGCAACATCTACAACAATTATTGGATTATTATTCTTACATGTTTCATTGCCACTTCACCAATTTTTGGAGAGTACTTTCTTATATTCTCTAAGAAATCTCTCAAGTCTGACATGGAAGCATCTTTGATATTTTTTCTCAATCTAAAATATCAAAAATAGAATAATGATTGAAACTTGGTACAAGTAGGTAATATTAAAATTGTTTACTTACAAAGGAATCTTTTGAGTTATTTGTGTTGAAAACCTATAGTTTTTTACTTTTGGTAAATCATTATTCTCAAGTTGTTCGAGAGTTTTCAAGGCAGGATAATAGCGTTTATCTTTTAATTGTCTTTGTAATTTTGCATAAGCAGCTAAGACTGGAAGACACATTGTTAAGCTGTCAACTGCTGCAGTCATATTACTTTGTACCTTTCTCGCATTTACTAATTCTTCTTTTCTTTCTATAACAGTACCTGTTGTAGCACTGATTCTATTGTCAAGTTCTAAAATTTCAGCCTGTGAAAAAATAAACCATACGTTGAGTGAAAAATCAATCATTAAGTTGTTTCATTGTTTAATTCTTACATTTAGCTGTTGTGCTTGCGTTCTAACTTGAAGTAATTCGCGTATAGAGTCAATGAAGCCTTGATAATGATGGTTGCACATTCGTTCAATATCTTTGTCATGGCTCTTGACTCTCTCATCTAATTTTTCCATAAACTTTTGATGCTCATTACCATCATAAATTGCTCTGAAAATAAAATTGGTTTGATTAACAATCGTGAACATAACTGTGTTATTGAAAATCGATTTGTAAATAAACAACATATAACCAGGTCAGCTACATTATTAGACAAATTGGGAAAGGAAGGTATACCTGATAACAAGGCCTATATTATTCATATCTGAAGATTCAATTTCAGCAAGTAAGTGCTCATGCTTTGGAGCAGTGCTAAGCAGAGTATTTTGCACTGCACTCATAGTTAAATTAGACATTTTCAAAATAAAGATTGACACTTGTTCATAACCTAGGGGTTAAAATGAAACATCCCCTGTTATCATCCCCACCAGTGCGCATATGCAAGAAAAAGCAATGTGTTTGGATATCGAGGCTGCGCAACACGTTGATTGCTGCCATTTAAAATTTAAAATTTACAAGAATGTCACTCTTACCTGAAAGTCGGTCCCAGGTAATCGTCGATACTTTCTATTTCTTGTATTAGAAGGTCTAACTGTTGCATTATTGCTAATTTATTTGGAGAGGTACAATAATAATTGTGATAACTCTGAAACGGAGGGGATGCCCGCAGGGTGGAGATTGATGAGTAGGTGGCAGGCCAATATGGACGACATCACACTATAAATAGCTTGCACCTGTAGGCATCTGATGATTGCTAGTGGAATCCATTAATTTTTCATTTATTAAAATCGTCAGTGGATCTTTTTATCAATGCTTATTTTCATTAATCAAAATCAATTCAATTGTTACATTTATAAATGTATCGTTCGTGATATGAAGAGATAATTTTTATACGAACACTATTAAATATTGGCGCCTCCTAGTGCAAATTTTATCGCCACGTGAAAGTAGATCTGCGCAATTGCGAATGGCATGCGATAAGAGTTACTTATATAATATTAGTTATTAGTTTAGTCGCGCGCAGGTTTTTTCGTCGATACAAGTCCATCATTGATTTTGTTTGCGAAGCATTTTTTAAATTCTGTGTATAACATTCGTATTAGCACAAATAACAATCATGCCAAGAGTTAAAAAAATAGAATCAACAAATGAATCAACTAAATGTAAGGTTAAAACCAATCCGAAGAAGGAGACCTCAACTAAGTCCGGGGCTAAATTGAAGCTGGAGGAATTAGAGTCTCCGCTGCTCGCAACAAAAGCACGCACAAGGGCAGTGTCAAAAGCAAAGACTGCATCCTCCAAGGTAGGGCAGAAAAAGAAGGGTGAGTATTTTACAATTTATAGTTATTGCCTCTATCATTGTTTAAATTTAATAATATGTATATATACTATAATAAATATATAATATGTATATATACTATAATAAATATATAATATGTATATATACTATAATAAATATATAATATGTATATACCTACTATCACCAGCCGTTTCGAAGAGTAATCCAAAGAGTCATAGTAAGAGTAAAGAAAATACTAAGCAAAACAAAAAAAGAACCATCAAGGCTATTGATGAAAATTATTCGGAAGATAATGCTAAGTTTGAGTCACAATCACCAAAGAAGAAACGGAAGGTTACTATTCCAGATGATGTTAGCGAAGATTCTTTTGATGAGTATAAACCAGGTAAAATATTAAATTTTAATTCTACTAATATATTTATTATTGTTAAATATACTATACATATGTTTTGATTAGATTCTACAGATAGTGAGGAAGAGGATTCAGAAGCATCACTTTTTAAGGCGGGGGAACTCACAGAATCTGAAAGTGACTATGAATCACTTAAGGTGCAGGAATTATTTGCAATGAACCAGACAACTTTAAATAAAAAGTTGATCTTAAATAATTCATTTAAATTTATTCTTAGAAAATGAGGAAACTAAATACTGGCAAAGCAAAAGAAAAAGTTACTAAGAGCAAACCAAAGAATAAAGATGCTTATGAAATTGCTAAAACTGAAATAGCAGTTAATCCACAGTCCTGGCCTCATTTGAAGTATGAATTTTTACAACCAGATAAAATTAAAGACAATCAAAAACGCTCTCTAAGTCATCCAGATTATAATCCTAAAACTCTATACATTCCAATAGAATTTCTAGATGCACAAACTCCAGTCAGTATTCTTGATTTTCATATCTAATTTTCTTGAAAATGCAATGTTTTAAATTTAATTTAGGCAATGCGTCAATGGTGGGTTTTGAAGTCTGAACACTTTGACTGCATATTATTGTTCAAAGTCTGGAAATTTTATAAGTTATATCACATGGATGCTATTATAGGAGCTAAAGAATTGAATTTATCATATTTAAAGGTTAATACAATCTATAAAAAATTAATAAACTTATTTGAATATATTTTATAATTGTAGGATACCTTCGCTCATGTAGGTTTTATGGAAATTGCCTTTGGTCAAAAGTATGCAAGCTTAATTGAAAAAGGCTATAAGGTTGCAAGAATAGAGCAAACAGAAACACCAGAAATGGCATCTCAAAGATGTGCTAAAAGTCATTAATGCACAATTTCTCATGTCATACCTCATATTTTGCGAAATGTTTAATAAAAATGAGATTTGTATTTTTTAGTGTCCAAAGCAACAAAGTTTGATAAAGTTGTTCGACGTGAAGTTTGTCAAATCAGTACCAAAGGATCCAGAGTCTTTAATTTTCTAGACACAGTGGAAGCTTCATCTCCCAATTCCGTTTATCTATTATCCATAGTTGAAAAAAATATAATTAGAGATGATGTATTAGCTTATGGAGTGTGTTTCATAGATACTAGTATAGGTGAATTCTACTTGGGACAATTTCAAGATGATCAATGCAATTCTAAATTGCTTACGTTGATTGCACATTTTCCTCCTGCTCATATTGTGTATGAACGCGGGAATTTATCTTCAAATACTTTGAAGTTGCTAAATTATTTCTTGCCAGATATTTTTAAAGAAGCATTATCAAAAGAAATACAGTTCTGGACAGCTACAAAAGTTTTACAAGTAATACATTTTATTTTATTCAATTATTAAATTGTTTAGAGTGATAACAAAACTTGTTAATTCTAGTGCCTTTATGAAAATGAATACTTCATAAATAAAGACTCTACATTTTCTTGGCCAGATGGCTTGAAATCTTATTTGAAAGAAGGTAGAAAAACTTTGGACTCCGTTTTGTGGTGCATTTTGTCATAAAATGATATTGTTTTTAGTGAAAAATGGTCAAAAAACAATTTTCTTTCCTATAGACGACAAAGAATTAGCTATTGCTGCCTTAGGTGGTTGTGTTTCTACATTAAAGGAATATTTATTAGATCAACACTTGCTATCTCAAGGCATATTTAAAACGTATTCACCACCTAGCTTTGATGTTACAACAAATAAAACTAAATTTTCTCACAATATGGTATGAAAATTAAAAAGATTAGTTTATTATAAGTTCTTTATTCTTTACTTATTTATTCTTTTTTTAGATTTTAGATGCAATGACTCTAAATAATCTAAAGATATTAGGTACTGAAGGCTCCCTCATTAAAATTTTGGATCATTGCTGTACACCATTTGGCCAAAGGTAATTAGAAATTTTATTGGATGTATTTGCTTGGATTTTCTATGAGAATTATTATGTTTTAGATTATTTCGAGAGTGGATTTGCAGACCATCATGTCGTAAATGCGTTATTTCTGAAAGACAACTTGCAATTTCGGATTTGTTGGATGCTCCAGACATTATCCAACAAGTTCGCGGTAAACTTTTTCATTTACCAGATCTTGAGCGTCTGATAAGCAAGATTCATGCTCAAGGAACTGCTGCGAAATTGAATGAACATCCAGATAGGCGTGCTATATTTTGTGAAAAAAATAGATATACAAAAAGAACAATTAATGATTTTATTACTGCTTTAAATAGCTTTGAAGAAGTTTTGAAAATTGTCGAGATTTTTTCAGGTATATATAAATATTTGATTGAATATCCTTTTAAATTGCTCAAATAATTTTTAATTTAATCAATAAATATTTAATTTACAGCTTTTGAAAATCCTCTCATCAAAAAATGTGTCAAGGTAATGCCAGAAGGTAATTTCCCACAACTACAAGAAATTCTCAATCAATTCAAAGTAATTATAAATATTTCACACTTCAGTTATCAGCTCAATATTGATTCAGTACTTTATTTTACAGAAAGCTTTCAATCAGAATGAAGCTAAAAAAGAAGGTTTCATTACCCTTCAAGCTGGCATTGATAAAGAGTATGATAACGTAATGTTAGAATTTGAAGAAATAAAAAAGGAATCCAATGAATACTTGAAAAAATTGGAGAAGAAGTTTGGGGTTCCATTAAAATTTGTTGGAAGTGATTGTAAAAGATATCAAATTGAAATTCCAGATAATAAAAAAGTAGGCGATGAATTTGAACTGATTGGTTCCAGAAAGGGTTTCAAGAGGTATTACACGGAAAAATCAAAGGTGCATATATATTTTTATTAATTATAGTTATTGAAACTCTTCAGAATTTTCAATCAAATCAATTGATTAACAGCAATTCTACCAGAGACAAGGGGAGATCGAAGAACGAAATGAAGCAATTTTAAAAAATATTAATAGAATAATATTCTCAAAATTCAGTGACCATTATGAAAAGTGGAGCGCTGCAGCACATCACATTGCAGTTATCGATTGCTTGATATCTTTAGCCGAGTATGCTAAATCTCACAAAACCTGCATCCCAAAAATTTACGACGATACGGATAAAAAAAAGGTATATACAATAATTTCAAGTTCATTGAGATAATTTGTAAGTATGCGCATAAGCTCTCCGACTAAGAAGTCTTAATTTTTTCAGATATTTATCAAAATTGAAGATGGAGTTCATCCATGCATTTCTTGTGATAATTTCATCCCCAACGATACGTTGATAGGGGGCGATAAGACAGCTCCGTTAATGATTTTGTCCGGTCCAAATATGGGAGGAAAATCGACATTGATGCGACAAGTCGGATTAATAACGATAATGGCGCAAGTCGTAAGTCGTGCTTTATACTATTTTTTTAATTTTGATTGTGTAATAATATTGTGTAGGGGTCTTATGTACCAGCTAGCACGTGTGAATTAACGCTTATTGATCGTATATTCACTCGACTGGGAGCGAGTGATGATATCGTGGCAGGCCAAAGTACGTTCCTGGTGGAACTGAAGGAAACCGCGACTATACTCCAGCACGCCACAAAGTATTCACTTATTCTTTTAGATGAATTAGGTAGGCATCTATAATTTTATCGTTACATTGCAAAAAAGTAAATTTCTTCACAGCATAATTATGTTTTAGGTCGGGGTACGTCAACTTACGACGGGACAGCGATAGCTGCGTCAGTTATCGAAGCTCTTACAAAAATAAATTGTAGAACTCTTTTTTCAACTCACTACCATACTCTGATCGAAAATTTCAAAACAAACAGAAACATTATGTTTGCTCACATGGTTCGTTATTATTGGGTTATTTTTTGAAGAATGCCTTTGTGTGTACGCGCTGCCAACAACTACTTTGCAACATCGTTTGTTACAGGCTTATAAAGCAGAAAATAAGCACGAAAGTCCCTTAAATGAAGAAAATGTGACATTTTTATACAAGTTGGTAGAAGGTGCATGTCCAAAGTCTTATGGTTTTAACGCGGCTAGATTAGCCGGCGTACCGCCAAACATTATTAAGCGAGCTCGAGTCATCGCAAAGAAATTAGAAGCTGAAGTAAGTCTGCGTCATGCTTTTACTACACTATGTTGTGTAGAAAAGAAATCCATCAAGTCGTCAATTAAAAAAATACGTACAATTCTTGCCAGTATTTAATTCTATCGTACAGTATTGCTTTGTTTGCCAGGGCGATACTCATTTAAATAATATATTCGTTTGAAGATATCCGCCGAATTAAGCAATTATGTATGTTTTAATGAAACACTCATTTTTCCGTTTATTTAATGTACGATAAAGAAAAATTAAACAATGTTGTAGAATCTATTTTGTTGCTGCACTTTGATAAATATTTGCCAATCGCCATCATTATAAAATATATAATATTCAGTCTTTCGTAAATCTAAACCATTTATTTCACTTCCAAAAAACTAAAAATAACACTTGTGAAAATAATTTACTTGAGATTTAGGCATGAATTTAATTTTATACGTCATCGATATATTAGTGGCTATATATTTTTTAATGCGTGCTTTTTCGAAAAAGGCGCCATTCGGACATGGACATTGTGAAACTGTTGAGTGCTGACTTGTATACGCTGAATTTTAACATCCACGACCCCCTAACCCTAGCCCGCAAAATGTAATGGACAGTGAAAAAAAAATACCATTCGAAATATCTCTAATTAAACACTCCAAAAATGCTCATTATTTTAATTGAACCCCTTAAGTTATCCCAAAATAGTACATTACGATACAAGTGCGGGAAAATAGATTCTTGTCTCGTGTGGCGTTCACACCCGAGCGAAGCGAGTGCCGTACCGTATTTTTTCATACGACGTGTGGAAAGTGTGATTTTCAACGCACGTTTTCCACTGAACGTGCGGGAAAGACGCATTTTGCGCACGGAGTATCGAAAAAAATTAAAAACTATGATAATTTTTTCGTTTTTTGCAACTGCGATATCTTTAATAATACTTACTATTTTTACAAAGAAACAAGGCAAAAAAATTGAACCCTTGCTCGTTTGAATTGCACCTCTCTTACTTTTTCAAAATTATTAATATATGTCAAAAACAACTAAATGCCTACTATAGTGTCATCAAGCGCGCTCGCGTGTTTATCTCCTACTTGAATTCAGTAACATTTAGTTTCATGCTTGCATCAAATCAAAATTATTATAGGCGAAATAAAAGAATTGTAAGCTACACTATACACATAAATAAACCAATTCTATGCTTCAAAACCCTTACCACACGATGACATTAATTGGTCTAGGATTATGGGGTTATTTATTAATTGAAATAACTCAAAAATATATTTTAAGCTAGAAAGAATTTATTCAGCGTGCACAAAGAAAAGCACGTCTATATCGGAGTACCGTATTATCATCGACATCAATAACGATGATAACAATCTCTACACCATACAAGTTAATATACAGTGCCGGTCAGCCACTTTTACCCCCCCACGGGCAAAATCAGTCTAACTTCAAAGTTTTATATCTCTGGTAGAAATTAACGTACAGAGACGCGCGTGGGTGCGTTTGAAAGGTCTTTCGGAGAGCTTTCAAATAATATGACTCACGGTTGCCATCGATTATTTTTTTAAATTTTGCAACAATTATGCAAAATTGAAAATTCTGAAATTTTTTTATTATTTTTGACAATTAGCCAATATTGGAAAAAAAATCGTACGAAAATTTGAAGTACACCATTTTTTAGCTATTACCAAGCCCTATCTGAATCACTCATCAAAAATTTATTTTCGTCAAATATGACGCGCGCACGGGCATTTTTTCCTGGAAGTGCCAGTTTTTTTCAACATTTTTTATCTCCGTCAAATTGTAACAATCGAAAAAAATTTATAGGAGAAAAAATGTTTGTTTTTTCACGTAGAATACTGCAATAATTTTTTTTTTCGGTTTTTCGAAAAATTTTTTCGGTTTAAATTATTTTTCAAGGTCGAAAAAAAAAAGATTTTTTTTTTATGTAATTTTCGATACTTGTTATATAGTATTATTTAATGGGTGGAAAAAATTTTTTTTTTGTGGTTTCTCATCTTTTTAGCGTACCGACTGTGAGAAAAAAAAATTTTTCGAAAAACCGAAAAAAAAATTATTGCAGTATTCTACGTGAAAAAACACATTTTTTTCTCCTATAAAATTTTTTTCGATTGTTACAATTTGACGGAGATAAAAAATGTTGAAAAAAACTGTCACTTCCAGGAAAAAATGCCCGTGCGCGCGTCATATTTGACGAAAATAAATTTTTGATGAGTGATTCAGATAGGGCTTGGTAATAGCTAAAAAATGGTGTACTTCAAATTTTCGTACGATTTTTTTTCCAAAATTGGCTAATTGTCAAAAATAATAAAAAAATTTCAGAATTTTTAATTTTGTATAATTGTTGCAAAATTCAAAAAAACAATCGATGGCAACCGTGAGTCATGTCATTTGAAAGCTCTCCGAAAGACCTTTCAAACGCACCCACGCGCGTCTCTGTACGTTAATTTCTACCAGAGATATAAAACTTTGAAGTTAGACTGATTTTGCCCGTGGGGGGGTAAAAGTGGCCGACCGGCACTGTACGTTTTGCAATTTGATGATATTCTTGAAAACTCGAAGAAAACAAAGAAACTGATTTTTGTTTTTAAATTTAAGTCATATTCATGTACATACATAATTGAAAATTCCAACAATTAGTAAATAATCCAATCACTTACAATTAGATGTTTAGCTATTAGATAATATATTAGCATTTGGGCATCACACTAAATGAGTTTTTTTTTGTTTTTCAAATAAATAGAACCGTGAGCTGCGCCTAACAATTTAATTTTGTTTAATTTTATTATATGAAATAATAAAATTAAAAATAATAATAATTAAAATAATAATAATTAAAATAATAATAATTAAATTAATAATAATTTTTTAATTTTATTAATTTTTTTATCGGTTTATGATATGAAACTTATCTCCATATCGATATATACACTTTAAATTTTATTTTCCATACTCCGTGCGCAAAGTGCGTCTTTTCGGCACTCCGTGCGGAAAGTGCGTTTTTCCCGCACGCTTAGAAAAAAACGTGCGTTGAAAATCGCATTTTCCACGCGTTGTATCAAAAAATACGGTACGGCACATGTTCGGAAAAGAGTTTCTGGTCTCGTGTACCTTTCTACCCTCGTTTCGCTCGGGCATAAACGCCACACGAGACAAGAATCTATTTTCCCGCACTTTTATCGTAATGTACTATTCCCACACGCTCGGAAGAAAACGTACGTTGAAAATTGCACTTCCCATACGTCGTATAGACCCCGGTCCCATAGCTACGTATGAATGCGGACGGATACGGACGCGAATCGCAACTCTAGTAACATCACTAAAAATATCTAGTTCGATTATTTAGTACCAACACTACCGGTAGTGAGCAAAAGTAACTTGTTTAAAACTGTAGCGCCGAACGTACCACATTTAATGTTCAAATGTTAGATCTACAATTTACTTTTCAAATTCTCATGAATATTGCTTATTGATTAGTATGCTAATGTAAAAAAAGCTTTTGGGATGATTAATACATATCATTTATATATATTTTCTTCTTCTTCTCATATATTCAAGTACTTCCATAAAATTAAGGCCTAATTCCACTAATTGTAGTTGAAAGTCTATCAATTCTCTATCATTTGCCATTTTATAGACTGCAATAATGTAAAGGTTAGATAAGCGTTCATTAAATGTGGTACGTTCGGCGCTACAGTTTTAAACAACAGTTACTTTTGCTCACTACCGGTAGTGTTGGTACTAAATAATCGAACTAGATATTTTTAGTGATGTTACTAGACCTATGGGGCCGGGGCCTTAGGACGATTTTTTTTACCGAAAACTCAAGCGAGAAGCGGAAACGTTAGAGAGACACGCCATCTGCTGAAACTAAACGGAAACTACTATAACTGCGGAGTGCCGACCCATAAACCAGATAAAATCATTCAAATAATAAATAAAGAAACATTAAACTGGAACTTTCATTTATATCACGTCACAGAAATCTAAGATATTTTAGAGCAATTAAATGACGTACGTTGCTTTAGCTACTGATTGATCTTTTTGATTTCGATAGTGTTATGCTACGAATAAGAGCAACGCGCGACGATGATGTCGATTCTCTAAAAGGAATTACCACAAGATCCGGTATGGCTAAGGATCGCAAGACCATAGCAGCATCACAGCTAAAACCTATTACAATTAAAAAGTATAAGAAAAAAAATGGTATAAACATTTTTTAAAATACGTTCGTGCTTTTAGTCTCGAATATTAATAGAATAATAAGTTATTTGCGAATGAATATTATTTAAATTTTGAAACTCTAACTCCATTCAGAAGCTGAAATAATAAATGGAAATAAAGAAAACTTCAAAGAAAATAAATACATTAGCGAAGATGAATTTGATGATCAAAGTGGAAAAACAATGAAACAAAATCCTAAAAAGAGAAAAAGGATTGTTTTTTTAGATGATAGGGAAATTTCTGAAGATGATTATAAACCAGGTTATTTCTTATTAACTGAAGTACAAATAACATTTTTGTTTTTCATTTTTATTAATTTTAGCTACAGAAGATGAAGATTATTTCACATCACCATTCTTTAATACAACAAAGAAATCTAATAAATGTTATGTTAAGCAACCACAGAGGGTATGCAAGCTTGTTCAAATTATTAATATGATATTCATTTTTATGAAATTGATTTTAGAAAAAATCCACCAAGGATATATTGCTAGATGAATTATATTTAGGAGATACTGGTAGAGCATCATATACAAAATCTTGGGCCCATCTAAAATATGATTTTTTACAACCAGATAAAATTAAAGATAAAAATCAACGTTTACCAAGCCATCCAAATTATGATCCTTCAACTTTGTATATTCCACCACAATTTCTAGATTCACAAACACCAGTAAGTCTTATCATGCAAATACTTAATTCTATATCTTAATTCTATTATTAAATCTTTTCCAGTTTATGCATCAGTGGTGGCTTTTAAAAGCCAATCATTATGATTGTGTATTGTTCTTTAGATTTGGAAATTTTTATCAACTATTTCACATGGATGGCGTGATTGGTGCTAATGAATTAAATTTGACTTTAATAGATGTCCTTAAGGTTTCAAGAAACATTTCAAATTTGAAGCCAACTTGTTTTAAAATTATTGTAAAGTGAGAATTTGTTTTATTTCTATTTCTAGAAAGGTTTTGCTCATACAGCTTGTTCAGCAATGTCTTATGGTAGAATGGCTGGTATTCTTCTCGAAAGAGGCTACAAAGTGGCTAGAATAGAGCAAACAGAAACTCAAGAAAAAGCAAATCAACGGATAGCTGGAGGTATTTCATTTATTATCAAATTTTTAGAAAATCTATTTTTGAAAAATAATTCTTTTTAGCACAACAATTAGCAAAGCTAGACAAACTTATCAGGCGAGAGGTTTGTCAAATTACTTCTAGAGGAACTAAGGTTTATCATACTTTAGATACAGAAGAATTGGAAGCAACATCTCCAGATTCAGTTTATTTATTATCTATTGTTGAAAAATGTAAACTTAATGAAAATATATCAACTTTCGGAGTTTGCTTTATTGACACAACAATAGGCCACTTCAACATAGGTCAGTTTGAAGATGACCATTGTAATTCAAAATTATCCACTATGCTTACTCACTATCCTCCTGCTCATATTATCCATGAATGCAATAATTTAACAGCAAGTACATTGCAGCTATTAAAGCGATATACACGTGGTGTTAGAATGGAGGCATTGGAAAGAGAGACACAATTCTGGTCAACTAAGAAAGTCTTAAAAGTAAATGCTTTTTTATTGAAATTGATAAAATTTTGTATTAATCAAATCAAATTTTCGTTCTAGTATATCCAAGACAATGAAATTTCAAAGAGCAGAGAACAGTCAGAATCAGTTTGGCCCAAAAGTTTAATTTCTTTCTTGACTAAATGTAAATTCAATTAACATAATACTATTGTTTGAAGTTGAGAAAATGTAATCACTTTAACAAAAATAAGTAGTAATTAACAATTTCAGTTGCAAAAGAAAGGGAGTTAGCAATTCATGCATTAGGTGGATGTGTATATTTGTTGAAAAAGTACTTGATTGATCAACAGTTACTTTCTCAAGGTGTATTTCGAACATATGCGCCTTCAAACTCCGTTGATGGAGGAAGCTTTCAGTCCAAATTAACTAGTATCATGGTATGAAATTCATTTGATTTTATTCTGAAATTGGTTTATTAACTCGATGATTCAGTTAACAATTTCATGGTAGGTCTTGGATGCAATGACTATGAAAAATTTAAAAGTTTTGGATTTAGAAGGGTCTCTCTTTGAAGTTTTAGATTATTGTTGTACACCATTTGGTAAACGGTAATGCGACTTGTAAAGAAACAGTGTTGCACTGGGTATTTATTTGAATGCTTTTTTTAGATTATTGAGAAGTTGGGTATGCAGACCACTAGCTTGTAAATCGATAATAATTAAAAGGCAAAAGGCTATAGCAGAGTTACTGAAAAATCACAACATTGTTCGAGAAGTTCGCAGCAAACTGAAAAAATTACCGGATTTAGAACGAATGTTGAGCAAGTGAGTTGAAGTATAATAAAAAAGTGTATTTCAATAAACATTAATTAACTTAAACTTCCTTCCAAGAATCCATGCCCAGGGAAATGAAATGAAAACTAAATATCATCCTGATGGGCGTGCAGTGATATTTGACAAAGAGAAATTCATTAAAAGAACAGTTACAGATTTCACAACAACTTTAGATGCCTTTAGAGAAGTTTTAGATATTATCGATAATTTTTCAGGTATGCATTAGCTACATCGATTTTCCAAACTTTTAAGAATGATTTCATTTTGTTTGCAGAATTCCAAAGTGCTTTGATCAGCGACTGCACCAAAGTTGAGCCTCAGGGCAATTTTCCGGACTTGAAGGAGACTCTTGCTCATTTCAGGGTAGGTCAATGACGAAGCAGTCTTTATCAATGCAATATGCAATATAAAACGACTAAGTCATCGATCTAATATTTTCTAGAACGCTTTTAATTACGAGGAAACCAAGAAAATAGGTCTTATTATTCCAAAACGTGGCGTTGACAGAAATTACGACATGATTGAGCTGGAATTGGCTCAAATAAGACGAGAATTATACGAGTATTTAGGTGCGCAGAAGAAAGTTTTTGGACTAGCTCTCGAATTTGTTGGGACTGGAACGAAGAGGTTTCAAATAGAAATTCCAGAAAGTCATGTGCACAAAGTAGCTATGGATTACGATCTGCAGGGCTCAAGGAAAGGTTTTAAAAGATATTACACTCCCAAAACTCGAGTAAGAGAAGCTAGCTTATTTTTCTATAGTCGTCGGAATTCATCATCTTTTTTAAATTATAGGAGCTGCTTGCCAAACAAATTGCTGTCGAAAAACGCAAAGAGCAACTAATGGAAGATATCAATAGAAAGGTTTTTGCCAAGTTTAGCTTTCACTTTGAGAAATGGAGTAAAGCCACGTATAACATTGCCGTTCTCGATTGTTTGATATCCCTTGTCAAGTACGCTCAAACTTGCAAAAGATGTTGTGTCCCACAGATTTATGATCATACTGTAAAGCAAGAGGTATACTTACATTTCATATGTTGACTGTTAACGTGAATCGGCATTGAGAAACGCGAACTTGCAGATTTTTATCGAAGTCAAAAATGGCGTACATCCTTGCGTCTACTCTGAGAGCTATGTACCCAACGACATCTTCATCGGGATTGGTGGGGCAGCGCCGTTAGTGATTTTGACTGGTCCCAATATGGGAGGTAAAACAACGCTTATGCGACAAATTGGACTGTTCACAATAATGGCACAAATTGTAAGCGTACTACTTTTTTAATGCGTTTCATCCACTTGAGATACATCTCGTCGACGGCTTTAAAAAAAAAAACACTTTCTAGGGATGCCATGTCCCTGCTGCTAGCTATAGACTGTCGCTCACCGATTGTATTTTCACTCGACTTGGAGCAAGCGATGACATTATAGGAGGTAAAAGTACATTTTTAGTTGAGCTTACAGAAACGTCTGTTATACTTAAGCAAGCCACACGGCATTCTCTGGTTCTGTTGGATGAATTAGGTAATTTTCTACACTTTTTTTATCCTATTCAAAAAATTGAAATGTTATCCGATTAAATTTCGTCAGGTCGCGGCACGACGACATACGACGGAATAGCTATCGCCGCATCCGTAGTGGAAGCTCTTGTAAAAAGACAGTGTAGAACACTATTTTCCACACACTATCACTCATTAGTGCACGATTATAAGGAGAATAGCAACGTAACTCTTGCACATATGGTAAACTTCCTTAAAAAATTGAATTATCACATAAGCAAATGTGATAGATATGTATAGTATTGTATTGCATTTTTTCATTTATGTAGGCATACGTGGTGGAAAATAATAACGAAATTGATGTTAACGAAACAAATGTGACTTTCTTGTATAAATTAACGGTAGGTGCTTGCCTTAAGTCTTACGGATTTAATGTTGCCAGATTAGCGGGTGTGCCTTTCCACATCACCAATAGAGCTCTCGAAATCGCAACGACATTGGAAAACGAAGTAAATCTACGACATACTTTCACGACTTTGTGCCGCCTAGAAAACAAAACCATGAAGTCGTCAATTCAAGAAACCCGTACAATTTTTTCCAGTATATAAGTATGCATGCGATTTCGTACGATCAATTTCTAATTCTAGGTCACTTAGCTATTATTCTATCGTTTGTTTATAAATTTTTATTTTTCTAATTTTTCACAAATAAATCTTTTGAAAAAGAAATGAATCCACAAAAAATGTCAGTTATAATTAAACCGTTCCTCCCCGACCTTACTCGAATGGTAAAAACCAGTGGAATAAAAATCTCACTATTGCATATTGTTTTTAAACGTACTATATCAGAATTATTTGTTTATTTTGTTGGTCACGATATTTTTAAATATACTTATTGACTGACTCGAATAAAAAACGTAAAAAATAATCATCTATATAAATCTTTATAATAAGTTAAGGAAAATCCTGAAATTAACATATAGGTAAATAGATTTATCGCACTTATTGGCAAATAACTATAGTAATGTATACAACTTTCTAGCGTTGATTTGTTACAGGAAAACAATTTACTTGGATTGCACATTAATTTGACATTAAAAGTTATAATTATTATATTGGAGTAGAGATTGGTTCGTTTGAAACTCATTTTATTCGCAACTACTAAACTATAAATCTTGTGAAACTCACACAATCTTTTACTGTTGTATGAATATGATTAACAAAAATGAATAACTTTCTTAAGACTGCATTAATTTAACTGTTAAAAGTTTTCAGTGCGAGATAATATAAGGCAGTAAGCAAAACAAATGTTAAAATTATCATTATTGTCTATTTTTACATATGGTATCTGAATTTATAAAAGAACTATTACTTTCAATGTAAAAAAAGTTCGTATAAAATTGACAGCAGCGCCAGCCCTCTCCAAGCTCCAACCCGACACCCGTAAACAGTATACACTAGATGCCTCGATCTTAACACTGTCGGCTGTCGGCACTGCCCGGACATTAATTCTCGACTTGAGAAATTCAAAATCTAAATTCTTTCTGAAGATTGAACATCAATGGCATCAAATGAACTTTTTCTGACCAATAAGCAGGGACACGATTTACCAAAATAAGCCCTTTACTTAACCTTCTTTAATGTTATTGATGCTTTATCGTCAAAAATAATTCAGATTGTAAACTTTGCGGGTTGCGAATGAATGTCCCCGGCCTGCAGAGTACATATAATTGTATATATCATTTTATGGCTTTATGCGCAACTTCGCGCGTCGCGCGTAAATGCAATCGATCAAGTAGGTACCGATATACACGCGCCTTTTCCAGAAAGCGCGCTACAGGCGGCAAGTTGAGGTTTCTGAGAAACATTTTGCCGGGCTTTTTCTTGATGAATGCAATAAAGAGTGCAGGTATATAGAGTGCGTGCAAGGCAAAATGGTTTGCTATTAACTAACTACGAGAAAAGGCATTATAAATTTGTATATTTATCGTGTCAATTGATCTATACTCGACACAAGGATGCCGAAGGTAAATACCTTGTTTAACTACTTCTCTTCACCAAAAGGTGTTACACCTCAATCTAAAATTACGACGAAAGAAGAGTCGTCACCAGCATCAAAGACCTCCAAGGCCAAGTCTGAGACCCACAAAAGTGAACAAAAGAACAAAGGTAAATTTGCTTTTTCTCAAAATAACACTTTTTAGGATTAATTTATTTAATCAATAGAAGAGTATAGAGATTAAAAGCTTTTGTTAAGCACAAAATGACAGCGATTGTTTTCGTAAATTTTGTGCATTTTGGCTAAGACAGCGAAGTTCTGGTAATTTCAACGTTAATTATGTGTATATACAGTTTCTTGCCTTTAAATTGTGAATGCACGTTACAAGCGATTTACTTAACTAGGTTGGTTATAATTGCACAAGTCACAGCTTTGAAATAAAACTAACGTTATTTTTATATTATAGAAACTATTCGTATCTAGCAATAAATTTATATCTTGTGTCAACAATTGTCTGTAGCTGATTACTTTACATTATTCTTTTATTACCTAAAATCATAAAGGAAAAGAAAATATAAAACAGAATAAAGAGAAAAAAAGACCTTTGGATGATGTTGATGAGAATGATGTGGATGAAGAGAAAGAACATATTATAAGAAAACCAACGAAAAAGAGGAGAATTATTATCCCGGATGATAACAGTGATGACTCTGAAGATGAATATAAACCTGGTAAATTATTGATCAATTTCCAAAGATGCAATGCAAACTGTTGTATATAAGACATACTTTTTCCAGATGCTGAAGAGGAAGATGATACCTCACTTTCAGAAGCAGCTAGTGAAAGTGAACCACCTACTGAAACTGATGAAGATGAGAGCCCCAAGGTTTGCTTTTTTACTTTTAATGAAATTGTTATAAAGAAATCATTCCATAAACTTTATCCTTATTTAAGAAAAAACAAAAGTTGAATATTTGCAAATTCAGAGGGAAAAGCATTAGTGCCAAGAAAGGAAATATTAATAAATCAACTATCAAAAATTTGAATTCCAATAAGCAAATCTCTGGAAAAGCATCTGATACACAGTCTTGGCCACATTTGACATACGATTTTCTTCAGCCAGATAAAATTAAAGACAATAATAGACGTTCGGTTGATCATCCAGATTATGATCCAAAAACGGTATATGTGCCACAGGAATTTCTGAATAACTTAACACCAGTGAGTACTAAGTATAATTTAAAAATTAAATAAATACTATTTTGTAGGTAATAAATTATTCTTTGTTTCAGGCTATGCGTCAATGGTGGATTTTAAAATCAGATCATTATGATGTTGTACTATTCTTCAAAGTAGGAAAGTTTTATGAATTGTATCACATGGATGCTGTTATCGGTGTTAATGAACTTAATTTATCTTACATGCGGGTTTGTTTTGTTAAATATATATTTTACCTGATCAAATTTTAGTAACTTATCTTAAATGGTTCACAGGGAGAATTCGCGCATTCTGGTTTCCCTGAAATTGCTTATGGTAGATTCTCCGCCAGTTTGATTGAAAGAGGTTATAAAGTGGCTAGAATCGAACAAACGGAGAATCCAGAAATGATGGCTCAACGTGTTCAAAAAAGTAAGTAATAAACGTATTATAATTAAGATGATGTTTCATTATCATTCGCTTTCAGTGTCAAAACCGTCGAAATATGATAAGGTGGTCAAACGTGAAATTTGTCAAATCAGTACTAAGGGTACAAGAGTTTATACCTCTCAAGATGCAGAAGCCTCTGCACCAACATCGACATATTTATTATCCATTGTCGAAAAGCATACATCTGGTCAGAATACATCAACATATGGAGTCTGCTTTGTTGACACGACTATAGGTGATTTCAATTTGGGACAATTTCAAGATGATAAATGTAGCTCTAGATTACTAACGTTACTTGCCCATTATCCGCCGGCCCACATAATCTATGAACGCGGAAATTTGACACCAAATACCATAAAGATACTCAACAGCTACTGTCATGGAGTTATGAAAGATGCCTTGCAAAAAGAGACACAATTCTGGTCTTCTAGCAAAGTTTTGAAGGTACATTTTTTCGTTACATATTAATTAATTAATCTAGTTAAGATTTTTATCAAAACATTTTGAATACATTTTATTGTAGTATTTACACGAGGGTGAATATTTTAAACAAGATTCGAAATTTTCCTGGCCAAAAGGATTAGCGCCATACTTGAATAAAGGCGATAGCCTTGGACTTACATCTGACGAAGAAAAAGAGTTATCTGTCACTGCTTTGGGTGGCTGTGTATATTTATTAAAAGAATATCAATTGGATCAACAGTTGTTGGCACAGGGAAGGTTTAAAACTTACACGCCACCCGATTTCACCGAAAAATCAACTAGCAAAACTAAGTTTGCTTATAACATGGTAAGTTTATGTAAAGTTAAGCCATTTAATATTTTTAATAGTAAGGTATTAATAGTAAGATATTATGTATTCTAATTGTAGGTTCTTGATGCTATAACAATATACAACTTAAGAGTCATTGGCAATGACCATTCTCTCTTTGCAACTTTAGACCATTGCTGCACAGCTTTTGGTAAAAGGTAATGAGTAAATAGGCCCTATCTATTCTAAACAATAAGTAACATTAAACGTTTATTTAGATTGCTACGAGAATGGGTATGTCGACCCGCATGTTGTAAAAACATAATTAATGAAAGGCAAGAAGCTATCTTAATATTACTCAATAATCCAGATGTTTCTCAAGAAGTTAGTAATAAACTTAGCAATTTACCAGATCTTGAACGCCTGCTGAGCAAGTAAGTTTTCCATGTTCCCATTTTTGGTCTCAGCATTCGCTTGTAACATTGATCTTATTATTTTATGTAATTTTAGAATCCATGCTCAAGGTAATGCCGCTAAATTACGTAATCACCCAGATGGACGCGCGATATTGTTTGATAAAGATGTTTATTCAAAGAGAATCATTAGTGATTTTATAACTACGCTAAATGGAATCGAAGAGTTATTGAAAATTGTCGAGCTGTTTGCAGGTATCAGTAGTTTATTATTAAGTGCTTATACGATAGATTTTAACTCATCATTTAATTTTTAAGACTTTAAAAATCCATTAATCAACAAATGCACCAAGTTGGAACCTGAAGGTGATTTTCCTGACTTGCAAGAGACACTCGATCACTTCAAGGTGCATAGTAATAAAATTTATAAACATTGTTACATAATTTCAAATTATTTCTTACTATTATTTCTTACTATATTTATGAACATTGTTACATAATTTGAAATTATGTCTTACTATATAGAACGCCTTTGATCATGAGGAAGCGAAGAAAGAAGGTTTTATTGTTCCGAAGCATGGAGTCGACAAAGATTACGATGCTGTTTTGATTGAATTCGAAGAGATTAAAAAAGAATTGAACGCCTATTTGGATAAGCAAAGAAAGTACTTTGGAGTGATGGTCAAGTATGTAGGTACAGATAAAAAAAGGTATCAAATTGAAATACCTGATACTCAAATGAAGAAAGTGGGAAGGGGTTATGAGCTGCAAGGGTCGAGAAAAGGCTTTAAGAGATATACAACAGCCGAAACAAAAGTTAGTATCATTATTTTATTTTTTTCTAAAATACTTTCCAAACTACTGTTTTATTAGACTTACTATGCTACATACTAATTATTCGTAGGAATTACTCGGAAGACAAATTGAAGCTGAGGAACAGAAAGATAGAGTTTTGAAAGATAGCAACCGCAAAATTTTCGAAAAATTTAGCCAACATTACGAGAAGTGGAGCAATGCAGTTTACAACATAGCAATAATTGACTGTCTGATATCTCTTGCGAAGTATGCTCGCACTTGCGACACTTGTATTCCACACATCTACGATGATACCGATAACGAAGGGGTATTTGCATGATTGTAGTGTTTGTTTGGAAAAATTTGTCAATAAGCTATCTTGATAATTTTCAGATTTTCATTGAAATCAAAGAAGGAAAGCATCCTTGCATTGTTTCGGAAAATTTCATTCCCAATGATTCCCTGGTTGCAACTGGTGGTGCAGCCCCATTAATTATCTTGACTGGCCCCAATATGGGAGGCAAATCGACATTAATGCGGCAAGTTGGGTTGATCACAATAATGGCGCAAATCGTGAGTAACTTTTGCATGGCTACAATTGAAATAGATTGTGATTTTTGAATAATTTTCAAGGGATGTCATGTACCAGCGAGTGCTTGCCGGCTGACGCTGGTTGATCGGATTTTCACTCGACTAGGAGCAAGCGACGACATCATGGCAGGACAAAGTACATTTTTGGTGGAGCTGAGTGAAACTGCAGCTATTCTTCAGCATGCGACCAAATTCTCTCTAGTTCTTTTAGATGAGTTGGGTAAGTTCGAAAGTAGAGCTGTATTATTATTTTTAGACAAAAATTAAATGCACGTGCTTAAAAATTTATTTCATCGCAGGTCGCGGTACGTCGACTTACGATGGAACAGCTATCGCCGCATCGGTGGTAGAAGCTCTTACGAAAATAAATTGCAGAACTCTCTTTTCAACTCATTACCATTCTCTCGTTGAAGATTATAAAACAAACAATAATGTTACTCTTGCTCATATGGTAATTGCCTCGGCAATGATAATTATAATTTTCCGGCGCAAGCAATTGTTGATGACTCTTGTTTGTTTTATTGTTGTAGGCGTGTATGGTTGAGAATGAGAATCAAGATGAAGCTTGTGAAGAAAACGTTACATTCTTATATAAACTTAGCGAAGGAGCCTGTCCAAAGTCTTATGGTTTCAATGCTGCCCGACTTGCCGGTATTCCTGTTGACATTACCAAGCGTGCCCGTGATATTGCGACCAAATTAGAAGCTGAAGTAAACCTTCGACATACCTTTACGGCTTTGTGCAAACTCGAAGATGATTCCTTTAAAGTTCTCCTTGAAAAAACTCGTACCCTTCTGTTGATGATTTAATTAATAAACTTACTGTTCATTTCATTTACTTTTCGTATTTTTATTATTTTGAATTTGTTAAATTTTCGTTAACTTAATGCCTCACTCCTCCTGCCATAGATATACAAACCAATATAAATTAATAGGTGGACTTAACTCCAAAGTTCAACCACGTTTAATGCTCGTAACCGGAAAAAAATCTAAGTCAATAATTTTTACTGATCTAAGTACCAAGTTAATTTTAGATTGTCCGGTTTATTAGATTCTTCAAAAATAAATGTTTAAAAACGTCGTTTCAAGAAGAAATATTTTTTTAGGTTTGAATATTTCTTTACGTAACTTAATAAATGTAAAATGACAGTTCAATATTATTTTTGAAACATCTTTTTCAAATATTTATTTTTAAAGACATTAATCAACCGAATAGTCTAAAATTAATTCATGACATTTCGATCGGTAAAAACCATCGACCAATATTTTTCTTTTCGGGTTGCGAGTACTACGCACGGTTGATTGACATTGGTTTATATATCTGTGGAAGGGCGGGAACCCAACCCTTGAGTTATAACATTTACTTACATAGTATCTTTTTGTAGTGTCAAATTAAATGTTACTTTTTTCGTTAATGTGATAATTCGCCTCGTACAAAGCGTAATACCTCCATCGCTGAATTGGCAACGCTCATGACATTAATAACACATAATGTTAACATATATTAAATCACTCTGTACATGCTGTTTTACGTATTTTTTTTTCTTTTTTTTTGTATACCATTATCTATTAACAAGCACTTGGAATGATTTTTTCTAGTAATACATAAGTTTTTATTATTTAAGAATAGCTTCACTTGTTCCATTTTAAGGATTTTAGAAGGGATACATAAATTTGAAATAATCGTGCGTCACTTAAAAAATGTTTTATTTATCGATACCATAGTACAAAAAGGCTATTTACGATTAATTAGATGAAACACGATGTACAAACGAAGCGCGTAATAGCGTTTAAGCTCGCAAAAGAGGATTGCAGACAACTTTATTCTATTAGCCGTGAAAAAAGATAAGCTTAAAAGAAAGAGATTCGGGTGATTGCAATTTTTATTCGGTGATTGATGTAACAGTTTTGAAAAAAATAGTATTGCAACACCTGAAGAAACGATACGTAGATATATTTGTTTAAATGGGTAATATAAATAGTCGTGGTGAATCAATGTAGTTAACACGATGTGCTTTTGCAGGGATGGACAAGAGCTAAGAAAAGAGTGAAAAAAAGAGAAAAAATAAGAAACTTAAAAGTTTTGATATTGTATATTGTTTCATCAAACGTAATTTTTCGAATTGTAATTCCGATTGTTTTCTTTAAATAATTGATGATATTCGTAAATGATGCTGTTGAATATAATGAATAACGACAATCGGAGTAACGTTAAATTTCCTAATACGTCAAGCGATTTTGTATTTGTTCTTATAATATATCTCTTCGAACGTCTAAGTCTCTGTATATAAGTCTAATTATCGAGTAGTCAGTGAGAGTACACGATGAATGACTGTAATAATTAATCGATTAATGATAATTAAGATAGATAATAATAATAATGATGATAATAGTTAGTGTTGAAAGGCACGGAGATTAAGAAAGCACTTTTCCTTGACTTGATATTTCATGCAGGATGCATTTTTGTCTAATTATAGGATAAATTTGTTCTCCGAAGGAATAAAAGCACATGCATTCTGGACATGCAATTGGCTCCTTGACACTGCTCGTCTAAACTAAGGATGTACTGCTAAATCAGCCGGCGTTACAAGTAGTCGATCAAAGTGAATAGACGCTTGTCGAAGGAGATGGGCATTTGCGCATTTGTCTTTCTCAGAGATACATTAATAATTCTTAATTAGCACAGTATTATCTGACGATAGGGTTTTTTTTTTGGTTCTCGATGGGGTGAAGTTGCGCACGGACACTCGACGCCAACAGAACAGCGAACCGAGAAAGGAGGGCGGCCAAGGGAAGGGCTCGGGGAGGGAGAGGAAGGAATCAGCGGCGAGGCAAAGAGAGGTGAAGAGAGGGAGAGACGAGTGCAGTTTATTGAGTGGAATTTGACAGGGTGCCAATGGCGAGTGTCGTCGGCGATGAATGCTGCTCGGTGTGGTGGTGGTGGTGGTGGTGGTGGTGGTGGTGGTGGTGGTGGTGGAGGTGGTTCGGTTTACCAGAGGCCGGACGAGAAGCCGCCGGGTGGCACGCGGTTCTTCAGTCTGGGTGCACCACCGCTGCTGGGCGACGAGTCGCTGCTCGATTTCTCGCTGGCGACGCTCGAGGCGCCGCTACCAGCACCATTCGCAGAGCCGTTTTGAGCCTCGTAGCCGGAGCCCGTCACTGGATTGCCATCTAGCGAAAGACAACACACGTTCCCATCGTTAGTGCAACTGCTATCGTTGGCGACGCCCGGGACGGGCCAACGCCCGTGCCGTTGCTCGGTTCTAGCACCAAGCTGGCTAATTACACAGGCGCCTAGGCAAGAGCGCAGGTCCAATGCCTCGCTCGTTTCAGCGCAAAACCAACTCGAAAGCCAAGAATACCGAACGTTCTGTTGTCGTATGCGCGGAGCAGAACGCAACTTGCCAAAGTCAACTGGAATAACATTGTGGAAGAAAAAAGACCAGAGAGATCGATGGAGAAAGGTGGTTAACGGTCGCACTGCTCGCAAGCCAACGGTTGCTTTTGCACTGAACGACGAAAAAATATCGACGCAGCGATCTAGAAAGAAAACTCGATCAACGAGAGAAATAAATAAACTAGTAAATAAATGAAAGATGAGGAGACTTACGTGATGGACAGAGGACGGAAAAGGGGAAAAAGGTGGGAAGTGGAATAGGTAGTTTTACCTCTGGTCCTGCGAACGATGCGCCTCGAGGCGTGCGGCTTAACGTCGACACCATCGCCGGTCACCGGGTTGCGTGGCAAGCCCGACGACGATCCGCCTGCCAGTCGTCGGTTGTCGTGCCACGTATTTCGTGTTAATTTTGGGTTAATAGCGAGATTTCCTCGTGTTTGTGTGCGAGTTGGATAACAAAGCGGCGAAAGGGGGTGGGGGTGAAAGGGGGTGAAAGGGGGGTGAAAGGGGGCGAGCGAGCAGGACACCCGTCATCGGGACTACGCGCGCACACGTACACAGAGAGACACAGCTTGCGACGTAGTGGTTTTTCACTCGCGTCCGTCTGACGAGAGAGCGTGACAGCTCGGTGGGCAATTTGTGCGAAGCTTTGCCGGCTCTACAGTCGTGTGCTCATCCGTGCGAGTGACGCAATCACGGGCATCGTCAGACCGACGACGAGCGCCGCCGTAGCACGTCGATTGGTTCGGTGGCTTCGACTGCCAAGCGATTGGCGTTTTGTCAGCCAGCGTGCTTCGCGAAAACAGGAGCGCGCGTACAGGACCGTGCAGGACGAGGCGAGGTGAGGCGAGGTGAGGCGAGGTGAGGCGAGGCGAGGCGAGGCGAGGCGAGGAAAGGACGAGCGCCGTCTCCGATGCGGAGAGGAGGATGCGACGGATGGATGTGCTGGCTGGCGTATGGCATGCAACAACGGTGCCAGTTTGGTCGCTCGAACGACGAACCTCCAAGTGCCACCTGACACGAGATGCCTTGGGCGAATTGGAGCCGCGTCAGGCGGCGCCTGCAGGCTCTGTCGTTTGCGTCCGAAGCGAAAGGGTGCAACGATATGCGCGGATGCACAACCGGATACGCGATTGCGCTAGAAAAATGGTCAACTAACTCGGAGGACGTGCATGTAGAATGTATCGAGTGGTCGGCGTTGACTAAGACTGATTCTGATTCTATCGACACTCGGCTGTAGGGTGATCGAATCGTAATGCAAGGAGGCAGACGAAAGAAATAAAAGTCAAACAAAACGAGTGGAAGGTGTTGTTGTTTCTGACCGACGGCTAATTTTGGCTGCTTGTCACTTACGAAAGCGCTTGATTCTCCGAAATGCTGCTTGAACAACAGAATTGATAGGTGGTATTAGTCATAATGTAGACTTTTCATGTGTCGAGTATCGAGTGGGTTGACGCAAGTTTCTAGTGCACGGGTGGCATGTAACGCGCTGCGTGTGCTGGCGAGGAGCGTGCCGGCGGCGGAGCTACGTACCCACGACGTCGTTGTGCTGGCAGCCGTTGGTGCGCAGCGGGCAGGCCGCGGGCTCGCCGGCCAGCGAGATGCTGCTGCGTAGCCGGTGCTTGGATGGTGGGGTCGGGGGTGGCGGGGCGCCGAGGGGACCGAACAGACGGTCGTGCGAGTCATTACCGGGCTTGCTGCGCGCCAAGTCGGGAAGGCTGCCGTTGGCGCCGGCCGGCGGCTGGCCCTCGGCGAAGAAGCTCGAGCTCAGCGACGACTGGTTGTGCGGCTGCTTGCCGGCGCGCCGGGGCGACGTAGCCGGGGAGTCAGACGCGCCGAAGATGTCGCTGCTACCGCCGCCCGGGGGCTTCAGCACCCTGCAACAGACCAAGCAGCCCTGAGCGAGGCGTGGGGCGGTGGCGCGGGGCGCGGGGCCGGGGCGCGCTTCGATCGCCGCCACGCGGGGCTTCGCCGGAGGAAGCCCCGCGACTGCCGACTGGCGGCGCCGCAGCCCCTGCCGAGCCGCCCGCGATCGGCCGCGCCGCTCGGAGAGATCGGCTGCGCTCGGCTCTGCTGCTCCACATACTCCTCCCTCGGCCGGGCTTGTTTGTGCCCGCAATTAGTGCCGCGTGCGCCGCACTTTCTAGCGCGGCGGTCGGTCCGCGACCGAATTTCCCGCCGACTGCTCGTCGACGCACCGTTAGTCGCCGCTCGCCCGGATCCGGATCGCGCCTCCATCGGCCCCGTCAGCCGTCGCGAGGCGCCAGGCCGCCGCGGCTTAGAAAGCGTGACCGAGAGCGCGGCTGCGTCTCATCGAGGCGAGCGAGCACGTTAACGGACTTGCCGCCTCTGCACTACTTTTGGAGCTCCGACGCCGCGGAGTCGGCTGGTCCGGGGCCGGTCGGAGGGCGCGAGGGGTGCTCGATCGAGCCGCTGCGCGGTCGGCCCGCGCGGAAGCACGCAGGCGCGCCGCCCGGCCGAGTCGCGACCCTGACCTTCCACCCACCTCTTCTTGCCGCATCCGACGTTGTCGAGCTCGACGTGCCTGTAGGTCGCGTAGGTGGCCATGCTCTCCTCGCTCGCGTCTCGGCTCTGCTCGCTGCTGCTCGGGCGGATGACTGCGCGCTCGGCGCTGGCCTGGCTGCTGGGCTGCTGCGTCCGACTGGCGCGGGACCGGGCGGCCGACTGGCGGCGGGCGCGCGCGCCTCCGGGATATAGTCGCGGCACGACGCCGCCGCGCTCCCCCCACCCGGCGCCGCCTCCACGAGTATCGACCTCTCGCCGCGGCCGCCGCGGCCGCCGCGCGGTCGGTCAGTCCGCGCGCCGCTGGCCCGGCCCGCGCCCGGCCCGCGCCCGGCTCGCGCCCGGCCCGCGTCCGGCCGTGGGCGCAGCCATGCCCGGCGCGGCGCGGCCCGCCGTCTGGGAGCGGCCGCGGCGGGCGCTGGGCGCGCGCCGGAGCACGCCCAGCCGACGCAGGCCGCGCGCCCGTGGCAACCGTGGCAAATTGGCGGCAATCAGGGCTTTTAATAGCGGCGTTAACGAGCTCGGCGCGTAGAGGCGCGCAGAGGCGCGCAGAGGCGCACGACAATGCCGAGTGGCCGCTCATTAGCCGCGCGCGTCTCTGGGCGAGGTCGCCGCGGCCCGAGCGGCGGCCCAAGACACTCGCTGGTGCGTGCAGCAGCCCGTCGCCGAGCGAGCGCGCGGCAATAACAATGGACGGCACTTCCGCTGCGACCTAATGACAATATTCCGATCGGCGAGCTCGAAGCGACCGCGAGAAAAGTGTCGTAACAGTCGTGCGAGAAACTCGACAGGCGCTGCTCGAGCTGCTCCCCGGTATTCTCCAGTCTCATCGCTGGCTTGGCTCGTGCGACTCGCGGAAAAGGACGCCGCTCGCTAGCGAATGCCTCCTCGCCCCGTCTCGGCCGCTCTGCTCGGGCGCTCTGCTCGGCCGCCCAGGTGTGGCGGCGTCGAGCAGCTCTCGGGGCGCGATCGGACTCGGCCGGCGAGCGCGGGATGGGCTCGCGGACGACAGGCTAATTGGACGTGCATGCGATCGCTCGATTGTCAACGCACCATTTGCCCGGCATTGTTCCGCGGCGGTTGCGCAACGCAGCCTTGCGCGCCGTGCGTCTCTCAGGGACCGCGGCGCAGGCCGAGGCGAGCGCGGGGTTAGCGAACCGCTCGCTCCTGGCGCTCTCGGCGCGCGATATCTGCGGCACGCAATGGAGGATGCTCGCGCGGCCGTATAATCAAGCTTATCCGCGCTCGGCCGCCCAGGCGCTTTTAATTGCCCGCGCAAACTCGTTTCTTCGGCGCGGTCGCGCCTCCGCGCGCCCCCACTGTTTGCCGCCGCGCTGGTGCCTTTCGGAAACGAAGCAGCGGGCCACGGCCGATCGGCCGCCCGCCCCTCGACGGCAGTCCATCGAGCCAGTCGGCGAAACGTCCCGGGCGCCGCGGCCGCCGGCCCGCAGCGAGCGGACGATCTCGCGCGCCTCGAACGTCGGCGAGGCCGCCAGCAAGGACGAGCGGCGGCCGAGGCGGCCGAGGCGAACGCGGCGCGCAGCCACGGGCAGCGCCGAGACCGTCCGCGCGGCGCTCGATGGAGCGCGGCGAGGCGGAACCGCGCGCGCCTCTCGTCCGCTCGCCGGCGCGTTTCACTTTCGGCCTGGCCGGCGGCCCGGTCGCGCAGCCCAGGCGGGCGCGGCAACGCCGCCAGCGCCGCGGCCGATTCGGCGCGCTCGCAGCCGCTGCGAATCGGTTCGCGCGCGAACGGCACTCGCGAGGCGAGTAACGGCACAGGCGCGCGCGCCATCCCGGCCGCCGAGCGCTCGGTGCGCGCAAGCTCCAGGCGGTGCGCGAGCTTCCGAGCGGCCGCCGCCGCCGCCGGCTCTCCTCGCCTCTGCTGCTGCTGTCCCGGAAAATCTTTAATAGCGCTTTCCCCCTCCCGGCCAGCTAACGAGCGGCGCGCACAATACGCAACAACTGTTATCTTAATAACGCATCCGCGCTCTGCTCTGGCGAGCATTGAACTCGAGCGCCCAAGTCATCGCTCGCTCGGCCCAGCGAAAGCTGGCGCTCGGCCGTCCGCGGCCGACGAGTGCGATCGTGGGGCGCCGTGGCTCTGCCGTAGCCGCTGTCGTCGCAGGCGCGCCGCTCTGGTCGGAGGACAGCCGGCCGATCGCGGCGACCGGCAAGTGCAGGCCGCGCAACGTGCGCTGCGCGGATCGAGGCGGAGCGCGCGCCGCCCGATAAGACAGCGTTGCCAAATCTCGGCGAGCCGAGTTCCTTCACCTCGGCACCGGCTCCGCTCGATTTCGTCTTCCACTAGGCCTGCCGTTGGATACCAGCCCGGTCCCGGGACGCTAATAGAGCGCCGCCGTCGAGCCAACTGCAAGCGAGTCGCGCGACTTGTCCACCGAAAATACCCGTGCACTTGGCATTCGGCGATCGGCAGCGCCGACACGCCGAAATAGAAAACAGCAGCCGCGCGCCGATCGATTTGTCGCTCCGGCGCTCCTTTTTTCGGCGCGCGCGCCGACGGCCGGAGTCGGCCTCGTCACGTTCGACCGATCGAGCTAGACGTACGGCAACACGGCTACCTGCGCAACTGGGCCCATTGTCCTCTCGCGTCGGGCCCAGACGCCGTCGCAGCCACGCGTAGGTGAGCGCGCGTGGGCGCACGCTCGCGGCCGACTTACCTGATTCTGCTCTTGGGCTCCTCGGCACTGGACCACATGGCGCGCCCGGCAGCGCTCCTCGGCGAGCTGGCGGCAGCAGCAGCAGCAGCCGCCGCCGCCCACCCGCCGCCGAGGGCCACGCGACTGGCGACTGCGGGTAAGGCCGTTTCCTGCATTTCCGCCGCCAGCTGTGGCTCGCCCCGGCCGAAAGGGCCAATCGCGCCGACGAGCGCTTCCTGTGCCGCTCGACGGCAGCCGGCTCGCGTCGCGCTGACTCAGCTAATCGCGCCGGACACGCAACACGCGACGGACTTATCGTCGGCGAGCAGGCTCACGGCCTTCTTATCGGCGCTTGTCGTTGTCCGGCTGGCGTTGTCTGGTGCTGCCGCCATTCGCCTGGCCTTTCGCCGTCTGCGCTCCTTCCTTTGGACTCGGCTCTGCTGGCGCATCAATCACTGCGCTTCTCGCCGACTCTCGCCGACTCTCCCCGCAAGTATGCAGGCTTTCACGATCGAGCCCGTGCCTTTCTAATCAGCACTCTGCTTTGCTTTGCGCGCCTGCGAAAGTCATCGGGGCAGGCACGAACGTCCCCGAAGATCGGCCAGCCAGTCGGAAGGCCTCGCGGGCCACATATACCCGCAATGGCAGCGGCATCGACGATCGACCAGATTCACCGACCGCTCTCGCTGCCCCTCGCGCTCAATGCCAATGCGCGAATGCGCGAGGTCAATGGCTCCGCTCCGCTTCGAGTTCTCCCCTCTCCTCGCTGCACCGCGCCGCGCCGCGCCGCGCCGCGCCACGCCTCGCCTCGCCTCGCCTCGCCTCGCCTCGCCTCGCCTCGCCTCGCCTTGCCTCGCCTCGCCGCACCGCGACCTGCCGTTGGCCCAGACAGCGCGTCTTGTGGCTCTGCGACGTCTCTCCAGTCGTGGAGTAGCAGATTCCGGCTTGCTTGCGAAGACGCGCACTCGAGCGACGCCGCGAGACGCTTGCTCGACATCGAGACGTCCCGATCAACACGTGCCCTCTGACCAGCCCTTGGCCGCATGGAGCACACCTGCGCGCGGCGGCACCGTCGACGGCCTCCCACCCTGCAGCTCCCGCGCGAGCCAAGCTAGGGGTAGGGAGGCCACGACCGTCCGGTTGTGTCCGGTTCGAACCGCCGAGTCCGCTCGCCTCTCCCTCTCCCGCGCGCTCGTCTGTCGAGCTCTCGTCGAAGCACACGGCGCGTACCTTGCTGCCCGAACTTTCCCCGTTCCCTGGAATGCCGCTTTTCGCGCGATGCCCCGAGGCAGCGCCACTACGCAGCCCTACTGCCTACGCCCGGTGGATGAGATACGCATGCCAGCCAAGTAGCAGCGCCCGCGTTTCACGTTGAAAAGGCGCGCCTGCTAAAGCACCAATTAACCCCACAAGCGAATTTCGTCGCACGAGTGAAGCGCCAAGGCCAGTGCTTATCGAGGGTACTTACTTGCTGGAATTGCGGCCGTCGATGCGACCCTGGAAAGTGCCGGTGGACGTCATCTTCGGGAAATTGTGTGCGTGTTATCTTGCTTCGGTAAACCTGTTAACGCACGAATAGCTTGCTGCCAGGAATTTCAGCTGGGCTTTGCGCCAAAGAGACAGAGAAAACTGGTCGGTGAGGGCGGTGAGCCGACTGAGAATGAAGCTCCTTTGTGATACCCAAGTTATAACACACGACGCGGGGACAGGACAGCGAAACAGCCGCGGCTCGCTCGCGACCAATTGCACCGACAGGACAGCAGCAGAATCGTTGAACGCGCGCGCGCACGTCCACTCCACTGCTCTCGCTGACTCGCTCTCGCTCTCACCAATGGCAAACTTCGCTCGCATTCTGACTGTCAGTTACTCACCCGCGCGCTGACGCATTTTCAAAAACATGTTCTACATTAGCCCTTAACTATCCACATACGCACTCATCTTATACTTGCTTGTCTTAATTCTGATAAATAAACATTTCTATACTCGCATATTATTCATAGCCAATTTATTTTGAATAACACAAAATACAGCATGTCGATGTTTGGATGGAAATTCGTTTTTTCACATATTTAACTAATACAATAAGAATACAATATATGAATGTAATGTACGAAATAAGTAGATTTTAAAAGTTTGTTTCGACTCAACGTCATTGTGAGAACTTTCCATTAGCTCATTTACCTCACAATGCATAATGAACAAGAATCAGAATCCATGAAATTTCTACAATATTTATAATACATTCGCAAGATGTATATACAAATTACGCTCGAAACTGAAATCAACTCTGATTTCCATTAGTCTAGATTAATGACAGCTCAAAGATTGAAAACCTTGACATTTCAGATAAAATTGCGCCAACATCTATTGACAGATGTCACCGCGATAGTAATTTACAAGTATTCCGCAGCGAATTGTGATGATTTCAAATATTCACAGCGAAACCAAATTTGACTGTCCAAAAATTAATTTTTATACTATACGTGTTGAAGATCGTAGTCTTCTTATTGAAATTATTTGATTGAACTCGAGCACACATTTGCGATACTATATTAGTATCGATGTCAAACAAAATAATTGAGTGATAATATCATAGTGACCGAGTTGTATGCTGTAAACTCTCCTGAGTAATCGAAGCATTCCGCACGTTTGCGCGATTTTTTATTTGTTTTTTTCATACTGTACTCATAAAACATACCAATGCTAATTCAAACTTGCGCTAAACCAAGTTCATTAGAGGTTCAGTAGCATCAACTTGTCGCCTGCATTTCAACTAACAAGTATATAAATCTTGAAGATTCTTAAATAGTTGTCACTAAAATTCAATACCAAGGGACATATTGATAACTTGTTAAAGTCACTCGATAGTCGGACAAGAGGAAGTTTGAAAAAGCGATCACCACGAGTAATAACTGTGCAGCACGGCTGATTAATTGGTAGGCGGCGGGGGTGGAGGCGGTTGCGCGAGCAGGGTTGGCAGCGTGGCCAGGTCGATTCCCGGAGGTGTCGGAGCCGGGGCCGGTGCAGGTGGAGGTGGCACGGGCGCCGCCGGCGGCCAACCTATCTGCGACGGTTGCTGGGGAGGGCCCCAACCCGGCGTTTGAGGATAGCCCACCGGAGGAGCAGTCCCGGGCGGTGGCGGACGCATCTGCGAAAGGGACTGTGAACTCGACGGCTGTGTTGACGATGATTGCGATACTCCATTGGACGTCTGGGCCGGCTGCTGCCATGGCGGAATACCCATCGCTCCCGGAGGAGGTGGTGGTGGGGCTTGCACCGGTGGCGGTGGCGGCATCTGACCTACATAAGCGGGATGGTGAGTACCAGGCGATAATGAATCGAGGGAGAGAGGGGGAAGGAGGAAGAAGGAACTTGGTAACTACTGATCTTACCTGGTGGTGGTGGCTGGTTGCTCGCAGGCGACATCCACGGCATCAGCGGCGGTATCGTGGATGATGGCTGAGTGGGGGTCGAGCCGGGGGGCGGTGGCGGTGGTTGCATCACGCCCGGAGGCGGAGGCATGCTCACTGGCGACTGTCCCCATTGCATATTCATACTACTCATCGAATTCATCGAGCTCATCGAGCTCATCGAGCTCATCGAGCTCATCGAGCTCATCGAGCTCATCGAGTTCATCGAGTTCATCGAGTTCATCGAGTTCATCGAGCTCATCGAGCTCATCGAGCTCATCGAGCTCATTGGATTCATCGAGCTCATCGAGCTCATTCCGTTCATGTTGCTCATGTCCGACTGCGACCAGGGTGGCGGAGCCATACCCGGGGGCGGCGGTGCCATCATCGCCGAAGATGACCCAGACGACAACATGCTTGGTGGCGGGTGTGCTGGAGCTGCCATCAGTGCTCGTGGCTGCTGCTGTCTGCGCAGTTACAGTTGGCTCAATTACAAATCTACCGGATCGAGACTAGCACCTGGCGGTGCAAAACACAGCGTACAGTACCTGTCGAACAGTCCGTAGCTAGGAGTAGTGGTCGCACTGGCGGACCGACTTTGCGAGCTGGTATTCTTAGAGCGGTCGGGCGGCGGCCCCTCACCCAGCTCGGCCATCAGGGACATATACTCCTCGTCAATCTTGGCCTTATCGCCGGCCGCGCTGCTGGCGCCAGCAGGGCCGCCCATGCCCGGTCGCTTTGAGCGACAGTCACGAGCAATGTGTCCGGCGCCGCCGCAACTCGAACACACAATATTGTTGGTGACGTTGGGTTTGTCGGGACAGAGCCACGATTTGTGATCACTCGCACCACAATTGGTGCATCGGGGCCCGTCATTCTCACGAAGGGTCCCGTTGAGAAGGGCTAGCTCTCGAAGCTGATTGCGTCGTAAATCATTCTGTCCTTCCGGTACCTCTACGCCTTGCCTGATGATCTCGTGAATCTGGCGTAAGCAGTTATTTACAATAAATCGTTGATTTGTCGATTGATGATGATTAATTAAGCGATCAAAAGTCTGTTCACTCACTCTTTCCACGGCCTTCTTGACTGCTTCTAAATTATTGGCGGTGATGTAAGCGTGTAGAGGCTCGTCTTCACCAGGCAAAGGCTGACCGTCTTTTCGTCCCACCTTGCCTTCCTTCACGCTACCTTTGCCACGAATTATAATCTTAGCACCAGTCTCTTTTTCCATGGCTACAAGCAAAATTATAGTTAATCGATATGTTTACAACAGTTACTTATCGATGCGAGACATCTACGTACATTTGAGTGTGTTTCCGCGCGGTCCAATCAGCAGTCCGACGAAATTGATGTCAGGATGCTCTTCTTGAGGAATCATCACTTTATCGTGGACTCGAATAATCGGTGGTCTGTGAATCAAGCAAGACACGACGTAAGTACCTTAGAATAGCAACAACGTTAAATGGTCAACGTCATTTACTTGTAGTCTGGAGGCGGCTTAAATTCGGGATTGATCTTCAAGATTTTCTGTATAAGGTTATGACGTTCCTCTTCTAGTTTTCGCCTAGTGCGATATTCCCGAGTGTTCAACCGTTTACCATCACTGCTATAAATCGGCTCTGGTGATGGGGATCTGAAAGAAAAAATCGAGCATTCAGAGCTTGCAGTTTCAACAATGAATAATGTGAACAAGCAGCCCTATTGCTTCAAGTAAATATGATTACTTGTTGTATATTAAAAAATTCCCTAATACTGTGTCGATTTCGAACAAATACAAACAAAAACAAAAAAATATTAATGTTCTTTAACTGAATAGAATTTTTCCACGTTTGCCTATGAAGAAGGAGAAATCATCATTTTATCAATTAGCAAACTAGTTGCTGTTTTTAAACAGTTGATAACCAGTGAAGTCTGCATTGTTAGTGCAGAAATGTTGTTCGGCTGCTAAGGTGCTAAGAGAAAATAAATCCTGTGATTATTAAGAACAAATTATGAGTTTCACATTGTCAGTCGATTTCTTGCACTTGTGCATTGTTATGCTAAGCTAAATAAACCATAATTATTAAAACCTATTGGAGTAAACAGATTGTTTGATTAATTGTAACTAAAATTATGTAAATTATAGTAGAACCTGAAAGTAATATTAGCTTGAGTAATTAGAAAATCAAAAAAGGCTCAACATATTATCCTATTCTTAAGAATTCTTTTTAATATAATTGCTACTTTCAGTATTTATACAAAGTAATGCTGAAAAAAGTCATTGGTTCACTTATTATCGAAACTTTACTTTGAAGAATTGTTTTGCTGTGATTTTATTTTAATTTAAAAATTTATTTCTATAATCTATTCCAATCTAAATGTCTAAAGCTGCCAACAAGTGAGATTTGAATGAATATTATTTAAAAAAATATATAATATGACAAACATGAGGGTGTACTTTTATTATTTTTATAGCTTTGCTATTTCTGATTAATCGATCATTTCCGAATTACGCATCTGAAAAAACCAATTTCTCCATTTAAGTTTTTGCATTATTCAAAGCTCATTATAATGATTTCCTTATTGGCAAGGCTGTTTCCACTTTGAGAAATAGTAAATGAAATTGATTAGATCAAACCAATATTATTATTATTTGTCTTCATTGATGTGTTGAGGCATGAATAACTATATGAATCCTGGTTGTAATAAGAATTATTTTTTGACTATTGCCCACATATACTTAGACAGCACCAATTACTAAATAACTATAATGAGCCATCGAGCTGTGGGTCGCTGAATCAGTGAGTGGATAGGTGGCTTTTGTGGATATAATATCGTCAGTAGTCAAGTTTCTTTCAAACCTTTCCTCTGGATTTAATGGTATTCCAAGATCTCCTGTACGTAGTTTCCTGCTGATTTCCTCAATCTGTAGTTGAACTGTAAAACAACGTGTTAGAAAGGGGCACAAACCCCAATAATTAGAAACATTTTGAAGGATAAAATAGCAATATGCATTTCTAATGAAATTAATGTTTGTCTGATCAATGTCGTTATTGCTTATCAGATTGTCAATTCTTATTTTTTCTCACACACCTCCTTACCTTTAACATAATAGTATCGTTACTTTTTTGACAAATGTGTAATCTTAAGGAAAATTAATAAATTCAAATAAATATTCATCTTATCCAAATGATAACTCAAGTTTAAAAGTGACACTTACAAAGATATGCCTGTTCCTGTTCTGGTGTGAGATTGGTGGGCAACACAGTAGGCATTCCTGGGATAAAGGTCTTTTCATGCTCGCTTCCTCCCCATCTGGACTTTCGTTTCTTGCGTCGTTCCTCCCTGGATTCCTTATCTTTATCTGAATGAAACAATGAGAAATCCATTTTAGATGAAAGTACTAAAGAGAAAACATTTGAATCTCTCTATGTCAAAATGGTCTAATACGACTTAGTGAGGATCGTTAGTAAAAGTTTGGAACTTAATCAAAACATTAGTAAGAGCAGACGAGCTAACTGATTAGAAAGCGAGTGACGCTTACCTTCGGCTTCGCGCTTTTTGCTTTGGCTGGAGTTGAGGCTGGTCCCATTGGCGATAGCAGCAGAGACAGCAGCCGCAGCAGCTGCAGCTGCGGCAGCGGCACTTGATACGCTCGAGTTTTGTGCATTATGCAAATAACTAGGATTCAACAACGACGAAAAATTCCGCGACATGAAAGCTGATGAATTAAACGACCAAAGATGTTGATATGTTGATAAATTGTGGATTCCGATTGCAATGACGATGAAAATGGCGAGAAGACAGACACATACAATACGCGAATCAACTACAATTATGGCGACTGTCGGACACAGCTATAGGTTCTACGTCACGCGGTGAAGCGTTTCTGCTTTCTCGTTTTCCGTGCGCGCGCTGGTTCGCGCCAGGGCACTTATATTTTGGTTTTCTTCCTAAACAATTAGTGTTTAAACCACTTTTTTGTTTCTCATCTATTGATTGTGATGATTAAAATGGATATTATTATTTTTACATAAGTTTCAAAACGAATAAAAATTGATCTGTCGGGCCTTCACTTGTTTTGATATAGCATAAAAGACATTACTATCTGGATTTTTCAACTTTCTATATCATTTATTAATTAAAAACACTAGATGAAGAATTTCTGACGATAAACATGATATCAACTGATATCATCATATTTATAATATTATATGAATGTTACCGCTGAAAATTCTGTCTATATCCATTAGTGTTCAATAATGTGAGTAACCTTTTATATTATTATAAATTAAATTATAAATTAAAATATTGATTGAGTAGTAGAACATTTTTGTTATTCACTATATATTTCGATTATATGTATACAACACCGCGCACTTTGCCACATGTAACTTTGTTGACATCTTATGTCCAGCTTGGTTTATTGTATTTGACATTGAAATTTTGTATAATGAATCGAAACTCGAAATTTTCCTTTGCAATTTCATAAAATTACTTCTACTTTTTATATATATAAAAAATCATGTTATTCTTAGTAAATTCGAGAAAAAAAGAACGCGTTCGTCTTTATTGACCATCGAAAATTAAGGAAAATTCTGTAGATCAAGAAAATATTTTTTATTTGTAAATAAGTCAAATTGTTTCAACATTGTTACGGACGATGCGCACAGTATTTCAATATTACAAAAAATAAAGTTTTCACCTTTTATAAATAGTCGAGTACAGATTATATATACTTTTCTTATCTTTTTACCTTAATGATGTGTAATTGTATATATATATATATATATATGCATATACTTACATCGGCATTAAAGCGACCGTCATCACCGACCGTCACTAGACAACGGATTCGGCGAGATCTGCACTAACGTCACGCCTGTATAAATCTATCCCCAGATAACATTGTCCTGTCAGCGTCCACTATAATCGTTCACTGTATCGCATCTAATGATCGCTCGATGAATTTTAAAACGGAATCTTAAAGAAAAAATGTCAAGGAATTCATTAAAAAAAATAATTTTTAAAATAAAAATAACGCTTTATGAGATATGGGTAATTGTTTTAAAAAAATGTTAATAACTTTTGAAAAAATTGATATGAAAGTATTGTTCACTCAATATTTTCAAAGTACACCCTTTTATGCGTAATTTGAAAAAAAATTCGCTTCAATAACTTAAATGGTTGCGGAGATATAAATTTTTGAAAATTTTTCGTCAAAAATTTTCAATTGTTTATAACTTTTGATAGAATTATTATAATGATCTAATAATCCATACTTAAATACACTACCATATAAACAATACGTAGACCAAGTTTCAAGAAAATTTGAAACCTACCCCTGAAAAGTTGATCGTCATAGTCTGGAATGTGCCAACTTACTTCTTATTGTCTACTACAAAGTTCACGTTATAATGGCTATGATATAATTAAACATATTGCAGCATAATGTCTCACCGACTCAACAAACATATATAGCGACATAATATATACGTAGGTATTTCATGTTGACGTAGGGTTGAAAGTAAATGCAAATTAAAATAGTAGATTTTCATACACGTTTATTTTTAAAGTCGGCTTATTTATCAAGATTAAACGAAGGTTGTATTGAACATAGTCTGTGTTTTAATAAACCTGTATTTTAATTATCGTATTAACAATAAATCTGGCTTTATAACGCGTTTTTTATTGTCTATTAAGTATAAAAGCTAAGAGGAATTGTTAGTTTGAATTCTCATACTGCTACGAAAAAAGGATTTATTCATTATCACAGAAGGGTACAAATTAAAATAATTCTTTTAAATTTGATATAAATTACCAGGTATACGTTTAAGTCATTTTTTCTCCGGAATTAGAATATTATCTGGCCAAGAGAATAGATTTTTAAAAGGATGATTTTCTGGCTCTTCTCTGCTTTTCAGATGAATACAAATTGCAAAATTTTTCTCTAATGGTACAATTAGTTTCAAGTCCATTACCATTATTTTTCATTCAATTTGAAGTATTTTTGCGCCGAAAGATAAGTTTTCAAATACATTTGCTCCAGAATCATAATTTTCTACCGCTCAGCACTGACAGCATTTGCATGTGTGACTGCTCTACGAAAATGTTATTTTTCTCAATAAATAGGATGGGTGCGAACAGAAAATCTTAAATAATATAAATTGAAATAAAGCTATTTACTTTAATTTTTCAGGAAAATTCACCATTTTTCTGCCAGGATCATAGATTTTACTAACTTTTTTCATTTTGCTGTATTTCCATGAAAAATGCTTTATAATTCAAATTCTACAGGGGTACAAATTTTTTTTTGAGATTTCGTAGATGGTACAAATTAAGAAGACATTTATAATCTTTTACATTAAAATTCCACGATTTTTCTGCCGAGAAAAGAGATTTTCCGCAGCGCAGAAGACACAAAATTAGAATTGTCGAATTAGACTACGAAAATCATTTTTTTGTCAATATTTTGGAGAGGTTCAAATTCCAAAATATGTTTTCCGACTGGTAATGATTAAGGCAAGGCTGGTGGTATATTTCGTTTTAGGAATTTAACATTTGTCCTATCAGTTATCCATTTTGTCATCCGAGTAATCAGCTGTTTTATGTGATTAATTTTATTAAACGTATATTTTTCCTATTCCTGCAATTGATAAAAAAAATTGTTAAAATATTTATAAAAAAATTTCTTGTCGCACCAAATATATGGAAAAAAGTTGGCCTAAGTTTATTTTGTTTTTATTGACTAGAAATGCGCGCTGCGTCGAATTCTCATTTCAAACAATTTCGTCATATTAGCAAGAGCTCTATCATCTCCAACTGAACAATAATAATCAATACAAGTTTCATTTCTGATCATTCTCTCTTTTAGTAAGAAACAAACAAAATATCATTTATAAATTTATATATATTAATATATATTTTGTAAATAGAGTTATATTTTGCAAAAGAATGTTAAGTAATTTTACGAAATATCTTTACGTAATTGATTTAAATTAATAACATAATAATTACTATAATTTTTCAAGATAGTTTCCAATAGTTACGATAGAGGAAATATATAATTTTTCTGCCAGTGAAAGAACCATGGCAACAGCACATGCGTACTCGTATAATTACATTATTGGTGTAATATATCTACATCGGTTAGTACTGGCAATAATAGATCATATCAGAAAAGATCCTCCTTTTTTAAATCTCTATTCACCGAGCTTTGGTAAATGGAAATATCTTTGCAGGTAGACAATCTCGACTAGCTTTAAATTTACCACTATTTTATTCACTCAATGTATAGTTACGCACAAATAAAAACCGTATGCAGTCAGAGCGACCGCCACTTAAAAAACTAACTAACTATCTGTATGTAGCACGCCGTCAATCTAAATCAGTCAAAGAAACAAAGAGATTAGTAATACCACCTTGGGCAAGGTGACGATTGTGCACATCATTTCATTATACACATAAATTATTGTACATGTAATGTGGAGCAAACCAACGCGAGAGTCTATTGCAATCGTTCAATGATATCCGTAGAGATTGTTTGTGCATGGATTATTTTATTATACAAGGCATTATGAATGAAAAACGTCCAATTTCCAACTTTTAAAAATTCATAACTTTGAATATGTGCTTTGAAAAACAGCAAAATTATCGAAAAAAAAGTTGTCATTTTTTTTATAAATTGTCTTGAACGGCGCCTTATCCAGCTCTTGTACTAGGCGTGTCTGGTAACAATTTGCTATTTTATTAAAATTATCAATAATACTGAATATTTCTAGTATTCACTTATTAATTTCCTTTATTTCATTTGTATGTATATGTAATTATCAATCTAATACTGTGCAGACTAGAATTTTCATGCAGATTTGTACGCGAGAAATGTATTTTTTGGTATGTCATCTCAACAGTCCGTCACAGACTTTCCACAGATTTTTAGGTGCATATTAAGTAGGGTTCTCGTAACAAATCCTCTGGTACATTTATCGCAAACGTACGGTCGTTCTCCGCTATGATATCTTTTGTGGACAACAAGAGTGGAGCGTTGAGTGAAAGCCTTGCCACATAAATCGCAAACGTAAGGCCGTTCGCCAGTGTGAGTGACGCCGTGAGTGCGAAGGAGCGTCTCGCAGCTAAAAGCTTTGTCGCAGACTTTGCATTTGAATGGCTTCTCGCCAGTATGACGCCGAGTGTGAATTTGCAATCCTTTGTACGTCTTCAATTCCTTGCCGCATAAAGCACACAGATAAGTGCGTTCTGGACGCAGTGAGCGACCGCTACGGGGACGACCCCGGCAACGTTTTGTTGATGTTATATAGGCACTCCAATTATCAAGGCAGCCCATTACGTCGTGCTGCTGCTGCTGCTGCTGCTGCTGCTGACGTAGAAAAACAAGGGTACATGTGAAATTGCGTCGGTCTACGCCTCTGCTATTCGATAGAGGTAACTGAGCTGTGTCATCGACAAGTATTTGGTAAAGGAAAAGTTGTGTGGTAGGTATTCATAGAATTGAACAATAAAAGAAAGAAGTAAGACCAAGAACTCGGCATTCGCGATTATGAATCCTTTTTGTACGCAAGTTGATTCTTGTAAAATTGAATAAATGCGAGCAACGTCGAGAGTTCGATTTTGTAAACGCAACTATTGTTACGATTTTACTTGGCTATACGGCTACAAATTTGAGATAGCGAAGACAAGTTGACATTTCGTAAGACAACTCGAAGAAATAAAGCAATGATTTTGGAGAAACTGAAACGACGGGCGCAGCGTCTAGTAAAATCAATTGAACAAACTCGACTACTGTCGGGAGGTCAGACTGAGCTGCAAGCTGGAGCGAGTCGTAATTGGGAGTGCTCGAA